AAATGTGAAACTTTAACATTGATTTCTGAAACATTCTGTCATGTACAACCTACCACGAAGTTTAGCGATGACTTTTTTTTAAACAAGAATTGAATGTGTGAAACATCAACTTGCCGATATTTTCTGAAGTAAATAAGCTAAATTTGAATAGGATTTTGGAGGGGAAAATCTTCAGATACGGTTGAATTTCATCTACCCGTCACCTACTTGAAAAGATTAGGGACATGTTTATTAACAAACCAATTGAGCTAAAGCGAGTCTATTCCAAATTTATACACTTTTAATCGTAATACCTTGGGCACACAATACTCAACATCCACACTCCTTAACCTTATGTTAGTTATAATGAAAAGAGTATCTTAGTCTTTGAAACAAAACTACCGGGAATAAATTTTGTCGATTAAACAAACATCTACCAACCAGTTTTGATCAATTCTAAAGCTGAGAACAAGTGGTTCCTCATCTTATAAACATTTAAATGAAAGCTTCATAATACAGCCAATTTCAAATGTCGCTCATCAAACTGATTTCCAAGCTGTCTTGTTGAATGTAAAATGTGATTTCAATGAGAGTATCGATTCGAACAAAACACTGTCTTAAGTTTAAATCAGGAGGTAGGGAGAGTTCTTCTGACAATAAAATCGAAAACCAGCCGTTCTTCCTAAATTATAGGTAGTCACATGAAATATGTGTTACTGAGGAAACTAAAAGTATTTAACTGCTCAACAACTGTTAAATTAAGTATCGTTAGTTTCGCTGTGTTTTGGATAAGGTCGTTTTACTCAAACCTTTCAGATTAGATCGAAATTTATATTTAACACTTTAGTTTATTGCAGATTATATTGTTAGAATTTAAGAGAGTTTCTTGCACCCTGGTACATGAACAGGAAAGATGTGGTTTACAACAGTTTCGGTAACCATCGGGCAGCTCCCAAGTTATTGAAGCTAGGAAAGTGATCGGTTGTCGCCTACAACGTCCAACACTCAGCGAATAACAGTTTCGTTGGAATTATTATATTCGATACTTATTTGATGATACTATTTTTCCTTCTCCGGCTTATCACTCTTTTTCAGCCCCCTTGAGATATGCCACTGAAAACATTTATGGAACGGGTGATTTCGTCCTGCACCATCATTCCAAAGGGATATATGGCTGCGATTTCTAGAAGCCCCCAACTTCAGTGGATCTATTCTCGACCATCAGTTGCATGTCGCAACGCAACTTTCTTAAAGCGCACCAACTGTGATACTGGCTAAATGCATCTACATTCATATCAGCCCAACTGAGTAACTTACTACAGTGAAAATTGTGTAACAATTTGATCTTGTCTGTAAATTGGCATGCGTCATGTAAAAAACTGTTATTTGAGAATAAATTATTATTATTATTAATTTCATTCACTTTATATAGCCCGACTAAGAAATTCTTTAGTCGTTGCATAGAGATCGTTAGGATTTCGTAATAGCTTGTTTGTCAGATTTTGGTAGTCTATACACAGGAAGCACTGTGTTGTGAATTCTTTTTGTATCTTCTTATCCTTCTAAACATATTCAACTCCAGATTGTCCTTTAAAATCAATTTTGACTTTCATAGCATCATTCTTAATTATTATTGCACAAATATTTATACTAATATCCGGTTTCACTCTGTATACTATCACATAAATCGAAATATATTCATCCGAGTGCTTTAGAGGATTTTTATTTTATTTTTTCAATTGCTGGTTTCCTTCTGAGGTTGATATTCATTGCACAATTATTATTCTTATCATGGATCAAAACTTTTCACTAAGTGTTCACTTCTTTTCTCTCTTCTTTCCCTCTAAATAAATATTATCCTTAAGATTACGAAGTTTGTAATTAAGACAATAACTTGTATTATACTTACATTAACTTCTCAGACCTGTTTTATATTCACTATGCATATATGTCTCATACATATTGATATTTTATTATCCTTTTCACTCAATTGAGACTTTCATCGCATCACTCCAAACTATAACTGCACAAACATCTATTCTAGCGTCATATCTTACTGCAATTATAAGTTATTTTTTCTTAATTACTTTTGTTACTAATTTAACGATACACACATAGTCGTTTATTCTTGCTCTGTGTTCATAAACACGCCTATTAGACTGTTTGCGTATTTCACGTCTCCTTATTTTCTCCATTTCCTTCTCTAAACTCAATTCAATATTCTCAATTGCACAGACCCGATTTATTATTATTAATATTCTACTATAATTGCTCTAAATTTTTTTTTAAATATGGCAAGTATAATGCTGACATTATCGAAAATTGTGTATTATTGCATTTTTTGAAGAAACCCGAAATGGTTTCTTCACAACACTTATGTACCCATAAGATGTTTGTGAATAATAATAATAATAATAATAATAATAATAATAATTGTTAGCATGAATGACCTCAACACGTATGAAGTTGACCGCGTAAGTGGTGAGAGCTGATGAAGGAAAATGTAAACATGAAATTGACACTTGCAACTGTACTACTAACAGTTCTCCTGTGACAAATCGCCATCAACTTTGTTACATAAGGGATGTTTCAGGCACGAAATAATTCAAGAGACATCGCACTTTTTCTTAGACTACATGACCTAAACCCTACGGTAGAAACATGTAACTTATGAGGTGTTAATAGAAGCCTCATTAACTTTTGTATATGCACCGAAGATTCTGGAGATAAAGTTAACATGGTAAACGAAGTGATACTGAGTTTTAGCGAAGCGGTCCAGTTGCGTTCAACATGTCTTTAATACGTAATGATGATTAGATTTCGTGTCCTTTGCTTAAGTATTCAGAGTCAGTAGTATACAGAGTGGAGTTTAAGCCAGCTGATTATGAGATTCAGTATGTGTGACGACCAGCCGGTACTCCATACGAAAGTCTGCCTGTTAAATTTCTATTCAAAGTAATAGAATTACCCTGGTTGGGTTTTAAAGAGAGTCAGACTAGTGGATGACTGAATCAAAGACAAAGTGATCTTTCGGCATCCATAATGGCTCACGTGATTTTTTGGTTGAATTGTTTATTCAGTCAAAGAATTAAAACCGAGATCATCGCTAGACTGAAAATAGCTTATAATTTTAACTTCAAATCCTTTTTGTAATTTTATTAAGTTTACTAGGTACGAAACAATCTTAATGACATAAGACAAATATTAAAAGTAAGGACGAACAGTTTGGTGTCACAAATACCAACAATGCTGACGATGAGCAAATTATCGGATAGTTGTAGGCTGAATATAGACTTCCTTAGTGAACTAACAATATGTGGAACTCTTTGCCTTACACGTGTTTACATGTATTTCGATGGTTGGGTTTAGAGGAACTTTGAAACTGACCAGAGATAATCATTGTCATGTCTGACATAGAACTTTCAGTCTTGATATTTTCTTCATGTGTGTCTTAAAATGAAATAAAGTCTGTAAATAACGGAAAATATCGTATCTTTAAACACCCCTAAACTTTCGAGACACAAATGTGCAGACACACTGCTCTGTTCTAGACACATTTTTCAAGTACTCTTTTATCAACCACAGACAGCCTTTTGATTAAGAAAAGCGAGTGGTAATTCTTGTTCACATGTGAAGTGACAAGATGAAAGTTTACAGTGACGTACTGACTTTCTCGCTCTTTGTGATAGCGGAGGCCACAGAAAGAGTTACAAATGAGTTTATCGTACCTATCTTCTCAACGATCCCAATTTCTCCAGAGGACTATTCGCTACAAATCTATTGGCTGCTTAGGATAACTAAAACTTTGCAAATGGTACGTACTAGCCTATTAGATATCTTCAGGGAAATTGATTGAGTAGATCAGTGTATTCTTTCACGAAATGAATGTTTTTTTGTGAATCAGGCAGTAGGCTAAGTTGTCGCAGTTTTATCTACTTTACTTATTTGTCTTTTAACGTCAATGGAATTTCCACAACGCCCTAACTTTGGACAACACTTCTAACTGTTTAAGGACGACCCGAACAACAAGAGAATCAAATTGCAATTTAGGCACCAAAAGCTTATTCGTAAACTACAAATAGTCAACCAAACTATGTTGTTCTGACAATAATTATACCGACTACACGACAAACATTTTGTCTTTATGTTTCCGGAGAAAATTTTCCAAAATACAGAATCAAAACAATGCGAAATTGGGAATGTTCAAGGTCAAAATTATGAACAAATAAGTCCAAGGTTTAAGTCAAACGACCTTATCCAAAACACAGTGAAACCAACGATATTTAATATAACAGTTATTAGGTAGTTAAATACTTTTAGTTTCTATTTCAAATAGCTATCAGTATGTACTTGGGATCTCATCCCGAAGAATCTTCTTTACAACATGACGTCACCTTAAGTACATTATTCTCTTATGAACGTGTTCACAGAGGAGTAATCAAATGTGATTTGAACTAAAACTTAATTTTATTTATGTTACGTTGAGGTTCTTAATTGGTAATCAGTGACATGTATGACGGTTAATATGGATTTGATCATGATAGGTTACCTTTCTTCCCACTCCAACGTATCACTGATGTTGTTTGGCAATAAAATACACTTAAAAGAACACTCGTTCACAGTGAAACAAAAATAAACCCACACAGATATCCATACAAACATTTTAAATACACACGCTAGTAGTTTATGAAAACCTTGATGGTTAGCGATTATGATAGCATCAAGGAATCTTTCAAAGCAGGTTCGGTGATAACTTCAATATCTTATATATCAAAGGGATTTACTACATATAACACGTTTCTATTAATCCTGTTATTAACCCATTTCTTCCCGCCGTTTAATTGCTAGAAGAAACAAAATACGAATTACAATCTTCCGATGTTTGAAGTATGAAAAGAATAAAGAATGCCGCTAGTATTTTTTAATTTTTTTAATTTTTTCTAAAATAAAGGTTAGGATCTTGCGTGTCATTGGAATTCTTGAATTACAGAGACCTATCAGTTTTACTAACTCACTAACGATGCTAGTTGTTAGGACATCTTTTGAATTTGTCAATTGAGGCTCTTTCGAAATTCTATTCTACTAGCCTATAGTTTCGGTTTTCAGATTGTCTTAAACTTGTGCTCGTCTTATTCCTATCTGTTGTCGGTTGCTTTCATCAATAAATTTAAGTTTATTCCTGGTAGTCACCAAGTAATTGGTTCATTTTTCTTCTATCCTTCCAAGTTTTGGATTTCCTTGCACTATCCATCAGAATCCAACTTACTTCGAAGCTTAAAGTGACCCACTTCACATTTGCATCTCATAAAAAGACTAATTCCTGCTGAAACTCCTACCATCTTATCGAACCTCGTAGTACACAATTCAGATGGCAGAATTGCATTGCTTTGGTCAAATTTTGTGTGCTTATGGGTTCCCTCAGAAAGATTTATTCTGCAAATGGGGTCTTAAAGCTGGTATGAATTTGTGATAGCTAATATTCTGTAAGGTTGTGCATGGAGGTTACTTGAAGGTTTAGCTGAAGGAGAGACACAAGTTGACAGCCCATTGGTTGGCGAAAAAGCATATTTTTGCCATCCAATTGATCTTCATTTCGCTACGAAAGGTTTACAAGGTAAAAAAAATTTATTACGTTTCAATGCTAGGTTGGCCCAAGCTTCATTTTCAGGTTTGGCATCATGATTGGGTCGGTAAAAACGAGCTTTTTGGGTACGGTTTCTGTCACATTCCAACATCTCCTGGAAATCATCAGGTTATTCGTACTTTCTAAATAACACTTAAAAGGTAACGGTTCCTACATGGAGGCCGGTAGGTTCTATTTTGGACACCTTAGTGTCAAGGCTGGTTGGAGGTGGTCCACGTCTTCGCAGACCAGATATTGTCTACGACCCAACTGATAGATTTTTGCTCCAAACTGAAAGTATGGGTTACATAACACTCGATTTGAATGTCGTAACGAGAAATTTTGATAAGTTTGGTGTGGAAATGTAGATCATTTTTTATGCTTTCGAACGTTTTCAAAACAAAACGTTAACTACTTCATATTGACTTTGACCGTATTTCTTTTGATATTTCATCAAATGTTTGTGTAAATAACCCTCTGAAACAATAAATAAAACACTAGTAACAAGTGGCTTACTGACTTTTGATCCTAGAAAAGTAAGGCACTGGATAAGAACTGTGGTGGCGAAACCTAAGGACTAAATTAAACATATGACCACTACGTTTCAATAAAAAAGTAATGATACTGACATAAAAAGTAGCCATAGGCGTAATAATCTGAGTAACACTAAGTGTGAAGTGAGGTTGGTTACAAAAGTGAAGAGTTAAGAATCAACTCTGTTTAGTTTAAAAAAGCAATAGTATTACGCCAGACAGATTGTTGAACAACATCGTTTGAATAAAATGTATTTATCACAATCCCTGTAATTCTAGGATAGTGAAAAGTTTCATGAAGCCAATAATGGTCTCGAAATTGCAAAACACTAGCAGTATCAGGCTACTCTCATGACTGCTAATGAAGAAGGCGAAAACAAGAAGATATTGCATTTTCTTTTAGCCAATAACGGATATCACGTAGTAATTGTGATAAGCTATCTTCATTTATGTTACGCCTATAAACAAAATATACTAAGTACAATATAATTATATTTGAAACGCTAAAAGTTAAGAATAAAAGTGTTTTATTAAAAAATAAAAAAATATTGTCACCAGAAAACCAAAGTGTAATAAACAAAGTTATAATGTTTGAACTGGCACAAATATTATCTAATCAAATCTAGCTTTACAATTACAAAGCAAAAACATTTTCGTTTGTATACTTTGATTTTCTAGGAATATTGTGTACTCAATCACAATTTGATGCGGATGCTTGACCAAGCACCATCACGTAGAGTGTATAAAGTAAAGCCAATAAGGTTAGCATCAATTTCTATGACTTACAAAATGGTTTATTTTGAGTAGGTCGATGTTTTAAACTTTTTAGATGTTCCAATTACTGCGTGCGGCGTTTGTTTTCAGTGTACCATTGTTCTTTTAAAACATAATTTGTTTCTGAGTTACATGATCACTATGAAAAAGTTGTTGTCACCATCGATGATGATATTACCACTTAAGCACCTAGTATAAAAAACTGTTCTTAGTATAACAGAATATATGTTACAGTGTGTAAATGCATAACCTTGCCATTAAGGAATGGTCAAAAAATTATCTAACCACGTATAAGTGACTGTAACCCATATTATGTGCCCATCAAAAAACTCAGGTCGCGTCTGGCATGGAAATGCTGATATATAAAATGTGGTTTATTTGTCAGAATCTTTGATTCTGTTGTACTTATCAAAAGCCTCAACAAAGCAGTGTCAAATTATAGGTTTATAAGACAATATGTAGTTGTGTAGTAATGAATGGCTCTTCGAAACCAGTAATTCGTTAGGTGCTGAAAATAAATGTTGACCTTGCTAGTTTTATCAAAGTAAGCTAGCCAAAAGTGTAATTTCAGATCAATGTCACCTTGACACTATTATTCTCTTGAAGTACCTTTTTCATCTCTTTTCTTGCCAGTAATTCATCGCTCATATTTTTTCACCTTCAGTCATATTTCCTTCTTGATCAACAAACTACTAAATACGCGCACTTTATTGGAATAAAACTTTTTAAAATGTACGTGATATGAAATTCAAAAGATCTTTCATATTTTTACAAAAGGAGAGAAACGAGGGTTAAGTCAATTAAAACTTATGGAAGTTTGCAGTGTTACCGAAACTTAATCAAGTAAATTTAATTCACAAACATTTTTAGCCAAAAGCGTAATTCATTTTAGGTAGATGTGTTGCTTTATTCAAGAGTATATTTTTATTTATTCATCCTATACCGAGGGAAGCAATGTTGCAAAAGTGGTATATATATAAAAAACTAACGAGATTAATGTTACACTTTTGACAATCAATAGTTTATACTCGTACCATCAGATGCTCATAACCAGAGATCTTTCATCTTTGTTGAAATTTCCGTTGAAAAACCTTTTACTGCCATCCGTTATGTTGAATAACGTCATCCATTGATTAGGTAAAAAGAGGATTAAATCGAAATTCAAAGTGAGATCCTTTAAGGTTATCACATAGCTAAAGCTTTACTGAGAGCAAGAAACTCAATAATAAGCTAGTTATGTTCCAGATTATAAGTAAACAGGTGCTTTTTGTGATGATAGTTCAGCAGCAAACGTAGTCAAATATTAGTTTTCAGTAGCGATGTAGAACTGTGATGATTAGAAGTATTCAAATTATAGTATGAACTAAGAATCCCGGAAATAACGTAGTCGGATTAAGAAGTACTAGATAACCACAAACGAATTTACTGTATTTGGAATTCAAAATCAAGCATTTAGCAAGTAAAAAGGAATCATTAGTTCATTCAAATACCACAAAAACACAAATACAATTTTCAAAAAAATGGATCTAAATCTAATCACTGAAGCTGTATTAGGAAAAATATGGCACAATAAATCTTGATATTAACAGAAATTTAACAACAATTATACGAGAATATTATCTAAGAGTGTTTATTGCGACACGATTAAGTAGTAGCCAAGATCTCAGCCATTTTCGTTTTACAGGTAATAATGTTCCTGGAATAATCATCCATAGGATATATTTGGTTCTGAAAATGATCTTTCTGGCTAATGGACTGGTCGTTGTAAATAAAAATGCTATATGTTAGACAATTTCTTGTGTTAATTAATTTTCCGGTTTCATGATCGTCAAGTACAATCTCCTAACATTCTTATCTGTTTCCTTCAAGTTCGTTTAACGAATAATTGATCATCATCGTAAGAGCAAACAAATACGTCTTTGAAATGAAATCATTTTTCCATAAGGGTTTCTAACCATTCAGTCTGGTAAGCTTACATAAATCTTTTAACCTATTTACAGGTATCGTTTCATTCACTGTGGCTAGTAGTAAAGTTCTCGGAATTTTTCAGCACAGTTTGGTTTTCTAGGACAATATCACCGTCTAGTCTTTTTCTCTTTCACTAGGTTTGGTTGCCATTAAGATTAGGTGGATAATTAGAGGTGTAAAACTTGGTGATATGTTAAGTTTTAACTCATTGTCAATTTTGTTCAATACTATCTCTGCTTTAATTAGGTGTAATAACTGCTCAGTTTATTATTAGATTATTTTTAGTGTGATAGTTTGTGAAGAATAATATTGATTTTATTTCGTTACGCAGTTTATTCAGTATGCTATTGCTTGTATTAAATTAATGTGAACTTTGTTTGAAAAGACATACAGCATATGTCTCGTAGTAATTATGTGTATTTCCTCTACATACAATGATTATTAACTGATCACCAGGTCTATGCGAAATCGTAATATCAATGAGTGTATTTTGGTGCTAAAAGTTAACGCATTTTGAATGGTTAGTCAAATTTTCTTATGCACTTGTCTTCGTGTTTTTATTTTGGGCTGTGGAAATTGCACCGCTTCAAAGTATCGAGTATCACGAATAATCTCGTAAGTTCAACACTTTGAAAGCTATTTTTGGTGAATCGGTAAATATTTTCGATGTTTCCACAATTGATTGTTCACTGGGTGGTGATCAATCTCATGCTTGTCTAGTCCTTATTAGTGCAGATCGAATGCTATCGATCATGTTGCAATGTGGCCACCAGTCTAGGTGACTCGACACTGCGGGCACTATGTATTGAGATTAGATGTTGGTGCCCGCAGTGTCGAGTCACCTAGACTGGTGGCTACATTGCAACATGATCGATAGCATTCGATCTGCACTAATAAGGACTAGACAAGCATGAGATTGATCACCACCCAGTGAACAATCAATTGTGATTACATCTCAGTCCTACAGGAGGTTAGTCACGGCTCGGATAGCTCAGTGGTAACGTCTCTGACTGTGAAGCTGGGTGACACGGGGTCGAATCCGCCAGGGAGCACCAGTTCCCTCAATATTACAGGTACACCTTGCTGACGAGTGCCAAGTAGCACGAAACCCGGGTCCAGGGTTTCCTGTTGACTACCTCCAACCAACATTTTCGATGTTTATTTGTTAAACTATAGGTTTATGATACTTTAATTTATAAGCTTATCTATAACTTATAAAGTGTTTTTATGCCTTTGTGGGCTCATAAATTACAATTAATTATTTGAAAACCTGTTGTTCATTTTTGTACAGAAAATGTAATAATTCTGCATATATTTGAAGTTTAGTACTTATGATATGACGTGATGTTGTATTTTATCTATTTAATCACATGAGTTTCTAGGTTTGAATAACAGATATTTGGGTGGATTTCTACTGTTCTTATTAATAATTCGAGGGACAAGAGAATTCAGCATAAACGATCGATCGCTAACATATACTGTAATTGATTTTATGCCAGTATCGTCATTAGTTTAGATAGAATCACATCATCTACTGTATATTCCTTCACATTTTCATCAAGGTAACTAATAGGTATCCACGAACGAAAGTAAATTCCCATTATTCTGCTTGGATTGTCAAAATGCTGTAATAAAAAAGAGTATTTACTAGGAAAACGTGTTTCAATACAGAACATCTATCTATTCTAATTTACTGCCTAGTTATTAGTATAAGGGTACCAATATGCATAGTTTAACCTACATCTTATTGACGGTTTATCCGCTGTCAACTCAGTAAGTAAAATCATAAAATTTAATTTTATTCATTACCATAATGTAAATTTAATAATGGAACGTTCCAATAAGTCACTCACCATTAAAAAGTCAGAAAGTAGACGAAAAGCTATTTTCTATTTGCAACATAATTAAAATTAATACAATGTATCTTTCAACATATTTATAGCACTTTAAAATTATCGCATGCAAGGGAACTAATAGGCATTTATATTGATCCTAAATTAGTACTGGTGTTCAACAATAGTTTGAGTATGATATTGTATAAATTTCTATTGCAGTCCATCTTCCATTTTACTTGGTACTTTTTACTTGTTATTATTTCAGACTTTTCAGTTCTGTAGATCGACATGGTCAAAACTGATTAGAATTTCGGAGACTGGGAAAAAATGGATAAATAGATTGACAGAAAGAGGGAAAGCAATAAACAAAAAACAAACAGTATCACTTGTTAGGATAACGTTTTGATTGGGTTTCTTCAGATGGACATTGTGATGCTATCCTCATGAGTGTTAGGCTTGTTAGAATTAGGATTAATCTTGTCATTTTATCGACGAAAGCGAAATCAGTGAATAAAAGCGACAAAATAACAACATTTAAATGGGTATTATTAAACAATAAATGCATAACGAAAACCTGGAGAGAAAGGAGATTATTTTCATTGTCTACTAGTGCGTTGTCTGATTTTTTTAGCTCATTTCATAGAGTGTATACCTATTATTAATTATTTCGGTTGTAATTCTTCTTCATATTGTTTTCTAAAACAATCACCAATAGGAAAGAAATCCCAACATCTTTGCTGATACAACTCCCAAACATATGTTTCCTAGATAAGAAAAAAATGCAGTGGTAATAGTAAAATAGGCAAGGCAGACTTTATTTGTTGGGAAAATAATCTAATGTTGGTGTATAACTATAGATGCACCTTTCTAAAACTTATAAAAATGTAATTAACTAAACTAGTGGCTAGAATAAGACTAATTTTGAAGTGATAGAAATTTGTTATTTAGGTGAATGGATTTAGGGTAATCACATCCTATTTGTTGGATGATTAAACTGTGATTGTTGTGTCAACTTGGCAATCAAAGCTTTACGATTAGATTACCCGTTTAAAATTACCAAAACTCACTAAATAGAACTACTTCATTTGTTTAATTTTCTTGGTCAAGCCCATGAATTCACAGTATAAGTGGTTTGAGGGGTTATTGAATGCTGTTAATATCACAACTCAAGTTAAGACAATGGAAGACGGTTGAGCAGTGTCGCAAACTGGTTGAAGTTAGACATTTACACAGTTAAATTCAGTCTCAGTGTTCTAGATATCAACGGTTCTTTGCGAGACCTAAGGTTCTGGTCTGGACAGCCTGTTGGATCGTGAATGTGAATTGTGGAGGAGTCCCGCAATGAAATGAAACAGCTATCCAGTGCTTCCTGGTTTTTCATGGATATCTGGCATAGGTTTGTTTGCAATATCAGCAAGCCTCGGTGAAAATTCTCTTAATACAGGTGTTAGTGAAGTGATAACTTAATAAATATTAATCAACAAAAAAAACTAACAATGATACTTATTTGTAAGACAGACGAATTAATCACTTTTCAGAACAGACTCTTCAAATTAAATTTTTTGAGGTAACATTCACTCAAAAGTAAGCTAGTGAAAAAACCTAGATGTAGCCACTTTTTAGTAGCAATCTCACCTCAGTTATAAGAACTGTCTGTTCATTCTGTGAAATCTCTTGTACATCATTGTTTATAATAATAATAAATATAATAATAATAATAATAATAATCGTTATTTCCGCCTAATTACAATTGACTGAATTAATTTAGTCATGTAAAATGGTATAAATTTAATTAGTCGTTTTATTTCACCAATGAAATTTAAATAGAACCATATTATTGATACGGTATATGTTATACTGTTCAATGCGTTTTTTCTTATTTTAGCCATATTGTTCCATAAGATTTAGGTAAACAAAACATTATATGCAGTAGACTATCTACCTAGTGCGATCTTTATACAAAGTATACTAAAAGAATAATTCAGCACATATTTCAAAGGCAAATTGCTCATACACTTGAAATTATAAAAACTGAAAGTCATCAAGTTTGTGAAAATTAGTTCGATTTGAAGATTATCTTTCTTCCTCACGGACTAACTTCAGTTGGAGAACCGTTGATAATCAGAAGTCAATGGACAAATGTCTCATTTTCTTTTGAAGCCGATCAGCTGTACACACTTATAACTTCAAATGGCTCAAAGTCATGACCTTAAAGTCTCTTGGTAATTATACTATTTTTAGTCCACTGGATCGTAACTGGTAATTCTCCACCTTCTTGAGCAAAGAGAAGTTGTTAAATAATTATGCTAAATCCTCGTCGCACTCTGTCAACGTTTAACTAATATTGATGGTATAAACCACTAGGTTCCAACTCAATATACTTGAGGTGCCATGTTGTCTAAACGATCTGAAGATTCCATGGTCGATAATGAATTAGGTCGTCAATATCTATTCATGAAAAATCCGGACTAGAATGAAAAAAAACTATTCAGTACCTTCTGGTTTTCAACGGTTCTTCTTTATATTAATTCGTGCCGGAAACTACCTTTCAATTAAAGCTAATTAAATTTAGAATCAGTAGATTATCTTTACAATAAGACAAGTTAAGTAGTTTTACTAACTTGGCCAGTGTATTCTGTATCCGGCTTATTGATTATATGCATTAGAAAGTACCTGTAAAATGAAATGGATAGCAAAGAAAAGATTTTAAATATTAGATTTACTAATTACTGATGAAAATTACAGGAATGATTATTATTTATCATGTAGGACAACTGTGACAATAAACTCTAAAGTAACTGATCACATATGAATTTAAAAATTTTATTATTTTCCACAGTCCTTGATTTGGAAAATAGAATGGACATTGCTGAATGGCTTTAAACAATTCACACGTTGATCTTAGTCTATGGTCAAAATTACCATTAAATTTAGCAGATTTTCATGTTAACGACAATATTAGAATTTAATTATTTTGTAGGAAACATTATGGATTTGCAAGGAAATATCGAAAAACAGAAAAAAAATTATTCAGCACACTCTCAACTTTAATTTGAACTGAGTTTGAGACCATTTAAACATAGAGAGAAAAATCACTATAAATTTATATTTTTCAGATTTGATTTACTGTCAAATCGAATTGACTATCTTTCAATAAAACTTAAATAACAATTTAGCAGTTATCTAGTATTTGGAAATTTTAATTAACTGTTTCACTGTGTAGTATATATGTCATAATAGACTATTCAAACATGTTTACTGGCATAATCCATCATATTGTTTGCAGTACAAACGATAAACTTACTCTATTTTTAAACTTAAATGCCTATAATTTACCAATTCATCATCAATTAAAATCAAACACTTCCTATTTATAGTAAATACAAAATTATAGAACAAAAGTATCAATATCAAGATAATGTAAATTGGTTATACATTAAGTTGGTCTTAAAAGGCAGAATAATATTTCAAGAATGGAAGTAAAAATGTTATTCAACTGTTTAAACAGTCAGCCATATGCAACGTAGAACCTGGCATATATTTGTGCCGGTTTAAGTTACAACATCACTTTAACACAGCAAGATAGAATAATTAAGACAAATCCCACAGTAGTAGAAATAATAACAGTATCAGTAGTACAATAAAAATTAGGTATAGAAAAAAGAAGTATGAAAATATTTCGGAAATCAGGTTCTAGGGGAAGATAAAGCATGAATGCATCTACATTACCGCAATCTGTTCCAAGCAGTGACATCCAAGATTTTCAGCTACTGGGTATGGTAATAATGGGGATATCAACCAAGTAGTCTATATCCACACTGTTAACGAAGTGTAATTTTCGGTGATTTGACAGATTGATTCCAAGTTTTAATTCGGTCGCTGCTAGTCTTCCTTCACCATACGTCTCCACCAGACGACATCTGTCTATGTAGGCGGTGGTTGGGCTTACGTAATATATGTCCCAGCCAACTCGGTTGACGAAGATTTATTACTCTATCAACCAATTTTCAATTCTTAATCCTTAAATGCAAACAACCTATTGTTTCTGAATTAAATAAACAGGCGCATCTGATATGCACTGCGCAGTAGCTATTGTGTATTAAGAAGCAAACACAGTCTTGTAGATTCATTTAAATGCACCAACACAATGTTGAACTCGAAAATATCCGTACAGAAGCCTCAATACTCTGTGTGAAAAATTTGCCTTGGATATCTCAATGATTATTAAAGAGATTCAGTAATAAGAACCTACAAAATTCAGATAAAATTCGTATTCCTTGGACACAGAAGTAACATGTGACGTCTAGGAAGGGACTTTCTAGTTCTGAGGCAATTGGAAATGTGTTAAAGCGTGCAGGAGTGCACAAATATATTTCAGGGATGGGAAATTCATCATGATCAGGAACTGTCGTCTGTCCTAAATCCTAGGAAGGAATCTCAAAACTTACCAGTGAAGAATTAAAAATGTCATACACAAGTAAATTTTATTATTTAAGGTCCACTTCACGTTATAATACGAAAAATATGTTAAGAAAATTCTGATTTGTTAATTTTATTGTCTAATAAATCACTTTTTATCCTAGTAACCTGTTTGTCCTAATGTAAGCGACAAGGATCTAGTGCATATTTGTAAATTTCTATTATCTAATTTGGCTACTAATAAGTAGTTTAACAATAAACCGATAACAATACTAACTCTTAATTTCGAAAGGATTTATTTCAACAAAAAATAACTTTGTTTTGTATAATCTTAATCCAGATGTTTGTTATTTTGCTTTTTGTACAATCAACTTACATGTAATTTGCAAAATTATGTTCTTTTTCAACATGTTGTTCAAAACCATGTGGTATTTTATCGAAATATTCTTTGCCAATACCACATATGAAACATTTTGATTCAAGGTCTTCTTTTACCTGTTCTAACTGATCTCTTAAATCACCAAAGGCATCAATGATGAGACCTAAATATATGAAGTAAAGAGTACGGTAGGTTTTATGAGAAAAAATGCAACAAAAGCTCAATCAACAGGTGAGAATTATAAGTTCGACGGTGGTTCTTATTATTATTGTTACAAATAACATAATAGTGATCCGAAACATAATATCATCTATTTTAATTTTTTGCAATCTACATACACTACTGACTACATTTCTAGGGAAAGAAGGCTTACGGAACTAACTCAACGACCCTATGGTTGTGTATAAGATATTTAAATCACTGATGACTTCTGCATTCCTGCATCGTCATTACCCACTGTTGAATTTAAATTTCTAAGGCTCTACTTGGATTTACAGTTTTCCCAAGAAGATTTAACCGTATATTCATGTGAGAAACTGGTGTATAAAAAAGGAAAGTGAAGGTTTGCCTTGGTGTTTAACGTATACATATTCTAGAAGTTCACTTGAGGTTGGAATTTCACACCACTGGTGATCTGTAAATAGTTACTACAAGACACAGTAGACCGCTCAACCAACAGATTTTAATTGATAGCTCTGGATTTTTCCTGTCATTCGTTTGACATCTAGTTTCAACTAACGAATGACTTCGAAGATGAAGTTACTCTATATCAGTTAATTAGTAAGTGTTTTAATGAGAGCGATGATCCTATCCTCCTAACCAAAGAATACATTGTCACTAGGAGAATTAACAGTGGTGTTACCAAAAAATTCTTTATTGGTTTTGTCCTGTGTAACGGTTGGCATTGTATGCGCTTATCATGCTTGTTCCATGCAGATACACAAGATCGGATAACACGGATATGCTTGGTATGTATATACTTTCTAAGCTTTCTACCTATATCTTCACCTTACTATTCTTTCATGCCAATTCAATGTGTTGAAATACATTTTCAACCAGTGGATACACTTTTATGCTTGCTTAGCTAAAATTACATTTATTAATTGGTTATAATACAAGTAACTAATAAAACAATGTTCCTTTAATAATAAATCAAATCAGCTAGACTTTTTTTAATATATGTGAATAATACATATAAATGGAAAAAATTACATTTCTTGTTTAAAACGATGAATAATTTTAGTTTGTAGGCGTAAGAAGTTCAATTGTTTTATGAGTAGTTTTCGACACAGACTAACATCAATTAGCAGTTTCATTAAAAACCAGGGAGCAATGAAAAACTATTTTAGTCGAATATGGGATTTCTCTAGAGTGCACAACCAAGACCAAACTAGAGATGGAATCCTAAACCTTCAGTTCTCTCAAACTGACTGGAATTGATTCAGTGAATCATTAAATTAACGTGATGTCCTTGCCATGAGTTCTGAATGTCGTGGATTCAGTCTTTGGGGGGATTTGTGTTGCGAAGAATTGCATACTGGAAGGAACTAGTTTTCTAATACTCCTTTGTTTTCAATAATTCTCAAGCTAACGTCAGTCTTTAAGTTTAACGATCTTCACAAACCTTCTAAACTAACAGTAATACAATGCTCTGACTGTATTTTTCGCTTGTATCTCTATCTACCACACATGTAGTAACTATACAGGCATCATCCTTAATATATTTTAATGCGAAACAATTTCATCTTTTTCCTTCTCTATTAAAATTACCTTGGATAATAGCCAACAGAATAATGATAACAAAAAAGAAGAAGGTCAAATCGAATAAGATTCGATAATTTTCTGACTCGTCACCGTCAGGTGCTTCAATTTCATCCCCAATTCCACCACCAGCTCTTAATCCAGTATGCAAGTGAAATATGAAACACTGAAATTTAAGGAAAAAAGATATATGTAAATATACAGGCATCATTTGCACTTTGTCATTTAGGATTACACAATATATACTGCTCATCTACGTAGAAATCGTTTTTGGTCTCATTAAAAGTACTGAAATTCAGGGGGATTATAAATATTATTTTTTAGCTGATTACTGCCAGTAAAAGTGCAATTAAAGGTACGCTAAAACAATTTCCACTAATTCATTTCATGAACAATCAGCTGACTTCACACGTTCGATATTTTTTCGACACAGATTTTGAAAGTCTTCATGGCCTTGCATCATTATTGCGATTTCATAGCAACCACTGAAGCATTTAATTCGCTTGAAATGAGCTATTTCCTTAACGCGTTTCCGCCATAAACAGAATTTTGCATTCAATGACTTTCTTGGGCTTCTTTGTAAGTTACACCAAAACGTTTCGTAGCTAAGTCTGGTTATTTATTGAGCATATTATGCATAGGGTAATATACGTTTGTGCACAATATTTGTTATTAGATACATATCAGTTTACCTATAAAATTAATTATTGTAAACATGTATTCACTAGTCTTATAAATTGACGATGATTATTAATCATAGCATGAAATATGATCAAAAAAGGAACTTACAGTCTTCATATCATTACATTTTGGATCAGGCACACCATCATTATCTTTCACATAGAATTTACGGAAGAAATTAAAGGCAACCACAGTGTATAAATAAATAACAATCGATGTCAACATAACTGTTAATACAAGCTGTTCAAATGGTTTGAGGAAAGAAAAATGAAGTAGATATAACAAAATGAAGATGTAGAAATTGTTGTAGCATGAACGTATACAAAATATTATCTATTTTATTTTTTTACTAAAATTAGAAAATTAAAAGTTAACTTCTGAAATGATAGAGGTTTGTCGCTTGAGTCGATGCTATTGGTCATGTTGTACTATCTGAGCTAGATAGATAAATTGCAGAGTTTTCAATTTTATTCTGCACATCTTCAGCGCTTAACTACATACAGGTAGTTCAAAGAACATAAAACCACTAAAAACAATCGGCTACGAATACTCCGGCTTCAAATTTCATTATCTTATTGTGATTGTTTACATTATTTGAATAAGTGGTAAAACTATACTAAACCAACAGCCTTGAGAGAACAATCAAAATTAAGCTAGCTGATGTGCAAATGTAAAAGGCTATTGAGGATTTTTTTATTGAATAAGAAAGATTAGTTCAGCAAAGAGTTCTCATTTTGGTGAATTCATTTTATTGCTAAAACTTATGGTTTTTACTCGATTTCACATTTTGAAAAGATGGGTGAACGTTTTCTCGTGGAATGAACTTTTAAGGTAGAAATGTTTGAACTAGGAGTATTACGACTGGAAGCCAGCGTTTTGTAGTATTCATGTCAAGAGTTAGGGTTAAAAACCTATAGAGTTTGAAGCCAAGGTCTAGGAGATTTCAGGTGAGAAGCTTGTGTCTAGTTGTTTCACGGTTAGCAGCTAGGGTTGAGGGGTTTCAATGTTGAGAGTTAAGTTTTGAAAAATCTAGGGCTAAGAATAATGGTCTATCCTGACCACAAACTATGATCTTCATACTAAGTTATCAATATTTAGCAATAACAAATTCATCAATGATTTTTAAGCTGCTAATCCTCTGTAATTTTATCATTTTTTTAGATATTTTAAAGCTCTTATAAGAAGCTGCATTCTGATTGAATAATCTTAAGATCACTCCTAAAATCTCCTAGGGTCGTTGTTGTAGTATAGTTTTACTGAATAAATAAATAAAGCTATTTTGAACAGTTCTTAAAAAATTCTGGCAAATTCTGTATTTGTATTTATAAAAGATTAAGAATATTATTTACATTAAAGTTAAAATTGGATGAGGTGTTTCAATGATCACAAGGAAAAGTGTGTGTGCGTGCCTATCTCTTGAGAATGAATTTTTTTAACAATTCACTTGACACTTTTTTTAATGAGTGTTTAGTTTAGTAAATTTAGCTACTGAACTGTTGATACGATGCATATAATAATGGCGACAACTCAATGAACTTTTTTATTATTAATAATTGTTAATATACGGGGTTGAGATCATGTAATTTGTAGTTCATCATAACGGATGAACTTTAGATTGTTAGCCCTAATATATATATATATATATATATATATATATATATATATATATATATATATAAACTTGCCTGTTTTCCATTATGTGTAACTGATTGAATTATCGTCCTGAGTGTTTTGAATGAAACAGCCACATCGAGTAAATGGCAAGCATAAAGGAAGTAATTCAAATTTCCAAAAGCTGATGCAGCAAAATAAACCGCCAAATACAGGAAAGACTATTAAAAATGAAAAAAAGAGGGTTTCAAAGAATCCCACTGAGTTGAATTCAGTCAATTCATCATCATGAAATGAAATATATGATGATATTACAACAGGAGTATAAGTTGATATATTTAAAAAATCTAAGTCAGTCAGGAGAACAAATAGGAATATTATGCGTAGTATTTCATTAACTAAGTTTACATTTTAAAAGATTTCTTCCGACTATATATTTGCTTCACTTTGCTATTGAATATTGATGCCTGGTTCTTGCTTATACAGTTGAACTACAGTGCATATGGTCACATGATTTAGTGTATCTTCAGATTAGAGCATAAATATATATAAATATTAGATCCGACATCACTGAAATAAAAATATTTACTGAAAGACATGGATGTTACGACCTTGATCTCGTATTAAATAATATTTTCATACTGTTGAGGGATACGTGAACTATAATAAGAAACAGTTAACATGTTCTCCTTTTATTGTAGTGACTTTTCAGATGATCTCACGTATTAGCAAAACAAACGTTACTTGAAGTCTCTAATCAAAAATCATTTTTTTCTAGCAATCTTACAATCGACAAAAATAAATAAATAATCGTAGTGATCCCTTGGATATTACACATTTTGTGATAAGTTATTCATTTGATTTACTTAATAACCTACGTAACATGATAACTAACAAGAATAAAAAATTTATCTAAGTGATTACCAAAGAAATAATAAAATAGTATTTATTAATCACGACAATTATGTGATTCATAGGTTAGTATTTATTGGCATATATTCATCCTACACGAACTGCTCTGATATAGCCACTTTTCACAAGCTTTTTTCATTGATGATATTAATGTTATACACATCGCACAAATTAGTGACTATCTGGATTCAGTAGCTCCGTGTATGATTTATTAGGCTTTTGGGGTGAAAGATATTGGATTAGAGACCCGATGTAGTCATCCGGCTAACGAGTCCTAAATAGGATCAAACGGTAGTCTTAGACTCCACTGTTGACCACGAATCCATATACTCTACAAATTATAGAAATATTACTTCAGTTGTTACATGATGAAACAAACATGAATTCATTTTTACCCGTCACATGAATGATATGTTAAAAGTGTGTATTTATTTAAACATAACTATACAAATACATGCATGAAAACTTACAATATCTGTAAAAACGACTCCCCATTTCCAAACCAAATATTGTATATCAATACCCCCGAAACTAAAATATAGTGGAAAAAAGGACCAAGAAATACATATTTATCGGCATAGGGGCTTGCGGCGATTATTCAATGCTACTGAGATTACAAACGGGCCTAAGTTAGACAACTATTGAAAACCAGGAAGTACTTGCCAGCTTTTTCATCTTAATTTCATAGTCATGTCGGGTATATCTGACCCCTAATACAGTACGATAATCTTTTACCATGGGTATCTCTCTAGTTAGATGGCGATAAACCAAGAATGCGGAGTACGCAATAATAAAACGTTAACACGTGGTGTTATTAGAAATTGTTATTTCTAACCACAGACAAAATACGAATTTGAATGGTGTTCACAAGCGAATAAACAATTGAAATGAATAGTTCAGAATGTTGTCGATTGTTCATGATGCATAAAAACAATAAAAATGCATAATGAAAATCTCAAAGATGCATTTAGCAATACACTACGCGAAGCTGCCACAATAGTACAGAAGTCCTGAGTAGTGAGCAACATCGCGAATCGATTAAAGTTAGATACGTGCTTCGCCAGAAGTCAGCTTGGTGGTATAAACTTTGAGCTCTAGATGCAAGACCTGAAGTCTGTAGGTTTGATTCCCGGTAGGATCGTAGGTACGCACTGCTGAGTCGCATGCTAGGACGAAACGGCCGTCCGGTGTTTCATGGCTTTCAATGGTAATCTACATCAGGTAAGTGCATCATTTCAATAAAATATACACTTATTTGCGTAAAATAATATACACTTATAGCACAAATATATAAATAAAAATAATTACGAAAAGTTTGATTTATTAAATGAAAGAAAAGGCAGTTGAAAGAAAATTAGGTACTTCTTTGTATGAAATACATCGGCACCTTACACTAAACTCCATAAAGATGTTATTTTCCATGTAATACAAATCGAGATTGAAGGCTACTCGGGATGCCTGGTAATAAGATTGATAAGCATGTGGATAAATAAAATAAACACTATATGAAACTGATAAAAACATATTTATATTCTGGATATTGAAATCCCTGTCTTGATAATGTAAGTTTTCAAAAGATGATTTATTTACAATCTGTATTGTACTTCAAATTGCTAACTGATGAAGTAAAATCCCCATGCTAAGTGAAAAATCTAATTACATGATATTAAATGTTACACATATTTAGTACAAGCCATCAGTTGAATTATTATTACATTCTGCTGATAAATATCTACTGGAAAATACAACTGTAACCTTAAAGATGTGCAGTCTATTTTCATTTGGTTGAAGTAAAGTGAATTCCGTTTTTGTCAGGGCAATGAGATATTTTCATCATTTGTGAGTGGCAGGTGCTAAGAATGACAAAATTAAAGTGGTTTTATAACCGTAGGGTTTACCGCTTTAGTTACTTTATCTAACTTTATAAGATGACCAATAAAATCATGTGTTAACTAATTTCGTACAGATTTTTTTGCATAATTCACGTTAATTCTAATGGAATAAAATAAGTTGGATATAAAATTTTTTCGGAAACGTACATTTCATGTATTTATTTAGGCGAACAGAAGAAAATATATAAGTACAGATCAGAGAGAAATTTCCAATCTACTTATAATATTTACGTATAAATCATCTTATATATAAAAATAGATGATGAGTAATAAAGACAAATGGCGATAGACAAGCATCCATACAGTACAACCAATAACTTTACTATTACTTATGAATAAGTCAGATAAGTTCATGTAATATTGCGTATCAATAAGTTGCTTTTCACAATACAGTTTTAAATTTAATTGATGTTTCAAGTACTTTAGGGGTCATTACAGTGTAGATAATTCATCTAAATTCTATCCAACAGCCAAAATCCAACCTTAAAATATTTTCTGGAGAAATAATTGTCTGTAACTTATCAACCAATACAACACTGGTTATGTCCAATTATGAATAATAATTAATCTCCAACTTGTTAAATGACACTAAGTACATAACTTTTGTCAATCAATAATATCATAGTTCATAGAAGGATGTGGCCATTTCTACTAATATATTTTAACAGAAAAGAGACTTACAATTTAGACAGACTAGTCCCACCAGTTTCGGTATCAGAACTAACTTTATCCATACCCAAAAGTCTTGTAATTTCATCATAATCATATTGAATGGAATATTTATTACGAACTTTCTTTTTAACAAATTTATCCCAATACATTTGTGGAAATGATGGTGTTGATAAGACCAATTTATCCCAATGTGCACGTAGATTATCTTCAGCCGGTTGGGAAGAGATCCACATGCCTTCGAATTCAAGCATTCTACAAATTTCTTTTTCACGTTTAAATATTACGAGTGGAACCTTTAGAAAAAATAATGAAAAAGTGGTAAATAAGGAAAAATGGAAAAGAACTGTTTTTATACTAATTATCTGTAAAGATGTGTGGAAGCACTTCTTACAACTAGTACCATACATACATTGAGTATTTTTGAGTAACGGTTTAGTGCGTAGATTGGCGTGTAGATAGTTTGAACAGATCTAAACAAAAATAGAACTCTCATTCGAAACTTTATATTCTACAGGCTACTCACCTGCTGGATGTATCGTTTCTTTAATCTATACAAGAACTGAGGTTTTAAAAATCTTATTTTCGAAATACCTTCCCTTTGCATTCGTTTCCATTATTCAAAAATTTACTTAAATAACTTAGAAACTTAGCTATTTAGGTGCTTTGTTGCTTCAGACAATAAACTCAATATCATATACTTTCCTATCGTCTCATGTAAAAAAGGACTTTCTCAAAATAAGTTCATCAGCGATAATCAAGACAGTGAGTTGGTAATAGAAAGACATAACGGACTTCACAATTTAAATGTCCTTACCAGGACATGATATCAATTATTATAGTGGTCTTACATAATTGTTGAAACTTTCAATGTTCATCTAAGTGATACAAATGTACTGTGATAAATTCATTGTTCTACTAGAAGCTTAATTTGAACTGAACAAATTTCCAATGAGTCATAATAGTTTTATTTCATATATTCATTCTTGATTCAAAGAAAGTGGCATCGACTGGATCAGAAAATATTAGAAAATATTTCTTTATCTTATCGAAATTTTGTGAATGTATTTCTAGGATATATGTTCTTTAAACTCAAGTGATTTTGAGATATCTGGGTTGGATACACATATAATACTAGACAAGCATGAGATTGATCACCACCCAGTGATCAATCAATTGTGATTACACATATAATACGTTAGACCTAAAACAATAGTTAGTTATGATTCAAAAGTTATGCTTATGTTAACAATGTGCATGAATTTAAATATTTTTTCAACTTGTAAACTATTCTCGTCATATTTATATTAGTAGTCAAAAAGGCTTATTAGAGAGTGATTTAATTTGCAGTTAGTTTTTGTCACGGATTAACACTAACTCCTATACTATTAAGAAGCAGAAAGCTTTGAATAACTATTTTTGCCTAGTATATGATTCATCAGCAGAACACGACAATGACCTCAGTAGAAAGAAAAAACTAGGACTTTCAAGTATAACAGTATAGCTTACGATTAGAGTATTGAAAAAGTATTTTTGTGGAAATTGGTTTAATATTGCAATTTTTATAGTCGTCGTAGAATGATCTGAGTTGTAGTAACTGTCAACAACACAGTTTTATTATCGGCATTTGGTGTAAACGATCATAAAATTATCCAGTCAGTAAGTGATAATACATTTTTATTCTATAAAATAATACGTGCAATATACTGAATACTACAAAAACTGGACTCAAATAATTTTTGATTTTTCAACTCTGAACAAAAACAGTAGATAGGAATAGGAAAAAAGTGCTACTTTCACAAACACCTTTTTTTTACAAAAAATGAAGTGTTCACAAGTTTATGAATAATCTTAGTAGTTTGAACCGTGTTGAAAAGATACAAAAACTGGTTGTCAGTTCATAATTAGTCTCATTAGCAGCATAATCAGTGTCTATTGTTTTCTAAGTTTACAAAAATGTTGATTGATTAAAGTACTTTTTAGCTTTTTTCCCAGCTTCTAGAGAATTATTCAATCATAGATATCTAAAATCATAAGCTAAATATATTAGATATAAAGCAATATTTGATAAATCACCTTTAAATAATAATATGCCACAAGTGTACTAAACGATAGTATAGAATGGACGGCAGCAAGTGTAGCTATGAGCGGACCAATATATGAAGATGTATCGCCTGATGAAACCCATTCAACTAACTCTTCATCAGTATCAGTGTCAATGCTATCATTTCCACCTAACTCATTACCAATAGCATCTTCATCACCCAAAGCATTTGGACTGATCTGATTTACCTGAAAAAGAATTAACAGAAATAATGAAAAATTGTATAAATTTGAAAGAAAACGAGTAAATCTTTATATTTTTGGTGGTTGGAAGTAGGGTTTATCCTCATTCCTGACAAAGTGGACTGTTCTTGTAAGATTTTAATACGTACTACTCAATGTCACAGTCAGAAATTTTACCACTAAGCATGTATAGTATTCGTAGCTACTTCTTAACTAGTTAGTGTCCATAGTTTACTGTGTTTTGGTGGCCTTTAAGCTTATTCCCAGTAGTAACATTGAAAGATAATAGAATTATTAGAGAAGATATCAGGATTACTAATAATTTTTGTAGTTTACGAAACAAGTTAGGAAACAGTGTAATCACATCAATTTCAAGAATTACATAAAATTCCCTTAAATTTGATTCATCAAAAGTAATTCTGTAAAACATTTTTTAGGGGCAACTGTTGATACTTCCTAATGCTATCCTGATTTGACCAATACAAATCATTATTTTATATTCTAGCTTTTATTAATTTTCTGTCTGGTTGTACTTCTATTAACATTTTGCTCAAGAGTAATATTAACTATCAGACACTTAGGTACACACAGAGAAAGACATTATTAACTATTCTATATATTTTAAAAACGTATACAACTTTGAACTGGATAAATGAGACTCTTTACAATGATCTAGATTTTCTTTATGACTTTTAACTATATGCATCATTCTTATTTTCAGTCATCAGTCATTTTTATAGAAGGGAAAAATTGTTATTTATGAAAAAGGTTATCACAAAGCACAATACCTTGGAGAATAATAAGAGGAAATTTATAACAAACGCCAATATCAGCGCACTAATTTTGAAACGATAAAAATTACTGGCAAAGAGTGAAATGACATAATTTCTTGTGTTGAATTTTGTTTTACATTCGTCTTCTTGTTTCTGACTCACTGTTGGTGATGCTGGAGATGAAGTATTCATAACATTTGTAGGTAAACGAGTTCCAGGTGGAGCAGAAGACGATGTTGATATTTTTTTCAAATTTGGACTAGTTAAATAATTTGGCGAAGCAATATTATTATTGTTGTTTTTCCAATTACCTGAAGGTTTAGCTGATTCAAAAGAAGAATAATTCATTCAAAACGAATTAATTTTAAATATAATTGTGTTCATTAGGTAAACTAATCCTAAAAGTATTATAAATGGTTGAACTACCTATTATGTCCAATAAGTAAGAGAGTTGAGGCTATAAAATCCTCACTTTACAAAACGTGAGGCACGCTAACCCCAGTCAATATTAGTTAACGTTATTATGGCTTATGTTGAATATCTACCTAAAGATCTAGTTGAAAATATGACGCTTTATATCTTTGGATGATATCTTAGTTATTTGTGATATAAAGGAGGATTTGAATTGTTTGTCGTATAAACTTGACACTTTTCAAAACCACATCAGTCTTTCATTTGAAGAGGAGAACAGTAAGCTCCCTTTCTTAGATATACTTACAAGTAGAAAAGAAGATGGTTAAACTAAACCATCGATTTTTATAAAGGCAACTTGGATAGGCTAGCATCTTAGTTATCATAGTTATTTGTCAGTTTAACTTAAACGGAGTTTGATAAAGGGCCTGTTTAATAGAGGTGATCGTATCTGTACCAACACTACTATTGATGACAAAGTGAGGATACTGAACAAAATATTAGTAGAGAATCATTATCTCATAAAATTCATAACTAAATGAGGTTTCAGTATAGTACATTTTTAAGATAGAAAACGACTTTCTACATCACTCTACCATTCAGGGGTGAGTCAAAGTCTCGTGTTGAAACAAAGGCTGAAATCAATTTTTAGTAAAACGTACTTTGCAGTAAAGGTCATTATTACTAAAAAACCGAGGACCCTGGTTCACCAAGATACCCAAAAACATGCACATGATTGAGTCACATCACTGTGTTTATTAATTCTCATGTGTGTGGCAACACATATATAAGGAGAAGTAGTCATGATTTGTTTAGTGTGTCTGAACATGTACCAAAATGGTTGCAAAGACAAATACACTAAACCTACTGTGGTACTAATGTTTTATTATCCAATGTGGTGAGTTTAACGTTGTTTTTAGCATCATTTTCTTTGTTATATTTATTTCTTCTCACCTTCCATTTGTCTAGCTTACCTTTTAATTTTTCACATGTAAATGTCATTAACAAGTGTATGTATGATCAGACTGTTTGAAGTGTATTGAGCTAATATATCACAAAGTTCTGATAATCTGCTTCATCCTATTACACTATTCAGATAATTTAGTACCTTTAATTAAATGTTGCTCTCATGAATTTTCGGTTATTGATGACCAATTTTGCTTGCCAGTACTTCAATCAATAATCTTATAAACCCAATTCAGAATTCAATGAGACTGTAATTTATGAACAAAATTTGAGCGACTCTAAAGTAACCTAGAGAATGTCCACGTACTTACCAGAGCTAAATGAGGTTTATAAACCTGTGATCACGATATACGGTTGGTGGTTAGGGTTAGGAATTAGATCTAAGGTTTTCATCCCAAAATGACATAAACTGAAATGCCGAAACGCCATTTAGCCAAATGGATGAATGAATTTCGCGCCAAAATCCAAGACTCGTTATCCTAAATCTGATTAGTTTGTCAACAAATTATATTCTCGCCTACAGTTATTCGAAATTTTGTGCACACAATGTTAATTAACACTAGAAATCTAAGAAACCTATTTTTCATTGGATAAATTATATAGCTAGGGTGTGGAGAAAGCCACCCTCTGAATGACTGTAAGTATGTTGCACTACGAACTGAAACAAACGATGTCACCATACTTTGCGGTGAAGTTTTATAAAACCACAATGTGTCATGCTATGCTGATCTGTATTTGGCTGATTAGAGTAAGATATGGTTGACCTATAATAAATGAAAGTAAATAAGCACTTATTTTTGTTAAATGTTGGGACATTTTTAATATTGCGAGTTCCTTCTATTATCGATTTGTACTCGGGTTTTTAGTACATGGGTTGCATGTAACTGTGTTAAATAAAGTATTTTTTAAAACCTATGTTCTGGTTCGATACATTTAGTAGTGAGTAGCGTATATCGTTTATCTGTTTATCACGTGATCCAGTCTATATCTAGTACATCTAGTCTAGTGATTGTATGATCACTTTGTACCATGCCGTATTATTGTATTATCATAGTACATCGTGGGGACAGAAAAATCTTTTATCTGCTGTTATATAAAACTAAAAATGCTGTTAACCAACAACCTACGAGACATATCACCTCCAGATTTTTCATTTTCATGTGATAAATGTGTAGATTTTGCAGAATTCGTTATTGCATACTCTTCTTTTATGGTAGCTAAATGTACTGGATCTGCACGTTCAATTAATAATTGCTGATCTTCTGATAATAACCACCATGGCTGTTCCTAAAGAAAATATTTTAAAAAAGTTTAGTAATAATGCATAAGTGACAAATTTCATAACATCAAAAACATTTTGACGTTTTCGAAACTGGTAGTTAGAACAACAAGAAACTTGTAAATAACATTATCAACTCTGTCTGGATGATGAGTAACTTGAAATGAGTAGTTTAGATTTGTGTTGAAAATGGTTGTTGTGCATTGAATTTTTGTGAATTAAACCGTACGACATTAACAAGTACTAATACTATTTGGTGATCAACTTATTATTTAGTATGGTAGAGAACATGGAATGGGGAACTCAGCATAAATTAACATCGGCTGAAGAATAACTGAAAAACAGGGCTTTATCAAATTTAGATTTTGAACAGTTTGTACATTTTCATTAAGTCGGGTAAGCAGTAAAGGGAATTTACAGCTCGGGCAAAAGGCAGAGTAGAATAAAATAATTTCTTTTATGAACTGTTTTTATTTAGCCTAAATAACTCAGTAGATTTCATTTGTTGTCTTGAAATATACAGTTGTTTAATAGTTATCGCTTCAACTCTGTCTTCGAAAACATAACCTAAAGTCAATAACTGTGTTTTAATTAACAAACTAAACAAATTAATTGTTTTCAACTATTCAGAAATATAGCAGTAGTAGAATTAATTATCATAAAGTATAGAAGATGCTTACCGTATCGATTTCACTAGAATGATGTTGTATAGATCCTGTAATTGTCGCTACTTTTGAATATGAACTTCGATCAATTGACCATGGAATCATTGCGCGTACAGCTGAATTACAATATGTTAAAGATCTTTTCTGACTAATATCAGACGCAAGTGCAACTATAATATACCATAAGAGATGAAGTATATGTGATCCGAATCGCCCCACACAAATTAATAATCCAACAATTATACCGAGTATAGTCAACAGGATATCTGGTATTGTCATTTGACGTAATGTATTCCATGTAGAACACAATTGAGATGGTCGTACACAATGAAATATAACTGACAGTACATGTCCTATGAATGCTAGGTGAGTTATTTCCAAAAAGCGATTAAATGCAGCAACCTTAAATTGAATAAATTAAGATTTTTTTAAAATGGACTTTCATGAGAAATCTTTGAAGTAAATTAACGAAAAATAAAACAATCCAACATTTTCTCACCATTAATTAGTATATTTGTTTCATGGACAATTGTTAATTAAATAATTTATGACACATTGTGTTGATGAGGTTTTAAGTGATATAAATGTTTTGGTAATGAAGGAAATGCAAATCGTCTTCTGATAAGATCAATTTTAATAAGTTATATGTGTATGATTTAGTTCTGTCTAGATAAGTTATTTAAATAAGTATATGTTTAGCTTGACTCAATAAAATACAGTATTTATGTTTTCCTGAAATGGGTAGATGAATCTTGTATATAACTAATCTACATTAATCAGTAAATATGTTCTTTCAATTACTCCATATAATATGATAACTAAAATTTTAATGTGAAACAAAACAACTAGCTAATCTAGCTGAAGTGAATGAAGAGTATTTAAGGGGGAATCTTGAAACTAAGTGGAAAAATAGTTGAAAGTCTATGCACATTGCTGGATTACAGAATAAGTCAGTACTATTTGTGGTTGTATTAATAGTTGTATCAAAAATTAGAAAAAAGACAACCCACCCTATTCAAGGCTATGTCAGCTTCATCTCCATTAATTGACTGAGCATGTTGCATTTCAAATATGGTATCTTCACAGAAATTAACAAAACACTCTAATTTCTCTTTATCTCCACTTTCACCAACTACAGAATGTAAAAAGGACCTCTTAGATTCTTTAATTTGTGGTGCTTCCCATTGATCAATATGCTGTTGGCGTATTTCGAAGTAAACACGTTCAATTCGACCATTTGAACCGGTAATTTCTATTCTACCTAAATGTGGCTCGAATACGTCTAGTACTCCACGAGCTTTGTCAATTAATCTTTCCAATCTAGAGTGAAATGAAACAGTAAATAATAACGCAATAACCAATGTAACATTAACTATATATTTACTTTAAAGAAAAAGAGACTGAATCGCTAAATAATCTACCGTATATGTTAAAAAAAGGTTTATTTATATTTCCTTTCATGATTCATTTGGTAACTACTGATACTCTGTCACTAAAATATAGGCCAAAAGATAAACGTATGCGATTGGCCAAGATTTGACTTTATTTTCTGGGGAGAGAGACACGCTGTTAGCTGAAAATATAGCTTTATTTTCAAATGGGGAAAGAGCTACATTTATGAATAAGTCTACATCTATTCTCGATTCGGTTTTAGTCAATAAGACTGTTTTCAGTCTCATTTTCCTCGGGCTGGTTTGGACTTAGTTATAGGAAAGTTTTTATACCATTATAAGATTTCAAGAACTACAACATAACAACTATTGTATCGAACTAATGACCATTATAGTTGAAAACTACTGATTGGTACTTAAACTGTGTATCTAACAGTGTAGGTTTGAAAAGTAAAATTATCTTTGCATCAAAGACAAATATCTACTTAAAGAGTTTTAAGATAATTTCTAGAAGTTTGTCAGATATAAATCCCTGTCTTAACATTTTATTTATCAAAAAACAGGTATCAATTAAACTAGTACAAACCATATATCGTTCCTGTAGTTGATCATTCTGAACCAGAACAAGTTAACATATGGTTGAAAACTGTATTCATGAATAATGTGCAATCAAGTTCTATACCCATCTCAATGTATGGATAACCTTGCAGTCACGCATGTCAGCGTGTAGAAAAGACTATGAACAATGTGTTGATATATTACCATCATTATCCCTGGTATCTGCAAGGAACTTGAAATATTCTTGGTGAATTTTGTTTTTGTAGGATAGAAGATAAAATGAGCTTCATAGTAGTTATTGTAAAGTTAAAAAAACCCAGATAAAAATGGAACTTGACCATCTTATATGAAAAATCCGGTTGTGCCTATTTAAAAAACATCACTAAAAATAATTTACAGATAACTCTGTGTTGTGGACTCATTACAAATGATCTTGAAATTAACGTGAAGGATAACAGGATATGATATACATGGAAATAATCTCATATTTTTATGATTTCTCACGGTTTATGATTAACTACTTTTGGTAATATTAAATCATATGAAGCAGATGGTCTAATTGTGAAGTTTTATCGTTGTTCTGGATAGCATTGTCAACTGATATTTTACTTAAACCTGAATACTATACTATCAGCTCAGAAAATTTAAGCTGTTAATAAATATTTCTCTATTTAATCAATCTGGTTAACCAATAATAAACTAGAAATCATTAAAACTTTCTAATAGAAAATTATTATTTCTTCCATAAAATACAGTTATTTTTGTGAAATATCGATTTAATGGTTAACACATTAGCGATATTGTTGGAATATGGGAATGTAAAGAGGATGCTTCAATACAAACCTATTGGTAAATGTTTTTGTATAAGTAGTGGAATCCACAACTAAACAAAATTCAGTCTTGAATATCAACAACGAGATAATACAATCTCTTAGGATAAAATGTCATGATCCTTGAACAAGGTAGTAGCTAATAGCACTCGTTAGTTTAGTGGACAACACATTGAAGTTTGAAACAATACGTACTAGAATCATGTTTCTTTGTAAACAAAAACACTAGGATACAGGAAGAAACAACAGATTGCCTAATTCTAGATACTTCAAATCATATGATGTCTACCAGATAAATAATCTCATTTGTCAATTATTCACGTTCAGTAATATATTTAAGCTGTAAATGTAAAGAAAAAGAGCATTTTCAATCACTATGATATGTCAGTATTCAAAAGAATAAAAGGAAGTTATTATGTATTGATGAAAGCCTACCTTGGATCAGATGGTACATGTTCGGACAAATTAGTCAATAATAAAGCTAAATTGAAACCAATATCTTCAGCTGGATTGTAGAAACGTTCTGTGAATTCTTTAAAATCAACTTTACCATCTGCATTATTATCAACACATGCAATGATATAGTTAATCTCCTCACTAGAATGCAAAAAAATAAACAAAAAACCCAATTAGTACATCGAATCATCGGTGATGTGAATCATTCTGTTGACAGGTTTGTTGACTATTTATTTTTTTAAGAGTGTAAGGACTCAATCTTGTAGAAAGTCTCTATAAGTGATAACAAATAAGGTTGGAAAAGCGACCGTATTATAACTGAATTTAAAATAGTCAGTAATCAAGATAATTGTTATTAGTTAAAATCAATTAGCGATCCATATTGTCTTTCAACTACAATGATTATTATTGAATGGTAGACCAAATCTCGTCTAGTTTTCAGTACTGATTAAATTCTGGTCGTTATGTTGCAATATAGTTACCAGTCTAGGTGTTTTAACGAAGTGTGTAATATATACTGATGTTGGATGGTTGAAAGCAATCAGCAAGAAATCTTGGACCTATAATTCGTACTAAATAGCATCAGTCAGCACTGCAGCTCTAAAAACTAGCATGAAATGATATTACTTTCTACTCAGTGATTAATCATTATACATATTACTTTTCTGTAAGACTCCATTCTCAGCCTGAACAATTAAATGATAAAGTCTCTGATAGTCTAACGGAGTAACTCATGTCCCAATGTCATAGGTGATTCATTTAGGGTCAGTTGTCAATAGCTGTTAAACTGGTTGTATTATTTACTATGATTTAGTTTAGCTGTTGATTATTTATTGTTGGTCTTCCTGAACACCTTTGGAATCTTACTGAATGATAAATCACTTTCTCAGGACTAAAAAGCACGGTTGAAGAATGTTAATTTTATGACTTGATCTCATTTGTATTTAAATCAACCCATTTGGATAGCTTTGAAACACACTCATTTAATTTTCGGTATTTTTATTGAAGCAAATATAAATTGTCTGAATTTAAATGAAAAGGTTAATTTTAGGTCTCAATACTAAATAGCCAAACCACCCAGCAATCAGGTCACTAAATATTAGGCAGTTTACTGATCTTTATCAAGGTCAAAGATAACCAACGCGCATCAATCAATTGCACATTATGGATAAGAGCATGACGCAAAAGTCCCTCTTTGTCTATTGTACCTTTTCTTAATAATACATTCCTGTAATAGAGTTGTTTGTGTTATGCGGTCATCAAAGTAACAGTAGTACCTGGATACGACGAAAGGGTAATCCGCGTTTGACTTTAATCTCGAGGTGTCGCTTTGACATCACGTCATTCCAGTCCAACTCGAGTAGTCTCTAAAGCATCCATATAGATCGCCTACGTTGGTGGTCTCCATTGCAACCTTCATGAAAGTTCAACAAGTAGATTTTTTAAGTGATATGACTTAATTTAGTTCATAGTGCAGTCTGAAGCTGAATTTACTATTTATTTTTCTTAGCACTTCAAAGATAGTGATTATCTTGATTCTTTCTTATGCTCCCCATTCTTTCATGTCACTATGAAGACAGAACTCAATTTAAACTGATATCAGGAAGTGAATCGTTGAACAATAGGTAGCTGTGAACACCTAATTTATTCCATTATGAGACTCTTCGGAAGTGTATGACGCTACGACGCCACGTGGAACTAAACCCATTACATCCAAATCATGTGATGAACATGATATCATTGAGCTATTAAATCTGTACTGGAGGTTTGAAATTTTCGAATTCAACTAATTCAAGATTTAATGTAATTACTATATAATGCAATCGATAATAATTATGTTTCAAAATGTTTCTATCAGTTTAGTGTTCGTATGATTTCCGAAAAAATGGTCAAGTTCAATTGTCGGCTTATTATTGAGATCTTAAACCGATCAATGTCAGATTACCATTGAAAATCTGGAAGCACTGGGTTATTAATTAAGGTGTCTCTTTAATAAAATAAAATGAAACTATCTAATGCATTTCATACTCTATAAAACATGATCTATGCTATTGATGAAAATTAATTAAATAAATCTTAATTCACCATATCAATAATTTAAATGTCAAAATATTATTCTTAGTCTTCATGACAGATTAATGATTGTTAAACAATGTAATTTATATCCGCTTATCCTGGAAATAAACACAATAAAATAATACAAGATCATAAGCTTCTTTTATATGGAGTATCACATATACCAAAAATATGTGTCAAAGCAAGATAAATAAGATGCGTTGGAATAAAATATTTTATTTTATATATGGTTTGAAGTTGTCTGACCTAACGAAGAAAAGAAGTCTAGTAATATTTCATATCATTTCCTCTGTATTAATTAATAAGGAAAATAAGTTTGATATTTAACATAATAATAAGTACATATGTTAAAACATCAACAATATATACTGCTTCATTATCCATGTATTTGAAAGTTGAAATACTTACGGTGAATAGGTTTTTTGTTGTTCTAAAGCTAATCGAAATTCTCTATGTGAAATCCAACCATCACCATTTACATCGAAAGCCTGTATATGAAAAAATGTAGACCAAATAATTGAATCATTACATTAAAAACTATCTCTTATTAGATTTGAATAATTTACTATGGTTAGCTGTAGTGAATTTTAATTACGCTGTTCATAAAAAAACACAATTAGTTTAGATACATTTTTCACAACGGACTGATATGAATTGATAAGTTATTAATAAAGCTGAAGAGCTCATGCATTCTAGTTTGAGGCTTGTTAGCACTGTTCAAATTTTTTACAACATGATAGGTATATGCTTATGCAATTTGCCCATTATAATTAGTGATGGTGTTACCTATAAACCCAAAAAAGCAACCATCAAAATAGTACATTTTCATAAAACATTACTGTTTTTTACCCTTCTATAAACAAAATGGTGTAGAAAACGTTTAGATAACAGGGCTGAAACAGTAACTCTGTTTATTAGATATCATTGTTAGAAAGGATTTAAATTATCTTTTCATTGACGGAATTTTAATCAGTCTTTATCGTCATATGTACGCTCCGTGTGGATTGCGAGCTCCTAGTATGATGAAGTGCTCTTCCTAGGTTTCACCACCAACCCATTTATTCTATACAAATCTGTTAACACTGAAAGATATAAAGTGAATAATTGGTGGGCGATGAATCACTTATCATAGGGCAAGTATATCATGGTAATGCTAAACTTTCTTGTTTTGTACATATATAACGGTTTCAATTACTTTATACGTGTTATGGGTACAGTTTTTAATTGATTATGTTTTGCAATCTTTTAGATTGACATATGAAGACTAAAAGAGTGCTCCACTCAATCGCTTTAGTATTTTCCCTAGTCAGTAGTCATATAATGAAGAAGCCAAAAATATGCGATGAAATTTCGATATGTCTTTCTTCATCTTTTGTTCTATAGTTTCTCGGGACAATTTTCGATGGAAAGTATAATAATTATTCAGTATTACTATACGTTGGTTATGAATAGTTTTCACCTGCTCATAGTTCAATAGTTTCCTAAATAATCGTTTAATTAGATCATTAAAACACTATACGATTCTATCAAAATATTTCTATTCAGATATCACGAAATTCAATAAAATTAACTTGAATATTTCTAAACGAAATTCTGGATTAAAGTCATGAATTTAACTGTATATTATCAATATCCGTTAGTCATAGGAATCAGAGAATGTATAAAATGAACCAGATAGATTTAATTGTGCAATGGCTTTCATATAATTAACATAATAATAATATTTTAATATTATGAGATTGATGATTATCCTTTATAATAGATCTAAATTATATACAATTTTCTAAACATTCAGTATTAGAAATGAATATGTAATTAATAGATGGATTAAAATTTAACTATTTATCCATGTATGAGATAACAGAAGAATATAATATTAGTGTGACTTCACAAAATCGATTAACCGAAAAAAGAGCAAAGGTAAGAAACATACTTACTAAAAATGCTTCAGAAGTAGTAATCACTTTCATTCGAAGGAAAATATCGAAAAATCTGAGAATCATCTAGAAAAGCAGTAAAGAATAATTCAAATAAATTGACTAGCTCACAGAAAAAATACATCTGTGAAGAGTTTAAATGATAAAATTACAAAGATCAGTACTAAAATAATAAGTTCAAGTTCATATTACACAGATAAAAATTAAAAAAAATTATAGAGCGGATACAATTTTATATTGTAAATAATAATTGTTATCATCATTAAACTAAACAATATTTTTTTTAAAAATAGCTGGGCTAACACTTATTGAAGCAGTTTCAATAAATACTGCATCAGTTATAGGTACATTAGTGCACTTACACACACTTATCCCGTACTGATTTCCAGTATACGTTGATTGATGAATATTATGCTAAAGTGTTTGTTAAGTTTAACAAGTATTTAAAAAAAAACGTTTTTAATGTAGACATAAAAGAAGTCATTAACTGTAATTCTGAATGACATCTACTAATCAAGATATGAAAGATAATAATAAAATTTATTTATTCAGAATGACTATCTACACGAATTAGTAATCAGATAGGAAAAAATACCCATATTGACCACCATTTGAAAGCTGATTTGTGATAACAGCTTAATCATAGAGAGAAAAATCAGTTTCAGTCTAAATTGTTCAACGATTATCTCTACGTAATAAGCACCTCTAAAAAGAATATATAAGTTAATTTGCCCATACAAGCTAGAAACTGTGATTCTTGCACATTCGAACACCAAATTTCACAAAAACAATACAATAATACAAATTCTAATTATGAATAAACTAGATAAAAATGTATTTTAAAATCAAGTGACTTTATAACATTAGATTTTTATTTAAAATACAATTAGTCTGATATTTATTTTCATTAAAACCAATTCATGTACATGTTATGTCCCGGTACGAATAATGAATGGTAATTTTTGGGATCCATTTATGGACCAATACTATGAGTATATTTTTGTCGTGTAATTGTTATGTAACTAAACTGTTCATATTCATGTCCCTCTTACCATGAGTTTTATTTTGACCTATGAACTATTATTATACGATTTATCATTCTTGAGTTATGGCCTGTCTATTAAGTACTATCTCCCTCATTCACAGTCACTTTTGGCCAAATATTGTACAAATGTTATTTTCTATTTTATGGTACGTTGTGGTCGGTTTGATTGGTATATAAACCCAGTATGTTTGAAATAAATAATTCATATCGTAGAGGCTGAGATTGGTGTTCTGGGCTAGACAGGGAAGCAGGACCAACCAGGACTTTAGGTTGCTCGCACGTGTTTTATGCGTCACTGATTCGATCGATAATTCGCTGCTCTCTAATAGGCGTTATCGTTGCTTTATCGAATATACAGGGAACACAGATTCACAAGTTATAACAGTACAATAAACTGTTTGATGAAAGCATCCAATATTGATAAAAGAAAGTTGTCGTTGACAAGATGAAGAATTCATGATAATTCGTAAGTGAAAGGTTAGCAAATTTTCGTAAGTCGGTTATAAAAGAGATTACATTCAAAAATTTTATAGTCAAATGGAACGCAAGTTAAGTGGTCATCAAATCGATGGTTAAGATTTTAATATGATCACAAACAACTTTTTAGTAATAAATTCAATGAATGAAGTCTGCCTGTATTTTCAAAAGGTAGAAAGCACAAGTTTATTTATACTCGAGTAGCAGTTTTTTTAATGAGCCAGTTATGAGTATTAAGCTAAGATGTACGATTTGTAGTTAAATTTTTTTATCACTTGTTGTCCAAATAATAAAGATTTTTCGAAAATTAAGGCATAAATTTATTTATTTACTGGTAAATTAGTTTCTAAGTAATGTACGCAGAGATAAGTCAAGAAATATTAATACGAATATAATAATGATAACTACCTCAACATTAGCCGAAGACTCAATTAATGTATCAACCATTTGTTTAGCGATTGGCCCATTGACAACGTTTCCTTCAAGCATAGATAACAGCATAATCATCAATTCTTTTTGTAAATTGAGAAATTCTCGTAATAAATCTAACTGATCAGGATCACGACTTAATTTATCTTGCATTTGTGCTGAAACATAAATAAATCCGGCTACAGCATCCCATAAACGACTATGGGCTAGTGCTAGTTGATTTCCAATACATGGACCCTTTTAACATTTCAGAAAAGCAAAAAAAGCAGTAAGTGTTTTATCTCTTAAAAGTATCAAGTTTTTAAATGACGACACCCGGTGTAATTGATTAATAATAAAATGTTTATGATCATACTCTAGTGAACGAAGACTTCATTAAACACTTCATTTGCAAATCATCCATCAATTGTCTTTGACATTATTTTGTGTTCCCCTTTTCTGTTTTCTTCAGTTCAATCTTCACATCCTTCTGCGGTCAGGTATTCCATTTTTGATTGATGTTACATACTACTTATGTCTGTTGACATAAGTAGCATACACCACAGTACCAGTATTCTGCATATCGATATTGCATTAAATTATAACAGACTGAAATATCGTCGTCATTGTGGTGATTTATTTCTTTGAAATCGGTAGGCAAATAAACTGTTTAATCGAAGGTACATGACGAACTAGCTTACAAAGTTTTCATAGATCAGTTATGACACGACAGAATTTCATATAAGTCGAACATTCTTTGACTACCTCTGCGAAAATCATAATAATTTACCAATTCAAAATGGTAATGATGAGGTTAAGCTGACTCGTGAAACCGATAAGTATGGAGTATTATAAGATAATATCTGGTTAGTACTGAAATATAATTTTTATGCTTTCATGTAGTTGAAGAAAATACTAATCGAAAAACTTGAGGATTATTGATTATTATTCGGTAAATTGTTTCTCTTTTAGTAATAAGACAGAAATGTTAGACAACGTGAAGCGTAAAACTGTTAGTAAAAATTAGGATATAACAGTTTTAAATCAAATTTAGGGATATTAATCATTGCAATATTAATTTCCTTTTCAACTAGACACTAATTTCCAATAGTCTTCATCATCTAAAAATTATGTAATGACTGATCAACGTTTCTTATTGTTTTTTATAAACTTTACAAGAAAATGATAAGACTTCTTGGATAAATATCGTAAATTGTAAGAATTAGAGTTTTATACTAATAAATAGTTTATTAAATTAACATATTGTCAAGTCAAGGCAATACTATAGATGTCTTGCAATTAATTATAAAAATGATTCTTCGATGAGTTAACTAAAAGTATTACACATTTAGCATTCATTTTAAAATTTATGATGAATTAATAAGGAAGACAAAAAGGCTCAGACCTTTATCTACTGAACAGGTTGAATATAAATTATTATTAAATTACTTAATTATTGGTGAGTTATTTGAGTAGTTTTCGTAAACGGAACATACCCACTAAGACATTAAATAAGAAAGATTAGTTCAGCGAAGAGTTCTTTTTTGGCGAATTCATTTTCGAGGCCATACAATCGCAAATATATATACTTATTTTACGGGATGATAATAATTATAGTAATACTGATAATAAACTTCTGTTAGGTATGGTGACAGTGAGGTTGAATAAAGGTATTGAAAAATTTACCTGCTCATGTGGAGCTAAGTATATAGGTCGTTCGATAGGTACTTTATCTAAAAGAATTCAAGAACATTATCCGGCATGGCTAAAAAAGGAGGAAACGGCTCAAAAAGGAGTTCAATAATCGAACCCCTTGTGAACACAGGTCACTCATTCAAGACTGACTCTGCTTTCAAATTCATCTACAAGATAAGTAGAAGTCTTCCAAAGACAATTAGATTGTACCTTCTTTGCATTACCGAAGCGATAGCCATACATCTGGAAAAACCAGAATTGTGTGTGCAAAAGAGATTTGTATAATCTCTTCTTCTATCATAATCTTAATATCTTATAATTTTTTTCTTCCTTTACTTTCTTTCTTCATACTCTTCTTCCTTTAAAGCCATCTGCTTCATCTTCCATCTTCCCCCTAAATCTTCTACTCCCAACTGGCTTATTTCTGTTTCTTCGATCCTCATGATTACATTCAATTTCAATTTCAACATTTTGTTTTATCGTGCTGAGCCATTCTTTTCCCAATGATAATTTCGCTATCTATCATTTGATGAATACTTAAGCCATAAACAATCAAACGTTATTAAACTTTCATTGTTTTAAAAATTTTTAATATCTTTGTTTATTTTACCTCACTGTCACCATGCCTAACAGAAGTTTATTATCAGTATTACTATAATTATTATCATCCCGTAAAATAAATATATATATTTGCGATTGTATGGCTTCGAAGATGAATTCGCCAAAAGAGAACTCTTCGCTGAAATATTCTTCCTTATTTAAATAAGTTTGTCAAACCATCAGTGATAAATAATAGAAGTACTGATAGTATAGAATCTCTTGTGGAGATTGACCAGTTTGTAATTTACGCCATATAATAAATTTAGCTAGACAACCAATAGAAACCAGAAAGCAATGAACAGCTTGCCGCAATACATGGTGTCAGTTTCTAAATCTGGTCAGATCGTGTTTGCACACTATTGATAAGGCATGTTAGGAAAAAGCGACCATTCAGAGATTATTTGCACGGACAGGCCTTATCACGGGTAAGTAAAAGATAGGGAAACGTCATTTACATCTAAAGCGAGTCATTGCGTTAATTGTATAGACAGAGTATAGAGAGAAGAAATGCACATCTTTTGTGGATGTTTAGATTAGCTTATTCATACAAATTTATGTGGCCTTAGCTCTACGTTGTGTAAAAGGTAGGTTTAATTGAGTTTGATAGGTGACTTTAAAAAGTATCCTTCATCAGTGTCTATTTTGAAATACGAATACATGCCAGAAGCTTGGTATTATTCCAATTTGTCCCTCACTTAACCACAAAGTCTAACGTTCAAATGTCCCTTAACAAACTTCCCCAATCACTACGTCTAATGTTTAATTAGTTCTATTGTCCTTATCTGTTGTTTACACATGACTAATAGAGTTCATCCATGTAGGGTGCAAGACAGTTGTTCATCGAAGACAACGGAAGTTGATCGAGTAATAACGCTAGTTAACTGAAGTTAAATATGTACACCTTTTGATTCTGGCTCATCAGTTTTGAGATTAAGCCGATGCTATGAGAGCCAAAGATCCTAGGTTCAATCACTTGTGTTGGGGTCCTAGATGTGTTCTGTAGAAGAGTCCCATGTTAGGATCAATGCTATATGGTTTTCAGTGTTTGTCTAACTAAGATCGATCCGCTATCTGAGATAAAAATTTGACAAAAAAATGTGTCACACCGTTTCGTCTGTATTCTTTCCTTCTTCAAACAACTAGTTGAAACATACTTGTATATATTCGGTTAAACTACGAAACACTTGTTTGCCAATTTTGATAGCGCGAACAAAACTATTTTTGCCTGATTCATCAATTGTATCTTTATTGGAATAATGCCAATAGAAATCCATAATGGATTCTTGTAATCGTAATAAATAATCAACTGTCGAGATAATCAAATTCACGGATACAGTATTACCAGCTTGTGTACGTAGATAATCTTGAAAGGCTGTACAAAATAAATGATGAAGAAATCTTTGAGAAATAAATTCACAATAATACTAGCAAAAATGAATGATATGTATTTTACTAAATATCAGGTGATATTATAAAAACAATTTCATTACATCTGTCTCAAGAGTAAGGATGATATTTGACTTACACTTGTTCAGTGGACAGAGAATCATTTGTATTCCATTTACCGAGTAATAATCGAAAAAAGTAAATTGTAAACGATAAATTACTGTAACAGAAATATGACTTGCATCCAAACTTACTGAACGGTAGTAATAATAGCAAAATGTGAGGAAAGCAGTCAGTGAATAGAATTAATTTTTAAATAAAGACAAATGGAAAATGAGTAAGTGACCAAAATGAAACAGAAAAAGAATAAGTACATTTTCAAGATTGAGGAACATGGTCAGAACCCGACTAGTAAAGTGAAATATTTCTGGGTTTACTTTGATCAACTAGTTGCTTAGATGTAACAGAACAATAAAACATAATTTCATTACTGTCTGTGACTTGATGAGGGATCCAACCAAAGATATTAAAGTAGCGTGATGAACAGTTGGTCTTTCTACTGTTGAGTCATAAGAAACCGTTCACATTTTCGACTTAAGTCAATTTAGAAGATTGTGTTGTCGGTATCCAATATCCTCATGATGAATTAGCGTCTTATTTCCCTTTGGCTAATTCTAAAGATTACTGAGTCCCATTAATGATTCAGAATATCCCTTTTTGAAGCTAGTTATAAATTAACCCGTAATCAAATGTGAATACTTTTGTGCACTATCAAGTCAATCTTCATTAATGACGTCAACTAGCTACAAAAAATCGGCTTTAAAATGTACAAAATTTCCAAAAAAATGTCCATTGAAATAATAATGGTAATATTGACACATATATTACATCATGGCTGAATTAAGGATAAGAGTATGTGTATCTTATTTATTTATCACTATAACTTGAAGACTGAAATACCAAATTATTATAAAATAATTAATTTTACAATATTTTTTCAGTAGAAATATTCAATATTATTAAATTACTTACCTAGATTATGTCCTTCACATAGTAACTGTAAAAATCGAAATATTTTACAAGTGAAATCAGCATCATATAAGTTAGTTATTCCTTCCATGTCGGACAGACCAACAGCTAATCCTTCAGCTTTATTACATCTAAATAACAGTATATTAATAAAAGAACAGTCAAATTAAGCAATTATTAGTAAATATGGCTCGTAAAAAAATGTTGAATGTTACTGAGATCACTACTCGACTTAAGTTTGATAACCACTCTTTGAAGTTAGGCATGTCGACCACTAGATATCTCCCCATTGGTCTACATTTTAAGCTATCATCATGAGATCTGGAGGTCATGGGTTCGATCCCAGTGAGGTTGTGTTTTGTCACTGGCGAGAAGTCCAATACTTGGATAAACAGGCTGCCAAGTACTTTCTGATTTTCAATGGTTGTCTGACTTACGTCACTTCGCGACCTTAATAAAAATCAAACAATATTTAATTGCAAAAATAATATAATTTTTGTTCTGTGCTTTGTGGAAGATAATGTAAAGATAATTGTTATATCCTAGTGGAGATTAAATTACAGATGACTTCCGAGGACTATTAATGGACTAATATTCTATAAATATTCTTATTGTATAATTATTCAATAGTTAGATTATGCGTATTTATATCCTTCTTATTATAAGCTTCATTTTGACCTATAATTTATTATTATACGATTTACTGTCCCTAAATTATGCTCAGTTTATCAACTACTACCTCCCACGTTCACAACCACTTTTTAGCTTAATTGTGTACAAAAGTTATTTCCTATTTTATGGTGCGTTGCGGTCTGTTTGCTTGATATATAAACACAGTCTGTTTGAAATATATGATTCGCATATTTGAAGCTGGTATTGTTGTTCTGGACTTAAGTGGACGGGCTAGGCGGACATAGGACCAATAAGGACACTAGGCTGCTCATTCCTGTCGAACGCCATTGGTTAGGTACAGTGCGAAGATTGTATAAGTCGTATTTTGATTGGTGGATAAATAACGTGATAAACAGTCGAACATAAAGTCATAACAATAATTTACTAATAAACAAAAAGCTATATAGAAATAAATAATTATTACTTCAAACGCTTAACGCGTGGTCCACTGATCTACTAAGTACAAACAGCAACTGACGTGTTCAACGGTTATCCATTTCATTCAACTTAAAGAGGTCCGAATTATTTCGTTGTTGATAACACGAACTTGAATTTCATCGGTGTTTGTTTGTATATATGCATCCTTTAAGAATTACTTCGATAAACACATTATGATACAAGTTGCATACGAATGAGTATCTAAAATATTCTATTTATTTTTCAATCGGATTTCTGTATTTTATTGGAGAATATTTTCACGTATTTACAAATGATTGATCACTGGTTGGTGATCAATGTCATGTATGTCAGGTCCTTCTTAGTGCAGATCGAATCCTATCGACCAAGTTGCAATGTGGCCACCAGTCTAGGCGACTCGACATTCCGTGCACTGTGTTGATATAAGATAATGGTTGGAGGTATTCAACAGGAGTGGATTGGATTTTTCCAATTGTTAGTCCAAGACAGATCAAGTGAACATTAAGTGTTAAATTAACTAAATCGATCTCACATTCTATTTAGAATAACATTTATTGTACGGTGGCGCAACTTCGTGGATTGGCTCAGTGGTCTAGTGGTTAAGTGCTCGCGCGCGAAGCCAGTAGGTTCTGGATTCGAGCCCCGCGTGGTGCGGGATCGTGGATGCGCACTACTGAGGAGTCCCATACTAGGACGAAACGGCCGTCCAGTGCTTCCAGGTTTTCAATGGTGGTCTAGCTTCAACTGACTCATGATTTCAATCTGTGAAATTTCTAAAATCTCCACAAAACCCATTCTGATAATAACATTTATGTTTTTTCTTGTTATTTTTAAGAATTATTGAATGGCGTGTGATACAGACAAAATATTAACGAAGTATTGTTCAAATTTTTTAAGTTAGTGTTTTGAAAGATAATGTTTTCCATTACAAACTAACTTATTATGGTGTTTCTTATTTCATATACCATTCTAAAACGTAACCAAGTTCAATCAGCAACTTTAATATGCTCATAATGTTAATACACTTATTCAAAATTATTCAAACAAAATAAAATTGTTTACATCACACGCTGATCTAAGTTAAACGACTATTATAAATCAGGAAGCAGTGAGCAGTTATCTTATCCTAATACGGAGCACCACAGCAGTACAAATCAGCAACACTACTGAGTAAAAAAACTTGGGACCTCTAGTCTTATGGTTTCGCACTGCTTAGGACTCCTGTACTATAACGAATCTGTTATCTAATGCTTTCTGATTTTCCCTAATTGTTTAACTAAAATGGATTCGTTAAAATGTAAAAGTTCTCACAAACTCCCTACGCTGAGATAAAATAATCATAATGTCAACAATAAGAATCCATAAAATTAATTTTCTCACCTTTCAAATGTATCCAAATCTAAAACGGAACATTTTTGTGTTAAACCAGCCAAACTTGTGAAAAAACCAGATAATTTCTTTTTCATTAAATAATCTAACATTCTTCCTTGAACATCAATATTACCGCCAAGTAGTAATGCTATGCCTAATTCAATACTTGCTTGAGCAACTGGTGTGGATTCACCTTTAACAAAAATGCATTAGACATAACATTAGAAAAAAGTGGGTTAATTAAATCTAAATCGGACAATGAGAGTGAGAGAGGTTAATGCCTTATCTTCTTCATATTAAATAAGGACATCATTTCTTTGAAAAAGTTAACAATATTTAGTGCTAAGATGCTCATAAACAATCATAGAAATTTTAATGTGATATATATATCACGTAATCCTTCTAAAAACGTACCTTTGGATGCAGCTAACTGTAGTAGAACCATTTCAGCTGCACCACGTTCTGCAAGACGATTTTGTTCACTCAACAATTGCTGCTTTTGTTCTTCTTGTTCCTAAATAGTTTTTTATTGATTAGATAGAAGTATTAAGGTATAATAACATAGATTGATAATAGTTATCAGAATAATCGATTTGTTTATATTAAGGAATAGATTTAGCTGGACAACAATCAGAAATCATTATTTTTCATTCTAGTTTGAGACTCGTCAGCAGTGAGTTCCACTACCCATAGATTTTACTGGTGACCCAGTTAAAATTTCAGTCCATGATGTAAGTTACTGCAAGTCTGTTGATAGTGTTTTGTAAACATATAAAAACCCTAGGCTAAGGATGCAGTTTGAATTCATAAGAAAATGACAATGAACGCAGATGACAAAATAACACGTTTTCTGATGTTGATTCATCCTTCAATAACTCGATAACAACTGAATGTAGAGAACTCAAATATTTCGGTAAAGTCAAGTTCTATGAAACCTCTGTAAGCAGTAAAAGATTACCATTTAACATTTTGGTGCATTACTGGTTCTTCTAAACCGTCACAGTTATAGATGTCTCAGTCTATGCATATTTATTCAAAGTTCACTAATTATTTATTTTTAAAATGTTTATCAAGGGATCAAGCATGTGAGATTAGTTACTAAACTTTATTAGCGATGATATTGTTAACTTCACATTTGTTAAATTAGTTTCATGTCGTATATCAGTGAGTAATCAGTGATAATGAGGTCTACTGAATTAAAGTTTACTTAACAGTCGACCAGTAATTGATGTATAAAAATAACCAGGAATAAGTTTTGAAACACAGATTGTGATTTGTTAGAGTCAAAATAAACTCACGAATATTACTATATTTATTCTCATTTATGTCCCAAGTTTTTGTATATGATCTCTGAATGGAAACATACACTGTAGATAATGTATGGGTAATCAAGTTTCTGTTGACAATTCATCATTAGATAATATTAACCAGACAGACATTGCGCTATCACGTCTACATCTGTTAAAAATATATTCATTCTATTATTCCATAAGATATTAGTTGAAAACTACCAAGTGTTATGAAAAACACAAAAAACTAGTACTTTTGATAAATTTACCTGAAAACTAGAACCTTCTTCATTGCTGTTCTCCTCTTCCTCTTCTTCATCCTCACCACTACAACTCTAAAAAACAGTTTTGAAAAATAACACATTTTTAATGAGTGGTCCTTTCTCAAAAACGATGTATTTGTGATTTTTCTGGCTAACTTTTCGAAATGTTCCTGTGACTTTAAAGAATAGATAATGTGAACGACGATAGTGTTTTCAATAAATTTTCATCAAGTCCTACAGTCATAACGTTAAAATGAATAAACCAAAATGATAGACAAAAAAATGAAATAGGTATTAATACGTAGTGAGACAGTTAAATATTTACACCAATTTACTTAACTTACTTTGCTCATGATTTTAGCATAAGCTAAATATAGTGGATCATCTGGAGCTTGATCAGATGCTGAACGGCATAGAGCTGTTAATAATTGTGTCAGTGGGTCAGGCTGACATGAAGATGAATCTTGTCCATAAGTATATTGATTTGAAGAACTATTAGTTGTTTGTAAAGAACCAGTTTGTAGTAGGCTAGCTGATTTATTACTATCTGAACTGATAGACGTTCCAGGATCATTGTTTGTAGTTGATAGATCCAACTCTAAAGTTGAATCCATCATATCTAAGTCTTGAGCTGTACCAGTTTCAGCTTTATGATGGGAAATAAAAATAAAATATGAAATTATTACGCATGTAGCGAATTTCGACATTCTTTTCTAATGAATTAACGTAATTTATACACATTAAACACAATGAGTTAAATAAAATTGGAAATAGTAGTTGACTTCTGGATGGTATGTAATCACGACGACATTACTGCAACAACCGCATCTATTACAAAAATTCAAGTTTTTCAAATACTATTCAGTATTTCCCTTAAATTCAACTGTTCACAGTTCTGGACGGCAATCCCATATCAATGTAACTCAATTCAAACTTACTATCAACAGTGAAAACTGTTCAGTGCTCAACATAATTAATTCCACTAACGTCAGCTTCGCATTAGGACTCTAGGGAATCCTTTTAGACGTTAGTGGATAAACGATTAGCATCTGTTATATTTAATTAGTTTTAAATGAGTAAAGGTTTAAAAATGTTGGAATATAAAAGGGTAAAATACAGCTTTTTGGGGATCGTGAAGTTTACTAATTTCTTATTCAAATACTTAAATGTTATATCAACTCCATCATATAAAAATATATCTACTACATTACAATAAATAAAAAATAGATGAGAATATTTAAATACCAAACAACTTAACCACCAAATAAAAGGGATAACTCTTTAAATAATAAAAACGTATAACACATACTATCTGTACTTTTCTGAACACCTTCAATTGCATGGACAGTGCCAGCTATAACTTCATTAGTTCCCCCTGTTGATGGTAATTCATTTGATTTGGATAAATCTTTCAGTAATGCACCACTTGTCACATCTTCAATTAATTTCACACCTAATGATTCTTCATAATCTAACCATTCAGTTATGTAGCCTTTTATGAATAAATTCATTACACGATGAGTTGGCATTGCATAAAGTGGTACCATACGAAAGCATGCCATAACGGCACGTTTACGTTGAGAGGAGACCAATTTCTTCCAAGAACCTTTACTTATTGCTGGTGGATGATCAACCTGAATTTAACAATAAAATATTTCCAACATTCATCATAAAAGTTGGAAATAAAAACAAGCCATATAATTAGAATTCAATTATTTACGTAATAAATATGACACTGATTCATGTAAAGAGAATATTCTTCTAAATAAATCCTCTTTAGGTTCTACAGTTATGTATCCCAAAATGTGATCAGGCTTAAAGTAAACGCATAGTTATGGCATGTGAATTGAAGATCGTTCGCAAAGTAAAAGAAACTATTAGTGTTGAAATGACTAATATGTGATGTTAACTTGAATAGGTTTATACGCTGAATGAGATAATGAGATAGATGACCAGAATAAAAATCCATTGGATGAGGTGAGAGTAAGGCAATTACAAATTCGATCAAATATTTGGTGGAAGACTATATTGTGTATCAAGTTATATGAATCCAATAATAAATGATAAAGTGGGGTGAGTGCTAAGTAAACTAATCGTGTTCGGAAGATTAGTAGTGGTGTTGAATCAATAATAATAACATTAATAATAATACGAAGATATGTGAATAGAAACAACGAAAACTAAAGTATTATAACTATAGTGTTTTAGAGGCTGTCGAGCTTTATTGAGATCATGAACCAATCAATGTTAGACCACCACTAGAAACCTGGAAGCACTGGATGTCCAAATAGTCCTACTGTGACACTACTCACGAGTGCCCATCCACGATCCCGCACGTAGGACTCAAGCACAGTGCATTCGATCTCGCGCGCAAATGCCTAACCTCCAGACCGATGAGCCGCTATCTGACGGTGTTCATGTCTAACTTCAATCAGTTCACGATTTTGAGCAATCATCTCTCAACGTCTTCTTTTGCACACGTAGTTCCGATTTTTTAATCCGTGTAGTTAGTGCTTCTGTCTTTTGGAGGATTTCGAATCGAACTGACTGGGACAGAATATCGTTAACCCTGAAAGATTACTGAAAATAGTTGACTTATTCTGCATCCATGACCAGTTTGCACTAAATGCACTAGCATTGAACCGTGCTTGTAAACACCTTCCGGTGTGGCTAATCAGAGTTGTAATAAAGACCTTAAACACCTCATTACTATTCCATTTAGTTCAGACTGCGTGTGCGAAAGAAAAACGTTCAATCCCTTCTCCTACCTTGACCAACCTCAGGGCCAATATATCAATAGTAATCTTAATTACAGAGTGACCTAATTCAACTAATGTATATACAACATTTTTGGTGAAATATTTTTGTCTTTGTTCACATATCCTCGTATTACTTTATTATTACCACTGAATTACTAAACGATCATATAAATCAAGGTTATGCTGCACATTTCTTTGGTGTTCATGAGATTTCTCAAGAAAAATATCTTCCACAGAGATAAATAGTCTATGAAAGTAGTAAATATTGAAGTAGCTTAAATTTCCTTACATTATGTTCATACCACTACATTTTGCATATTTACTGAGCATACAACAATAAACACATACGGGTAGATGTTATGTTTGGTGCTTACCAAGTAAAGACCGTGCATTACTTTGGATAAAATTTGAATCTTGTCAACTATCTCTGATCTTGTTGATGTTGCAAGTTCAGCATGTCGGCCGGTTGCTGCAATAGTTCGATCAATTTTTTTATATAATAATTTCTGCCAGTTTTGAGTTCTATGATCAAGCTAAAACAATATAAATGACAAACATTAAGTGCGTTGTAATAAACGATTATTATTCTTGTTCTTAACTTATTATTACAACAAGCTTTATGTATACATTTTTCTCACTAAGCATTTTACTTTAAATAAACATTTTCGTTCACCAATTTAATATGAATCTATCATGAATTTAAACAACATAAATGATAGTCGTTGAAATAAAAAAATAACCTAAACAATTCAATTTCAAAAGAATAAAGGCAATGTGACTCAATATATAGATGACATAGAGAATAGGTTGATGAATTTTATAAAAAAATTTCTTTTAAATAACTAGAAATTCTCCATAAATAACTGAAAACTAGACATAATCAACTATGAATTATCGTCTAATTTGTCATCTCATAAATGATTATCACCTTTTACGAACTGGTATGATTATACAGATAATTCAGAATTCTATACAGTTCTACTGTAATAAAGGATATGATATAAAAAATTGAAATAATTAACCAGTTATCTTCATGAAGGCTTATCTATTACTGACTCAAGAATGTGAGGTTGACGATAATTTTCTTTGAGATTTTAGGCTGCAAATATAACACGGTAGATTGACGTTAGAATATCTGGGCATAAAACTGATTATTTCTACTAGCTTTGACTAAAGATGTTGAAGCATTTACCAACTGCCTGAAATGATGTAAATATCTATATAACAGGATTAGTTTTGTTGGTATGCAACCAAATATGTGAATCTTTATGCTGACTCTTGGTTTCTCTGTAAGATCATCTTTATCATATTTGATTCAAATAGTCTACTCAGTTAGCCACTATCATTCATGAATTACTGATTGCTTTCTACAAACTATAATCTGTTATGTGTGGTAAATGAATTCAGTGTGAATACATTTCAGACGTCATGGATTTATAACAATGATAACTCATTTGTTAATACATTTGTTTTTTTAAGAAGAATATATTTCCATACATTGATATAATATTGGACAATATAAACTTACATCGCCTTCTTGATCCAAAGCATTGTTGAGGAATGCTTCAATCGCAGTGTCACTCTCTCTCTGCATATATAAAAAAGACACACATAGACTTATGTCAGTTACTGAACAATGATAATAATGATAAGGGTGATGAAAAATAATGAAAAGGTGTATTAAAGATAACGAAAGGAAGATAAAAACATGGGGAACGATAGTTATTATGTTGAAGTAAGAAAACGTACTATTTTAATATCATACTATTATCTTATTATGTTTAGAATTATTGCTTGAGCAAGCTGACTAGTGAAAATGTACGCAAATAATGCAACAATTAAGGAAGCAACAATAATGATAAGGGAAATAGGGTTGCTTAAATTTTCAGTTTTAGACGATTCTCAAAGAGGTAATTGAAACCATGACAATATTTCATATTTCTCACAAATATATGGGTAGGGTAAAAGTGGTAAACATTTTCAAAAACACAGAATCAAATCACATTCACAAAGTTAACAAGTTAATTAACAAGATAATATTGATAACATTTCGTTAACTGATATTCAACAATAAAGGGGGAAGAGAGTTAATACAAACAGTATTTTATCCATGCTTTGCCAAAAATAGTATACAGACAACGCACAAAAATGTACATAGTTAATAGCATAGTATCGAAGAAAATTCTGATGTACATATGGACATAAATATTTCACAAATTTCAAAATGCATATATATACTCAATAGTAACCAGTCTTCTACTACCTAGTTTTACTAACAATTCTATGGACCAGTAGATTAAGTAGCTAATCTGTTGAATCATGACATACATCTTTTAGGAACGGTTTTATTTAATTATTATGAATTAGTACAAAACAGCACACAAAATCTAGATCTCAGACATTGTGTCGATAACTGCCAAAAATCTAATCTTAAGGATGATTTTGATAGTAATCGGCCGAACCCAGTTATTTAGGAGCGAGAAAACTATATTTTTGATAACTACTAATCGACACTTGCAGCAGACTTCAAATAAAGTGATAATTAGGAACGTTGTGTACAGAGTTAAGACCGATGTACCTAAGAGTAGCATGTCTTTAAAACCTGATATCAAGGAGTTTGATGTCAGAATACGGGTTCATATAACTATTAATTTTTGAAAAAGGAATATTGAAATATTCATTTGATTAGTCTTAGATTCAACAAAATTATCGGCTGGTGTTAATTTATTCAATAACTAACATCATAAAATTAACAACAAACTTTGATTATAATTATGATGTGAATTATTCATTCATCGTTAATGTCGTCTTATAAACATACTCAGCCCTAATATGGTTAACTCCAACAACCAATCAAGCTGGTATTTACTTGCTTTTATCTCCTAAAGTATTAATGCTAAAGTTCTAAAATTTTGATTACTCAAGTGCTTAGTTGAGGATTCTCAACTGTCAATTCTGTTATAAACTTTAATAGTATTACTTGTCTAATAAACTGCTTGTGTGCTCGTTGATTAACAGACGTACTGAAATATTACATACTGCCATTTTGTGAGGAAAATATTTTTTACTCATTTGTGTGCATTCGTATGCGTATATTAGAATAGATTAGATCCCTTACTAAGTCATAGATGCAAGTATTTCAGAACTGTGCACACTAACAACTCATCGGCTCCTTGGTTTTCCAAAATTTTCTGTTCATTCTGATTTGCAGAAGCTTCCTTTTATTGTCTGTTTAATAAGGTCTTCTTCATTATAGTCATCTTTGGTAATGTTTCTGTCCCCAATTGGAGGCAGTGTCCTTCACTTCTAAAGAGATACTGACGGACGATTTGATAGTTTAGAATAAAATTTAACCGTCATGCAAAACAGCGGGGTTTGAATCTAGCATTTTGTTATCTTTTCGTTAACCATAGTCATCTAGATTCATTCCCATCTTAATTCATTAAACCCTCTCTTATACTGCTCATTTAATGTAGTAACTTTACAATTACTACATAAAATGCACTATGTGATAGTAAACTTGGTTTATATACACATATAAACATAATAAAGGTCATTTCCCAGTACTTCTGGAAAGATTTTACGACCATCCAACTTAAGAGTAATAAAGAAAACCTTGTCTAAAAATCTTTATTCTTTGTGTATGCATGTATTACGCAATAGTTAGCACTGATAAAAATAACAGCAATAATCAAATAACTTTAGCCAGTAAACATTCATTGAAAAAGAGGATACCAAAGAAATATAGGAAGAGGAAAACTCATGAAAAATGAATCATGATTTAAGGTAGCTGGCGGGCAATTTACAGCAAAGCATTATCAGTTCATATTTCTGCATACATCACTGGGGACGGAGTGGAACGCCATTACCAATAATCATCAACGTAATTTGTATGTATGGTTGTGTGGGTGCAAGTTCAGATGCTTAGATAACAGCTTATTCTTCATAGATCGATCCACTGCATACACACAAAAGTGCAATCACATAGGTGCATTCAACAGATATGGGAGGTTGGAAAAAATGCGAACAATGAGACACACACAACAGCAGATTATTACACATATATGTTTGTATATATTTTAAAATGTTACGAAAACAAATACCTGCATTAAATGCTCCAAACCTCTGTCACCTGTCAAACTAAGCGTTTCCTTTTAATAGTAACAATAATAATAGTAATGGCTGAGTGAATAGGGTAAAATCAATGGATGACAAAAATCTGTTGTGTAAGACATGTAAATACATTCAATGAATTATATCTATACAGAGAGATATCAAGTTTATGGTTTATACCACGAACCGACTCTAACTAGATAACTACCGATAACCAGGGAACTAAATCGTCTCGTAATGAAACTTCTCAACCATAACCAGCCAATTCTTTCTGATTTTCAGTGATTGTCTAAAAACTCATGATTATAACAAATCCTTGAAAAATAAAAAAGTAGATTAAAACCATGCATAAGCAGCCAAGTGTATAAGGAATTAAATGAAATCACAGCGATAAGTTCGCGCTCATGGTTCAAAGAAATGCAACGACGATAAACTGATCATAAAAACCAATCATCAACTACAATATACTTGAAAGTTATCGGGTTGATTGCAAGAAGAAATAGATTTACGATTTTACAATAAATATAAATAAAGAGAAATTCACTAAATCAAAATGTGTATTAGTATTTCAGTAAACCTTAGTTTTAAATCACATCGAATATATATATGACTAAACGGTTTTCATTTAAATCGTCACACTATTGAGAATCATATGGATGTACAACAATCAGTTCCCAACCCCATATGAAAGTGTAATTTTAAGGAGATAGGATAAAGTTTTATGGTCGTTTCTTTGCTTTATTCTATATGATTGGTGGGTAAATAAAATTATTTCCAAACTCATCAGATGAACATTTAATCATATCATCAAAATAAAACATAAGCAGCGGGATTTCCAAGTCCCATTAATTGTAAGTAGTATAATCATTCTAGTACATCCACATCTTCACTTTATTCCTGTTAGTTTACGCAATCAAAGGAATTAACAAAATTTTATCGAAAAATAGAATTTAATACATATACATTCACACTTGTAACATACCTTAATCAGCTTTCTTTTCGCGCATAATACCAGTTCTTGCTCACGTCCACCAAGTTGACTTAAACCTTTTCGATTATTTGAGTTAGAAAAATTCAATTTTTTAATTTTAAAACAACATATTATTGTCAGCTGTATAAAAGTTATGAGATTACTTTAATAACCGAACTAACTACTAGATGGCCAATTTATATCTGCTCAGTTCAACAAAAATCAAGGATGACCTACGTTTTAGGAATGAGATGTCATATAGAGAGAGATTTCAGACAGGAAACATGTTATTATATAGCAAAATAGCTTGAGTGCTGCCTCAAAGGCAATATAGCGTGTACGAAATTCATACGCGGATGGTCTGTTGCAAGTAAAATGAGTATCCGCCTAAGGTTATCGTCCATATACGGTGAAATATCTCAATTTTATTAGGCTGTCTTTTTAGATAATGAATTCTAAGTAGTTCTTGGTAATTCTTAGTAATTATTTTAGCATATCAGTGAGTGAACCTCAGGAAAGATAGATTACGTAAACTGTATGCTACAGACAGAGATTCAAAGTTCAGAAAAGCTAAAAATCAAAATAACTGTCACGGTAGACTCAATAGTATCTCATATGAAACACCTCATAGGAAATATATCAGGTCATTTAGAAAAGATTGAGCGACCACTAAATATTATTGTTTGGAAGTTATCTTAGGTGAAACAGGTCTAATAGGTCTTGTAAACAAATGACAAAGAATGAAATAAAGGGAAAGTTATCCATCAAATATATTACATTTATCTGGATCAACTAACGAATGTCACTGATACACAAAGAAGAACGTGCACAACATGATGTCAGAATGATCATAACATTTCGTATCCGTGCATTTTTTTACACGACATTTAATTTCAATTTTTCATAAACCAAACTAACTTATAAATAAATTTATGCCATAATCTGTCTAGGTCAAACTGTTTGTGCAAACGATGCATCATGGATTTGGTCAATGAATCTCATTGAGATTTGATGTAACAATAACGTCGTTTCATCTCACTGCGCTTCACATGTGCCAAATAATTCGCGTAAATTCGTCAAACCACACACAACAACCACCCATTTGAATCCAGTGCACTTACTTCTAGAATTATGTTGATGCTTGTCTTTTTGAAAATATTGAGTGTTTTTCCTCAAACTCATCAAGGTATGTTTGTATTCCACTGAGAAGTGCAACAGTATGTATAAATCCGGTAACCGCGTCAAGATAAATATGTTGGTCTTATAATTTTAATTTATTCACTACAACTGTTTTTCATCAGAACTGCAGAATAACATAACAAACAAGTATTATATATAGTTGTCTGTCAACTGAATTGACTAGCCACCTCATAGAGTGGTAGCAAATGCGTGAGAGGTTGCGTATTGGCTCGAAATGCATTAGATCACTCATACTTACACAGAGTTTTGTCTAGTTTCTGCCGTAATGTGATTATTTCTTCCTTCATAGTGATAGATAGCATCAAATCCATTGGCATCACTGACTATAATAATGACTATGACTTCAAGGATATTAATTATATGGAGAGTGCTTAAACGAAACTTTTAAAGTGCTTGTTGAACGATTTACTTACTTCAAAAGATCAACGATGTAATATGAATTAAATTTGTGATTTTAATGGGAAACTATGTTTTGCCAAATTTGTTCTGATTGTTTGAAAGAATTTCGTTATTACTCTTGTGAAATAGTTTGTCTTACAGGAATGAATATGTGGATATTTGAAGAGCCTTGATAAGCTTATATAACATTGAACTATTGTAATGATTGAGTGTGAGCTTGAACAATAATGGTTTCAATGTATTTTTATGAAGATTTACAATTAGGCCTCATGGTTATCAAGTTTGAGCAAAGTGAACTGTGAAACTACAGTATATGGACGAACCAGTCGGATTTAAGATATGACCTCTTAAATTTTCGGGCAAGATTCATTTACACATTACTGCGCACTATAGTTCACGTCAGTTAGTGACATAAACTTTAACCTTAATTTCCAACCATAGCCATGACTTTGAGTTTTAATTCTAAACACTAATTCTTAACTGTTATATAACTCCTTAAAATCACTTTATAACTGTTCACGACCATCTATAAATTATAGTCATATGGTGTATGCTACGTAGGTCTATTAACACCAATCAGAAGAGGAATGCCTGGTAGCAGAAGGCTAAGAAGATCAAGTTGAAGAAACCAGAAAGGGAAATATAAAGAAATTGTGAATTGAAATAATCATACAAAATGTGAAGGACAATTCATGGAAGATTTGCAAATGAAGTATTTAATGTATGGTTCTCATATTTTACGAAGATATTTTGTACTTCTTCACTAAACGATTAATTAGTTTCCCCCACTCGAGTTCATATTCACTACAGTCACATCAAGTAAACTGTACAAATCCGTTGACTGTATCATTGTCTTTATTAATTAATTATTTAATAAACATCAATTGATGTCTTTAAAAATGATCACAAATCAATTAAGAAAATATCTAAACTTGAATATATTTCATTTGCACATAAAATTAAATCATGTTTACTTACCAACTGGTAGAAGACGTTTAATACATGCAACAGTTAAACTTGTATGTGGACCAGTTTTAGCTTTTTTTACTTTATGCGTTGTTCATGAATAAAGCGTGAAAGATGAGAAGATAGAGCAAAACTTAATCATTTATTTAACTGTTTTATTACAACTAACACTAATTTATTTGCATCAATAAAAAAATAATTAAATGACTAAAGTGAAATTCAGTAGTGAATCGAATGAAATGCATTATATTTATGATTTCATAAATTTCATAAATTATTCAACAAGGGAAATTTTAAATTCATTTGGTATTGTTTGCTTGTAACTTTCCATTGTTGTTTAGGACCGCAACTGATCAGTCTCTTGTTGGCATATGTTCATCCTGTGCGGACTGCCTCGATATTGCCAAAGAGAGACTGATCAAATGCAGTTCTAAACAACAATGACAAAATATAAGCAAACAATAGGAAGTGGATTTAAACTTTACCACATTACACAAGCAAATGGTTATCAGGACTCTGTATTTGAGTGGATAACGCCATGGCGTTTGGAGCAAACGGTACTGAGTTCGAGTCCCAGAGTGGACGTCAACTCTAAAATGTAAGTACGTCCAGCTGACGAGTCCTAACTAAGGTAATTCCACTACTAGCCACAACCCATTTTTGCTTATAAGAGAGATTTTAGTCATCAAAGATAATAAATCTAGAATGAAAATGAAAGTGAACTGATCATTTTTGGATAACTGTTCTAATAGCTTTTTTTACAGTTGATTGTTAAAAGTTAATCATTTACAATCTCTCTCTTTCTTTCAAAATGGTCATTCAAACTGTTATTCATGTCGTTTCCAAGTTAATAAAAAGACGTAGACGAAATGTTTGTTCTGTTGTTTATATTATAAACTTAGTGAATTTTTGTGAAAATTTCTAATACACACTTACTCCTGTAATTTACAAATTGCCCATCTAAATTTTTAGTTTCTTTCTACATCAACTTCATGGGAAATCTATATTCTGGGCAATTATGAAGTTAATTATCCGAATGTTAATTCAATCAACTGAGACATCAGCATAGAAAGTGTATAAAATACACACAGGAATGACTATCTAAATTATTCACAAATACCTTGTCTGTAATCCTACATAACTAATCAATCTCAAACCCGATAAATACCTTTTAAAATATCAATAAACTATGTTTTACGAAGCATTTATAGCCTAATAAGTGTAGCTTCGTCTAACATATTGATAATAAGTAAATTACCATTGAAAACTATGAAGTATTAAATAGCCATTTCGTCATTATTTACAAATCAATCACCATTAAAGACTAACGAACCTATGTGATAGGAAACTCAAGACTTTCGAGTCATGATATTAGTTTAATGCCTTTAGACTATCATCCTTCAATCTTACACCCCATAACGATGATTCGCGACAAAAAAATCTTAAAAGTTTATACTTAATGGAATGTGTTACGGTAGATAAATTTAAATATCAAGTTAGTTTTTAACATAAATGGATAACTAATAACCAGTATGAAGTGTTTGAATTTGATTATTTGGCATTTTAATTTAACTTTGTCAACATTTGTTATAATTGCATTCATTATTTCTATCAATCTAGTATGTTGTTTTTAATTTAATGAATGTGTACGACATCATGTGGTTGGATGATCATTTGAAATATTTAATATTTAGTACATAGAAAACGTTCAATCCTTATTTGTATAATATGGTATGATTTAATTCGTATACCAAGTATGGACAATAAATATTCCCCATTCATCTAAATTGTTTGATTACACAAATATATTCTACCTGATTAGCTAAACTCAACTACATGTTATACAATTATTATTAGTAGTATAATAGGAAATAAACTACTACTAAATGTTAGATTAATCTAACTTTATTGTCACTGTGAATCAACAAAATGACTGTGACGAATGACTTTTGTATGTTATTAATTTACAAAATGTTAATGATAAGTTTTTATCAATTCAGTAATGCATAAACTAGTTCAATCAATATTTTTAGCTTTTGATAACACAATCACCAAAAATTTTTTTACACTAGATTGAAAGCATCAATAGCTAAATAGAAATCTATAACTTAGCTTTATTATCAATGCTAAAATAAATAATCAAGCATAAGAATTCATTATCAATCTATAGACACTAGACACAATAATCCATTCAATAACAGTTCCACTTAGTTTAACACTATTGTTACTCAATGTTAAATAGTTGAATTCCCAAAATCCTGTTTCAGAATTATTCTTTTCTTTACATGATGAAGCAGTTAGTGTCTTGTCAACATTTGCTTTTAAAAAAAATTATTGTGACCTACAGTGTCGGAAATCTGATACACGATATGCTATGCATTAACCCCCCCCCCGCCAACTGACTACTTGAACGGGGACACAAAAGTGAGCGAGAAAACGTATTTGATTATCGAATGAAATCCATCTGACCTTTAGGTGACTTCTGATTGTCATTGACTGAACTTTTCATTGGGCTACTTCTAATTGGGTCTCCATATCAAAAATAATAAAGTTTTTTTCATCTATGTCTGTTAAACATACCATTTTTCAAACTACTTGATTCATTACGTCCATTTGCGTGAGTTCGACTTCGATTTATACCTGGTGTTAAATTTCCTCCACTTGGCACAATCAATGATAACCGATCAATTTCATGAGCGCTTACAAAATTCTCTTCTTCACGTTTAAATTTCTATAAAATTAGGTTCCAAATAAAAAACAGTAAATTAGTTATTCTAGGTTATTGAATTCGGGTGGTTAAAATGAATTATTATTTAAATGATTTTATATTATGACTAAGAATAGATCTGTTCAGTCAGGAAACGACGAAATAAAAGAAACGAATGACTAGGAAGGTAAGATTAGTTCACCAGAACCCTCATTCTTTTTATTTTTTGTGTGTATTTTCTTTTGGCCGGGAAATACTTGAATTTTTCCTATGTTTTATCTTCTTTTTAACTAACCAAATCCCAAGAGTGACAGTGTATGCTGTCAAAACATTCATGCTGTGTATTTCGTTGACTGACCAATCTCTCCATTATTTATTGTCTTAAAGTTGATATTATTATTATTATTATTATTATTATTATTATTATTATTATTATTATTATTCAACACTTTCGATGTTTTCTTTAAAAAAAAGTGAACTAAGTTGAATTAACATTACTGTAAAAAATGTCTTCATCTGTTTGTACACATTAGCCAATCAGGATTTGGGACAGTTCCTAATTCTAAACTAATTTAACCAGGAAAAATCAACTACATACTGGCATTTAATTTAAGTATTCATTATAAATATAATTCAGTGAGATCAAGAGATAACTCCCTATAATTACGTTCTTATACAATTTCTTAGTTAATAGAACTACTAAGTCATTAACTTCGAGACTGAAGAGTGAGGATATGCGTTCATTTCTTCATCAGAGAAATCTCCATAATCTTGACCCGAAATTAGTTGAGGTGGCTCAAATACAATAAGTTTTTTTAAAAATTTATAGTTATGATATTATTTCATGCTTCACTGTTTTAGATTGAAATGGTTATTTTCAAAAAAATATTCGCAGGTTAGTTTCTACGATCGTTGATACGATTATTTTGCTTTCATTTTTTCCGAGTGCACTGCTTTGAAATAAACCAACTATGATAGATTATTTGTGTATAATATTATATTGTATATTATATTATGCGAGTTTCTAAGTTGTTTACTACTGGAAAATGAAGTTTATTGGAGTTCAATGTTTTATTCTTACATGCTTATAAGTACGAAGATTAGTTGTGACCAACAAAATTTGCATTAATGTGAAAAGTTAAAGGAGCTATTGTTATCGCAAAGACAATGATCAGGGAAAAAAATTTAAAGATCTAGTGAACGGTCTATCCACTTTACTATATTAAGTCTAGTTCGTTCCGGACCGTTTGCCAAAGTTCAGAACAGCGCTTAATTTTTATTCATAAATCTCGGATATTCCACCTTGTCACAGGGGATGTGCTATTTTAAGATTTGAAATTCACATCCCAATTTAGTTATTTTTCAATTATTTATAGGATACACTTCTGTGATTGTGCTTTCTATAGCGTAACTGACCCCTACACATCTGATAATTAATGGTCTGTAGATTTTTAGTGTTTTTGTATCAAATTTTCATACAAATCTCTCTTTTCATAGTTTTACTTATAATTTGGTCATTGTGCTTGAATGCTCAGAAACGTTCTGTAGCTGTAATAGAATTAGTTCAAGATACTTTTAGTTGAGGATTCTTTAGAATTTATGTTTAATTATTGGACCAAATCAACAGTACATCATATTGTAGACAGTAGAGCTCTTTAACGTACCGTTGCTCTGATCCATACTAAAAACATCCTTGCAACAGCTGAGAATAAACGTTGCGTTTCATACGTCGGCTTTTTCAACCAAGCACTTCGATGACGATCAACAAATTTTATTAGAAGGGGATAGAACGCAAATAAATTTCGTACTAGTATTTCAACTAAATGTGATAGTTCTTCTTCACGTTCACCGACACTTTCAGAACCTGAGAAATTGTAAGAAAAATATATTTAACATAAACGTATTTGGATTTCTAAGTACTCATTTACAAACACTCAAATATCAGAGCCTATTTCATTGATATTTTCTTTTATTTTGAGATTTTATAGAAATAAATAAAACTAAAACTTCTATAACAGTCTCACCTACACTTGAGTCTGTTTGTGTCCAAATGTATTAAGCTCTTTAACTAACATTTAACAAATAGTGTTATTTATATCGGTATCAACTTATTTAAATTTTTACACTATTATTCACAAGCTTGTATGATCATATATGATAATTCATCTATCCCAGACCACATACATACTCCTCTTTTAGCTTAAATATTAGTTACTCAAATCGCGTGACAATCAGTTCACATAGTAATATATAACGTGCTTTTTATTTTCTATTCATTTACTTATTAATTCATATTCCTGTTCTCTTCGTGTGCTTGGTGGTCGTTCATTCTGTGCTGTGTGAAAATAAAATAGTCATTAATTCTTATTATGTTTTTAAATTTATGCACCGTTGTAGAATCACTGTAATAGCTGTTATCAGAGCAATTAATATACGAATTATTGGGAATATAGCGAAGATATTCCACTACACCTCCTTAAAGCATTCTGAAACTTTGGTAATATTAATTTAACAGTTGAAATGCTTCGATAATTAGCTAGGTATTACCAAGGGCAAAAACGATAATCTGTGATGACTAAGAATTATTAGGTAAAAGTATACTATACGGACAGCTTCAAGCGACCTATCAACCAGTCAGGGAAACGTTAAATATGAAAGAACTAACAATGAAAAATAATAAAATTGCAGTGGAATAGTTGTTTTAAAATGACTGATTGACTCTTACATTATAGTGAAAGAAAAATATTAAGTTCACAAATTAAAAGTTAGGCTAGTTTTGTGAGTTATGGTTATAATCCTATAGAGCTTTCATCACCAACTGACATCGGGTATAATGGAAAATGGCTAGGGTTATGTAATAGAAGTTAACTTGTACCTGTGTTAGGATTATGAATTAGATTTAGGGTGCTCATCACGAAATGACATCAGATGTAATACACTGGTACTTTACCACCATTTTGTTTGTAAACTTTGTAAACATGGGGGTTGAGATTTAGAGAGGCAGAAAACTACCTAGCTATACAAACACTCTTGACTATGTCCTGAATCACATCAAGTACTTCAATGCATATGTGTATTCAAATCTGTCCCAGCAGTAGTTATTTCTTGTAATCTAGCTTAAGGATCACATCATATTCACGGCATAGTAAATACCTTTTATCGATTTCAAGCTGTTAGGAAACAAATGTTGCCACTTTTTACCTAATCAATCTCAACATACAATCTGTTTAACATTGCGCTTTTGATTCCGTTCATAAGTATACGAAGGGCTACCTTAGTTTTGATTGGTCCATTTAAGGGCATCAGTACAGTTTACTTTTATCGATCAATATTTCAAACAGCAAGGGACAATACATCGTGTGATCAGTAAACTTTAAGATATAAGTATGGTCATTACATTAAGTTTAAGATATTATTATCATCCCATATAGCGTCCTGATGCCTCCAACAAGATTTTAGGGATACTTGTACTTATATTCTTCAAAGAAAAGCCAAACAAAAGCTAAACAGATACATAATGATGGCCAACTATCTGAATTAAATCGAACTATGCAAAAAATCATCCTCAAACTTTACACGTCAAAAACAATATTGAAGAGACATCTTGATATGTGTTTTCGAAATGTAATTTGTATGATGCTTATAGCTCTTCATTAGTGAGTCCTTCATCACTCGCATATTTTCCACCTATTATCTCTGAGTAATAAATATTATTACGAAACAGTAAGTCTAACCGGGCAACCGACAAAATTACTTAAATCGGTTTTTTAATGAAATGCACTTTTGGAGTGGAACTTTATACAACTTATATGGTAAGATAACATCTTTATATTATAATCTGCAAGTTACTATTAAGTATTGTTTATGAAACTTTTCACTATTTTTGCATACCTGCACGTTTTTCCGCTCTATACGCCTCTTCTACTCTTTCAACAATCAAAGCATGTTCAAGTAGCCTTTCAGATACTGGCAAAAAATATTGACCAAGCATATCAGCTGTAGAATTAGCTACAATGGGTTGAGTACGCGCTGTGAAAAAGAATGGGAAATGAAGTATACATCAAATAAATTAATTGATAATACACGTCAATGTTCATTTTCAAAATCACTATTTGTTTTGTACATAAAATGACTTTCATACTCTGCAACATCACGAAGATATTGGATTGTAATTAATAAATACAATTAGTGTTTTCATCCTACTGTGCGTTTTTTATCTTTAAAATGGAGTCGGTTATGGAAAGGGGTGAATTTAAGATATACCAAATGTGAAAAGTTCATGTCCGACAACTGACTTCAATCAGTGTCGCGGGAATCCATGGAATGAATTGATTCTCAACCTGGATAATTCGATTGATTTTAGCAAACTGATTCTTTCTGACATGCTTCACATAAAACGCTATCCGTAAAATCTAACATAGTCTGTTACTCTAGTTTATTCAAAGAGCAGTGGTGACAGTTATAATTTTTAAAAGTAGTCACCCATTTCACTAAGTTAGTTAAATTTGTTCAGCACTGTAGGTCTGTGGCTCATAATAATTAAAGTTGTCTATAATGTAGTCAATAAAACAAATTATACTACTTTTCGTCAGTATGAAGTTTTGGGGATTGCTGGATTTCATTGAAATGATCAACCGGTAAACGTTAGACAACCATTATAAACCTAGAGGCACTAGAAGATCGTTTCATTCTAGCATGCGACGACCCAAAAGGGCACACTCACGACGCCTCAAGCGAGAATCGAACACAGAACCTTCGACTTCACGCACAAATGCCTAAATGATTGAAGTCAGGTTTGTGTATCACTGAATCCCGACTCAGTGGTCTAGAGGTTAAGCGTTCACTGATTGCGAGGTCGTGAATGCCCTCTGACTAAGAGTCCAATACTAGAACGGAAAAGCCGCTCAGTGGTTTCAATGGTTATTTAACTTTGATCTTTTGACTGTTTTAATGATAGATTATTATTGTTTTAGATGAACACTTGATACTATCACTACTATTACTATTACTACTGCTACTAATACTACCATCATTACTACTAATTGAAGAAAATTGATTAATAAGCAAGTTGTTCTTTCATAATAGAAGGAGGAAAAAACCTATAACAATTTGATTACTTATACAACTGCATTACCACTTGTTCATCAGACAATGAGTCAATAAAATAGGATATTTTATCATGATTATTTTCAATTTCTTGTGTAATCTTAAAAACACCATCCTTTGAAAAGTACAATAAATCATATCTGCCATTGTAAAAATTTATTTTTGTTTGGTATACTGAAATAGTTAAATTTCTCTTTAAAAAACACTTTAAAAACATGACTAATTTTTAAAACTAAGAAGATAATTACTAGCTATTCTCGTCATCCAAGGTGCATGTGATGAGTCAATGTTTGTTTGAATTAATTGCAATACACTGCCAAGAACTCGATTCATTAGATCAGCTGTAACAGTTGTTAAAGGTCCAGTTGCACTAGCTAGAAAGGTATTTCCTTTTGTTTTAGGTACTAAATTACCAGTTTTATTGTCTTGTCCTATTCCACCTTCATTGGAACCATCATTACAAGAAGTTAAATTCATACATTCAGGTCCTTTACGCCACCAGTTAGGTAAATATGAACAAAGCATAGGTAAAGTAACCTCAATAAGATATGGCGCTTCAGAAGCACCAGTTGCTCCAGATTCGGCTAAAAGTTCCACTTGCTTAATGATGCTTTGTAGATCACCGATTGTTTTAGAAAGTTTTTCAAGTACATCTAAAATGGAATAAACATTAATCAATTGTATGTAACCAAATATTTAAGAAATATTGTTTCAAATAAATCAAGAGTTTTTATTAATTAGAAACAGTAAAAATTATAGGCTGTCTATCCATAACACCATGATTTTTTATAAGTCTTACATGAAACGCTGCTATTTACCATCTCTAAATTCACTGCTCTCATAAACACAGTACATAATTACGGGATGAAACCTTAAGGTTTTGTTAGCGAGATCCTTTCTTTGATTTGGTATTAATACTGCACATATAGTTTGAAAAGCGATTTCCGAAACTTGTAATGACATTTTACAAGTTTCAATGATAACCACTGGCTCCATGTGTGTAAGACTGATGAAATTTAGAAACACTTAGTGACACTGAAACAAATCAAAGATCATAGAGAACAGAGTATACTAGAATACTCTTACTAGAGTGTAGACAAATGGAAATTTCAGAATGTCTAAAAAATGGAGCATAGTTTCTTAACCGCTTACTTTGTAATGAAGCTTTAGCACTATTAATGATGTTATCTGGAAGTACGATCAGTTAGACGGTAAAGCTTCCACTTAAGGTTTATCACTTGATATCTTTTTCTCAATATTTGACTTCATTTGTACAGTTGGACTCATATATTACATGACATACTTCCTGGACTAAGAGTCTTTTTAGTAGTATATAAGCCACATTTGAAGCATAAACTGTACAATCATCTCTTCCAATTACAGGAGACATATTAGATGATAGATTACTGCAGTTATGCCCCAACACTGCGAACAGTAAGAATTAAATGCTTTGTATAAGCATATGTGAATTCATGTTCACATTTCTGAGCACGTTTCAAAGGATTTGAGACTGAGAGGTGCAGCAGCTTTAAACAGTGCTAAAACCCGGCATTTAATTGACGCCGGGCATATTATGGACATTCCACAAGCCTTCGAAATTATTAGGAGACAAAAAACCCAGTGTCTCTCAGGTTCGCCAAGGCAATAGTAGTAAAAAACTCAAACCTGATTTATATGTTCACAAAGAGACAATAATAAACTTATCACTACCTTGTTTAGTTATTTTGTCGTAATCATTATTTTATTAGTGTTTATTTTGTTATGCGATTTTCCCCTGACTATTTCTTATTTTATGTACACCAAAACCATCCTTTTCACTCACTTAATCCTCTTAACTTATGTAAACTCTTCGAATCCTATCCAATTATCACATAACCCGTCTTATCAATTTCTAATCCCAATAATGTTAAATAAAGTCTTCCTACCCTCTAAAACTATATCGCACAATCTATCTTATCTATCCCCGGATCTTATTTAATTAGTGCATCACCCACCTCTCATGTTTTTAAATTCCAGCTCCAAATAACTTCTAACCTGTTCTTGTACATATCTGTATGTAGTTATTATTGATAATCATTGTCATTCTAATTCTTTTCGTTATCTATGTCAATTGTTTTTATACCATACTTCAATGTTATCTTTCAATAAACATATCATTGTACAAAAATGGCCGGGCGTTTGATGATATTCGTTGTAAGCAGTGGATGAGGAACCACGAAATACAGTAAATTCGTATTATTCTGCCTCAACTTTTGTTCTGGCTTTATTCAGTCATAAAAGGAAGCGATTTAATGAAATTTATTGTTACGTTGAAGATAATAATAATTCGGATGTGATAAATGAGTTATTCTTGATATAATAATTTTTTGTTCACTTTTAGGTATTTATCCTTGTTGATACCACACGTTTTTAAGTGTAAGTAACGTCTGTGTGCACCTGTACCTATTTATTTTATCTATTATATGTTGTATACCGGAACTGAGACACGAAATAGTCCGGTGTTTTTCAGCACTGAGTTATAATCGGAATCAAATATTTTCACTACTCTTACTATGTCTTCAAGAACGAATGTATGAACACATCTGAATTTTGAATACACTCAAACTTGACTTCTGATATCGTGTGATTAAATGCATTTTAAGTCAACAAATACACACGATCTAAAAAAATTCAGGGATCAGAAATTTGTTGAGTCATATGGATCGCTAAACAAGTAGTGAAATTATTTTGTGGTATTTTACTGAATGTGATTTATTACTTTCAGCCCCACCCGTATCCGAACACCCTTTATGGAATATCAAGGATTCGATAAAAACATTTTAGCTAAAATATCTCATAGTTATAGTTGGTTAATAGGATAACAGCCACAGTTCGTCGGTTTCCGTAACTTTCCTTCCTTGGAAAAGCTTCACTTGAAAACACATCTCCCTTAGTTATCTAATTACAATCGTAAGATGAAACACATATGGATAAATGATTGATATCAAGTAGAGATACAACTGTAGTTATGTCTTAAATTCACCTGTGCACATGAGTCCACAAATTGGTTAATACATCTTTTATTTACACAAAATAGATTTACAGCAATGAATCACTAACCTCTAGCTTCAAGACTATAATCACCACCACGATTATTGAATGTAATTGAAAGAGGATTATTAGAATTTAAATTAGCCTCTAGAAAAGCTACAGGGAATGCAGATGCAAGTGCAGCAAGGCAATCACCAATTAAAGCTCTATGTCTGAAAAATACAGAAGAGTTTGTTTGTGTGAAATACACTATAATAATAACAAAGACAGTAAATCTAATATGATGAATGACAATTGTAAAGTAAATATTTACCAAAAAATTGATATTATTTACACAAAAAAGTGAAATATTTCTTTAAGATTTGTATTTCCAACAGCTTCCAGTCTGAATGTAAAGAGATATCTTTTTTGAAGCATTAATATATACCAGTATAAATTACTAGAATCCTATCGTTCTTTTTTATATATCTATGATGTTGAAGTCGTATAAAGCGTGACATTTAACTGATATTTTCGAAAACTATTTTAAGTATTCCATGAAGAATCAAACAATTTATTAGTTGCTTATAATTGTTCAATGAACAAAATAATAATTTATTTATTATCTTTAAAAGTATCGATTATCTTAAAAAGGAATAATAATAATAATAATTCTTTAACCCATGAAAAGAGAAGAGAAGACATTTTTTATTCTCCTATTTCATTGCACGATTAACAAGAAATATTCCATAAAAAATATATGAACGATGAAGTTCAAACGATCAATGGATTGTAGTTTTCCAGATGAGAAACGAACCCCTTTTTAAAGTGAAAACATCCGAATATAAAATTAATTAACATGTATATCTTTAAATATTGGGGGGGGGACAATGATAAAAACTGAATACAGTTTTGTTTACATCATTCTCAAGTTATGATACTAATCGACAATGTATCAGACTAACTGGTTAACATAAAGTAAACTGTTGAGCCAGTTATGTTAAAAAAACTGACCTCAAGTTCATGACCCATATATCAAACCGACATGTTAGATATCGACGGTTAATGAATGAAACACCATTTAGAGCTTACAGAGTTTTATATTTTCTAAAATAAAGGTTCGCTTGTTACCGTGAGAATAAAACGATTACGAACGAGCTTAGAGAAGTATTCTTTCACAGCACTTTTTTAAAGGCTAGGATTAAGGACAGGATTCGGTTTATGATTAAAACTAAGTCAGAATTAGGGTTAAGGTTTAGAGTTATGGTATACATAGACCAATTCTGAACCTTGATCCTAACTCCTATCTTAAAAACAAATAGCTAACTTAGGAAGATGATTAATCATATAATACCAGAGTTCTCTTAACAAATTCCCTCATTTTCTAGTATAAATTAATCAGTCATATTTTCTGTCTTTTAATTGGTTGAACCGGTTTGATCTCAAGTTTGTCCAACAACATATTTATACTGGGAAATTTATTCCAGCTTACTAAATGGATACAAACAGTGAGTTGATTAAATATGAAATGAAAACAACTTACCTATTTAGTTCATCAACAAAGCTTTGACTATGGTATTTTTTCAAAACAAAAAAGGAAGTAACAAAATAAATAGTGATTATTGTAAATTACATTAATATGAATGATTTCATGCAAAGATGACGAAAAGAAAAACTGTTTAATCTTTTTAATAACTTCTGGTCAAAAAGTTAACTATGGAGCTTATATTAAGAATATTGGTGATTTTACCGTTATTCATTGACGGTAATTAGTAAACTTGCTGATGAATAAACCAAGACTTTTTGATTGGCTTGGTAACTGTATACATATTTTTATATATGAAGGTGTTCATTTACCACAAAGCCAGAGGTCAGCTGACGAATATAATGAAAGTGAGTGTAAGGGATAAACAAAGACAATAAAGACTACATAGAAAGCTGACGACAAATAATATTACTAGAACAAAGTAATATAACAGTTGTGGAATAACAGGAAAGCTCACTGATTCATGAAATTGGCTCTGAAGTTACCAACAAGTGAGATAACTAAGACCTCGTAATTAGGCCATATAACTAAGAGAATACAAAACTACCGAAGGCATCCAACGGAGATGAGAATCTCCCTCATCATATTGTATATATACATACACGAAAAAATATGTAGTTTTACAGAGATAATGGTTAAAGTCGTAAGAAAACTTGTGCATCAGTTTGGTTTAAATTAGTTATTTACAAGTTTCGGAATGATAAAGTATTTGTAGCTTAGAATGAGGGTACTTGACGTTTTGTTTACTCTGGTCTGAACGATCTAGTTGTGAGTCTGTCATCGTTCTCCCGGACAATGTGATTAGAGAGAACCAAGCTATCAGAATCTCTTCAGAACTGACTAACAACTTTTTCTGTTGACGTTGTATTCGGTTGGAAGTTATGCTAAAATTTATCTACAAGATAATTTATAACAACCGCGAGAAACACTATAAAAAAGTAATAACTTCATCTCGCTACATCCGCATGAACACCGCTTAGATGTTAGATGAAGAGACACAGCTTGACTTATATCATCCTATGTGGACAACTAGGGAAATGAGTTCAAATAGGGAAGTTTCTAAATATTATACAAAGGAAAAACACAATAAGCCAGAGATTTTTAGAAGTCTAGGGTTTCGATTAATCATAAACCAATAGGTATATCAAAATAGACTAAATCCATCAGCCAATAAAAAGAATTAACAACTTTAAGGTAAGGGGCAACAAAATCAAAAAGAGCATGAAAATAACTGCCATACAGTTATAAACAACCACTAATTGAAATAAAAGCCCATCGAATAATGAAGAACTTCTAATATCTGACTTCTCAAAGAAGTGTGTGCTGACGATGCTGCTTAGAAGAACAACGGAAGCTTCATAAATAAACAATCCATCACGGTTACAAGTAACTAATTACTTAGTATTATAACACGCTAATAGAAAAAAACACCAATTTTAGTTTGATTTGAATTACGCTATGATCACAAGTTATGAAGTATTGCACAAATATTTCTGCATAAAACGAAAGAATGATGACTAAGACCATTCTAAATAAATTGCCAACGTTTATTTACTCCTTTCACTTTGCTGGAGAGTAATGAGCGTTAATAAATTTTCAAAATGAAATAAGTAACACGATGGAGATATTCATTTAGGATTGACAGTCATATCATGTTTTGGAAAAATAACGAACAAGATTCATAATATATAGAAAGTTCTGTTCACAGGTTGACTTTGACTGAAATGTCGGTGACAACTAGGCAGCAGTGAACAGTATAAGGTTCTACACCCAAGACCATACTGTAGATCGAACCCGAAACATTCGGTTTCGTGGCAGAGCGTCGTACTGAAATCACTGAATCAGAATTCAGCCTATCGAGTTTTCAACTTCAATGAATTATTGATATGGCACGATAAATTATTAAAGTCTAATAATTCGTCTAAACTGAACTTTAGTTAGTTAACATAAAATTTTTAAGAAAATAACTTCAATACACAGACTCACCGATTTGCGTGTTTCGATGATGTAGTACCTAGTTTATATAAAGCGTTGAGTATTCGGTAACATGTGACTTGGACATTACCCACTAGATGGAAAAGAATGGAAATAAAGAGTTGACATTTTTAGTTAGAAGGGAAGACTCATCGAAGGGATCGGAAATTATGAAGCTAGGATTTTACACTAGTTTAGGCTGTTTATATTAACAAGTATACGATGCTACAATTTAGGTTAAAATCAAAATAAATTGCCCATAAATATGAGTCATTTATGAGTGATGAGCTGTTTGTTGATCGGTTTCCATTATTTTTCACATTTATTCATGTACGTTTTACAAAACATATTCACCAACATTATCTCTGCGCTCTCTCTCTCCTACTACTGAATAAGTTAAGCATAAATAAAGTATAAATGTCAAACTGTAACAGAAGACGTGATACATTCACAACAATAAAGGACGAAAGAAACAAATTTTAAGACCGAGTACGGTAGAAAAGTTGTGGAAGGTGGTTTCTGATTAGCAATAATATTCAAATAGTACTGGGTTCTGCAATAAATAACAACTCTGGGATGCAGGTACATACAGCTTACGAGTCCAAAATAGGACGAAACGAGCGTTCGGATTTCCAGGGATAGTCACCATTCATCTCTGCTCATAATGATTGTGAATTAAGGCTATTTCGAAGCAATCCGCACAGGATACACATATGCCTATAAGAGACTGGTCAACTGGAATTTTTAACATTAATGGAAAGATCCAAACAACCAATATATTAGTAGATTATTTCATTTTATTTGAAAAATACCTTTTATAATAACAGTAAATGCATAAAATACTGTCTATCTTCTAAATAAATTCAAAGAAGCTGTTTCATTTGTTTGTAAACAATTACAACAATTCATTATGTGTAATTGTTTATGTGTTTTGTTGTTGTTGAATTAAACATTTATTTTCGGTATAGAGGAAGTTTGTGGAAATTACTGAATTCTCACAGTTTACACAACTGAACGATCTTAGGTAGACAACCAGTGAAAACCAAGAAGCACTAAATAACTGTTTAATTATAGTACATAAATCCTCAGCATTGGGCACCCACGACTCACCCTAGGGGCTCTCGTCTCATGGAGAGTTCTTAAGTTTTGGGTTAAATAGTGTTAATATCTAACTGTAATCAAGTCTCAATGTTGCGTTACCTCCTAACATTGTTTAAAATGGATAACTGTCTCACGATCGATATGGATGAACTCTTCTTGTCACGACTTCTCACTAGAACTCCTGAGATTGCATCTTGAAGTTAGTCACTAGTGAGCAGATGATTATTATTAATATAAATGTGTTCGTGGAGATTCTTCAATTTCCATATTTAGCATCACGAACTGATCAGAATTAGAAAGCTGTTAAAAACCAAGATGCATTGGACAGCCATTTCGTCCAAGTATATAATTCATCAGTAGTGAACACCTAAAATTGACGTTACTTTTGTTTTATAATAATAATATCCAGATGAACATAAAACCATCATTATTACCTAGCAGATATTCGCCACATTCGTTTTTGCCCAAATGTTCAAACATTGATTTCAGTACAGGTAATAATACCATGTGAATATAATCTACTGAACATGCGCCACGTTTAATTGTACCCTGTTTATCAATTAGGAAAAAAAGGCAAACAGCATATTGATTACCGCACTTATGTGATTATTTGCAGATTCTATATAAACAAATAGAACACTTATTAAAGATTAGTTGTAAGATAATGTAAAACGTATTTAAAAAGTTTTAATGGAGCAGTGATTCCCATTAACCTATTACTCATAAAGTTTATTGTCACCAAAATCTGAACAAAACTAAGTCACCTCTAAATAGTTAATTATTGCAGTAAAAGGTTAAATTGAGTTTAGAAAATTAAAAACCTGTCAGTCGTGTGCACCACAGAACCTGGCACATCAGTTCGTCGGTCAAAGTTATTATATCACCTTAGCATACCGTGAGAAAATTATCCAGAGAAATTCCACAGCAGTAGAAATAGTAATAACATCAGCAATAGTAGTAGTAGTAGTAGTAGTAGTAGTAGTAGTAGTAGTAGTAGTAGTAGTAGTAGTAGTAGAAAAGATTAGAACCAAAAATAAAAAGAGAAGCATATGAGGACTTCGAGACCAAGGACCTGAGTGGAGACAACTGGTGAATGTATCTGAGCCATTGCGATCGATTATGAGTTATGTCACCAAAACATCCCCAACCACTGATTACGATAATGACAAATACACCTACCGATTAGTCTGGACCTACCTACGTGCCTCATTTTAGCTGTTAACGACTTGAGGGCTGATTCTACGTTTTATCTTGGCTGCCCCTAACCTCCGGGACAAATACTACTATATAGTTGCTCTGGGTTAATTATAAAACAATGAAAAGCTCTTGAATATTTAAACATCTAAAATTTGTAAAAGATTTCATAAGATAATCTAGGACGATGAAGTTGTTCATGGAAGGTATTAAGACCTCTCTTTTTTAACCCCATCTCACATTAGCAAATATGTCACTTCATGTTAAAATGTAGTTTTTTAAATTTATGCATAATTTAGTTATATGAATGTGATTTGGGTTACTTCACCTACAGCTTCTCTATGACTACTGCCGTTTCTATTATCAGGTAAAGAAGGAGAGTTAGGTGGAAGGTCAACAACCGCATCTTGTAGAAACACCCCGCTACGAAAACTCACATAAGAAAAAAATCTTGGACAACAGCTCATGCCCATAGAGGCGTAACGTGCTTAAGTACGTAGGTTAGCAAGTAAATATGTGATTTGGATACTCAGAAGTAACCATTGAATTTATGATTTCAGAAAAAATTTATGAACGAACTTATTTTAAATAAACTATTTATACCTGTAAAGAGCATTCGGACAAAAAATAGATCACGGTTCTGAGTTACCTTACTATATTATGTCGAGAGAAAAAACCTCGCATATATTTTAAATCTGCAATGAAATCCTATACAATCATCAACTTTATTCTGTACACAGAAAAGTAATTTCAAAAATAGAACTTTAAAAAAGCAATTTTTAAAGATATATATTTTGCACAGATCTATTGTTTTCAACAGACATTTAAATGAACTAAAAACGACAAATGTTTATGGTCTATTAGTAAACATAAATATTTACTTACTTTCACATGTGAATATCGACTAGCATCAAGATTTCTAACTACAACGCATAAATCATCAGCCGCATTAACAAAAAACGGTAGGATGCGACTGCGAACAAAATCCTCCGCCGTACCCATCTTTAAGATTGCTCTAATCAAATGAAAAGTAAAATCAATAGAGATAAGTCTCAGTTGTTTCCCATTAGTAAGATAAAATAATTATTATCTAGTTTTTTTGAGCACATTGTTTCTTAGAAAATATAATTTTAAATACTATTTCCTTAGCTGAACAACAACTGAAAACTAAGGACATTGGACGATTATACTATTCTAGTCAAAGGCCACTGAAAAGTGAACATTGTTGACTCTGTTTGATGTGTGATGTTAAAACTTCGAATTTCATTTCAGACAAAAAATGAAACAAAAACAGTGGAGTTCGTTTTACTCTAATCACGTAGCATAAAGACATTCTTAAGAAAATGACGCTATGACACTATGTTACTGAGGAGATGGAGTTTACATTAACCTAGATTAAACAAAACAATTAACAATTAAGTAGTTAGATTAGAAATTTTGTCACTAATGGATCGATTACATATATTGTCATAATGTGCGACCGTTCGAGTATACCATTGATCTATACTCTCCCTAAATGTATCCAAACCAGTTAGCTACATGACTGAAAAAAACTAGAAGTAGAAAGCTTCTACATTAGCTAACCGAATCAAGAATAGATGACAATTTATAACACACCCTTAAGAAAATAAGGTCTTAATTTTATCTATTAGTGTATGTAATTTCCTCAGAAAATAAAGTCATATCTTAGTGAATAACGTACATCTGCCAGCATTTCTCACTGTTTATTATTCTTTTGTCTGGTTGACTCAACCTGTCACCTGTCTCAATGAAAAGTAAATCTTTCTTCAAGGGATTCAAATGCTAAGGTGAGGGCACACCATTTATATATATATATATATATAATGCTGGTAACCATTATAAACTGAACATATACACATACAAACTAATCACAAATTAACTTACTTTACATCAATTGTTTGCACAAGACCTTGAAGACAAGATACGGCTATCTTTACATCATGTCCAAATGTGTTCAATTTTATTCGAAGTAACGAGAAGAGTTTACAAAATAAACTAGACAAATAAATTTTAATTAAACAAATCAGATGAATGTGAACTAGATCGCTAATTAAAATATTATTTCAAAGTTTTTAATGATCAGTTTATTAAATAACGCATTCGATATGAAAAAATAATGGTGAATGAAATTTTAAGAAGGCGCTGAATTGTAGTCAGATTCCGATTAATGGCACTACAGGTTGATATTAGTTTATGCTAGAATACTTTTTGAAACATTTCGAAATCCATGCTTACCTTCTTCCGTATTTCTTGTTATTTAGTTATTCGCTTCTAGACTTTATTGACAAACTATAACTAGACCCTTCAAACCAAACTAATAATCAAGTTTCCTAACCTTGACTACTTCAAATGGTCTAATTACAAATCTTTTAAACTCAGACACACCTGTTTGTTTCGTAAATTAGAAAATACTGCATCGTGTTTAATATAAACTTCGTATTTCAGTATCATTTATTTAGTTTGGCTATTCATTCCGATGAATTTTAATTAGTCGACACGACTAAAATTTAGTTTTCATGTAAATAGTTCTCGAAATATGCCTTTAAAGTATTTCAATAAATAATGCTTCCGATATATAGCCATAGCAGCTTGACAGAGGAAATTTTATCTTATTTTTCAGCTCATAATCATTTTGTTAACAGGTTGATAAACTCAGTTCTATGAACTGTTTACTCCTAGTAAGTCGCGACAGTGCAGTTTGTGTTACCCATATCTCGTAATCCATTATTCAGTTGAATAAGTAAATTTGCAGTCATGTGAATACCAAAGTTATAACTTCAAAATTATAAACTTCATCAGAGCTAAACTGTATCTTTCAGTGTAACCATACTATTTCTGTGCTTAATGAAACTAAAGATTTAAATTATGGAAATCATTTATAGCGTTATAGTTTTACATTAAGTTATAAAAAAGTTACCTTAAAGCGTTGTGATTACGAACCATAGTCTTACACAAACTTTCATAGCATTAAACATATGTTTTCTCACATTGTATACAGACAAATGACATTAGAACTGAGAAGTTAGATGCAGTAGCTGTGCAGAATATTCAATGTGCATAGGCATGCTATATGGTAATGTATTGTGAAGGTCTGAAAAACCGATATCGTAGTTTGTTTGATTTTTAGTTATAATAGTTTAAGTAATAAGGTTGTAATATATTGAGCAATATTAAAATACTGCGTTTTTAGGAATCTGTTTACATACACTTAAGCTTCTAGTTACATTCCAACATGTAGTGGGATATCGACATGGGAAATAAAAGAGAAAAATAACCAAAGTTACGATTTAAAAGCTACTCAATAACATACGTGGCAGCCATCTTCTTTTCATCAATTGAAGCACCTGCTACTGGGTCTAAAAAGTATGCCTGTTGTGTTTCAAAGTAGCGTTCAACTAATGGCAGTACAACCTTAACAAAGAATTTCATATCTTGACTTGAACTTAACCATGAACGACTAGTACTATAACGAGTGCTTGGCATTGGTTCACGAACTGATGACATGGCCGAATCGACATAATCCAAAAGCTTGTTCAATAACCCATAAGCAAATCGTGATGTTGGTGCTAAATCTAAAATGTATAATTTTAACCTGTCAGTTAGCATTAACACAGAGCCTGACACATTTATGTCTTGGCTCAAGTGGCTGTACCACAATTAGTACGATGGGATGAAAATAAAAATAGCAAAATAAATCAAAATAATGTGGTTGCAATGCAATTAAGAAGACTAAATTTTGAGTATATCCTTCTTAAAGTATAATTGTTTCGTCATAAAGCGAAACGTCTTTCAAAAAACTACTTTTTGAATGAGTTATCAATCATTTGTAATACGTAACAGTGCATAAGCTAACAAATTAGGCTTTTATTAACATATTTATTCTCCAGAACCGTGTTGTAAAAGTGATGAAATAGTGAGTGTCAGTTTAATAAACGTTACAGTTAATAAAAATTATTATTTCTTCAAATTTCGACAGTTGAAAATCAAATCATAAGATGTAACTGTTACCTCATTCTGAATTTTCTAATTCTATTTTTACTGCTAATTTTTTTCTGTATCAAGAGTCAGTCATTATTAATATTCTTAACTGATTCATACCCATCAGTCCCAATGGCGTTTCTTATTAGGTAATCATTTTCATTATTTCCAAAATGTTATTAATGTTTGATCAAGTAATAATCTTCAGTTATATTTGGTTTGAAATATAAAACGCACTTTTATTTTTTTATACTGAGAAAGAGTTACGATTTATTATTGCTTTACAACCCAAGAGTACAACTCATTCACATAACGTTTTATTTTATTCTTTGAATTATATACTCATTTTACCCGTTGAATTTAGTTCTGTAAAATGTTCTGGCTTTGAAAACTAATGAATTGATTCTATTTTCAGTTTCAGTCAACCTATGATACGACTTAAACTATTGAATCTGGGTTTATCTGAGTTTGTAACGATGTTTTAGATATTATGTTGTCAGCTGGATAATCATAACAACATCACTCTGATTTTGCTTAGTAATAAATTGTCTGATTGTTTCTTAAACTACAAGGTTTGTTAATTTTATCTATCTATCTATCAACAGTATTAAAGAGTTTGATAAACTGTTAAGAATACAACTGAATTTTTATATGCAACTATGAACATTGATAAATTCTACCTTGATCTATTAATTTTACACTTTGATGAATAACAATATTATTCTACTATCGGAAGCTTTTCAGTTTATTAGTTTGTTGAGCAATCGTAAGAATAACCAACGCCACTAAATTATCAATATGATTAATGAATTCAGATTGCAATCTCATTTCTTCTTTGTTTTTAATGAAAAAAAGTGAGTAGTAACGATGAAAACTGAAAAAGCTCAACAATTAGTGCAAACTGGAAATAAGGAAAAAATAGTTTTTGGAGAGACAACATTTTTGTTTGCTTTAGAATAAAACTTACTTCTGTTGTCATGATGTCTAACATTACTAGTACCTCCATTCCCTTTATTTGTACTAGTATTAGTTGAATTTGATCCAGTACGAACAGTTAATCTATAACCATTATATTGTAAATATTTAATCAATTCATGGGTTAGACGCCGATATCTTTTACGTTCATTATCTGTTAATATATCATATGGTACTAGTAGTTGATGTACTCCACCACCTGAAGAGAAGATAAAAATTTGCAATAAAGTAGATTTTTACTGATTATTAAGAATATAAACACAGTATTTTGGATGAAATAAACGGATTTATAATAGAATCCTTTAGTTAATTTGGGAGAATATGGTTTATTACCTCCTTAGTTGTTAATTTTTCCTCAAATGTTTCTCTGAAGATTAACCTAAGAAAATTTGATTAGGTCGGAATTCAGTGGTTATGTGACTCGTTCAAATATTCATTTTGACAAAGAAAATGTCAGCAAAGTATATAATTACTTTAATAGAGTTGTGTGATATTTTACAGGAGTTCGTTACGTATTAAAGGTATTCATATTTGGGACCATGGTGAACGTTTTAAGGATTAATTAAAAGTATATTCCGAACTAAAGAAGTATAGATTTTATTATCATATCGAACGAAAACGTTGACAAATGACTTAGTTTCACGAATGAAATGATGTTTCAGAAATTAAAAAGTCACAGAAAGTATGTGGTTGAGTTTACTGATTGTACCAAACGTATGGATAATTGGATAATAGATACAAGAATCTTGGCCATAGATTTTGAGAACACAAATTGAAGCGCAAATAAATTAATCAGTAAATTATATATAAAGAGAACACATTCAAAATAAATATACCAAATTGATCTGTTGGTTTATCCGATTTCACTAAAAAGCTATATATGTGAGTTGATTCTTATTGAAATTATGATCAAATGATTAGATGATGCATGAAATCTGGGGGTCAAAAACACAAAATTATCTGCAATACTGTAGTTACTGAGGAAATATATGCAATGTACTATAAGCCTGAACTCGTAAGGTATCTACTGTATCCACCGTGCTCCGATAGTCAAAAAGCCTGCTTTTTAGGATGGATATATAAAGTTGTTCACAACAAACAATGACAATCTACATGACAATAATCGAAGTACAATAAGCAATAATCTATGAGATCATTCAAACACGAACCTCTATAGTTAATGTTTCAAACAACATATCAGTTGATTACATAAAATAAGTAATTTTAAAAATACTAATTTCTTTGATCATTATATAACATGTATATATAAACTTCAATTAGTAACTGCTCACCAATTGCTTCGAGATCACTCATTTTTTGTCTGGCCCATATATTATGTGCATTATCAGCTAGACGTTCAGCCATATTTAACATTTCTTTGGTAACATTTACACCACGTAAATCTTTTGGACTCGGATTATAATTTAACAAATTATCACTCTATAGATAAAAAATTTGCGGAGGTAAATGAATAAATGTTAATGAATCATTATTAATTCATGTTATAAACGGACGGTTATTTCAATATCATTCATTTGTTAACTTAATGTTTCAATTAAGTATCGAAATACTGATGTCTGTTTAATATTTCCTGAAAATAAAACTATTTAATTACTATTTGGTGTATGACGAAACAAAGATTGGTGTTACTCGAAACAAAGACGTAAAGTAAGACTGTATATGGAGAGGATAATATGCACCAACCGAAAACCCATAATTGATTCAAGCGACATTGAAAATTTCAATGCGATTTATATCAATTTTAATTTCTGGTCAACGAAAAAATTCAATGCCCCTCAGAGTCCTTCTAGAGTTACTGCCGGTCTGAAGCCCGGGTAAAGAAGGATAGAGCGAGTTTAGTATTCTCATTCCATAAAAACTAACATTATTAACGAAACTCTAACCAGATAAATTTGAATAAATTGAACTGGGATAGGTCGATATTAATTAATCTGTGATTGAAGATTCAAAGCAATACATGGTTGTTGAATGGATTGAATAGGATAACAGTTTCCTTATACTGCTAATCGACCGTTATTGAAGCATGTGGAGCATTGAATATCGACTAGATATCTGAACAGCACATTTATTACTAGAATCAGTCTGAAGGTTCTGTGTTTTGTCTCATATATGGTATTTCAGATATTCACTGTTGAAAAATTATAACGTGAAACGAAAAATTTTTTATTGTCTCATCGTTTTTCAAGTTTCTTTTCAGGTTATATCACTCTATAATAGGAATCATCTCTCAAAAGATGAAATCTCTTCACATAATTTAACCGATCTATCAATATACCTTATTAGTTAAATTATCAATGATTGTAAACAGAATGAGAAATTAAAGAATTTCCATTAAAAATGACAAGCATTACCTTTTTTAAATTCTACTTCAAAAACATAGAAAAGTTATGCTGTCGAAAATTCCCAGATAATATCATCAAAAATATGTCTGTTTGAGAAAAAAATAAAAAGAAGAAGACGTACTGTAATCGTTTGTCTACGTATGTGTTTTGTATCACCAGGTGTATCACGGTAACGATTTTCATCACCATCAACAGACCAACCACATGCTAACATCGTTTTTAGTGTATCTGTTACAGGATGAATGTATCTCATTTGCTCCTATGCAAAGAAGAAATAATAAAATAGCTTAGTTTCTAAAAAATAGTCAGTATACGTGAGTAAGTGAATAAATGTATACATGTATCAATTTTAGATGTATGAATGGAAAAAAACACTTGTTATTAATTGGTACTTCTAATAACAAAGTTTTGTAACGTATTGTTCATTTTAACAGTTTCTATTTCTCTGATCAATACTTTATTGTTCAATATATAATACTGTAGATCCTTTAGAAGTCAGTGGAATCATAGAAACAAGTAAATTTCTAAACCAATCATACCTTACTTTGGATAACTGGTAACACTGTTAAGCAAATTAAACACGGTGAAAATTTTTCTGACTTTACTTAATGACACTTGTTCCTATACTTTGGGAACAGATGAAAATGGTTTCTATTTGTCAAAATGAACTATTATATAAAAACCGCTCAAACTTGGAGATCTTAATTGAATTTATATGTTTATTTCTTAATCATTGTTATTGTTATTGGCCCGATTATCCGGAGGATTACTTGGCTAGAAATATATATGGCACCACCAATTAACTGCTCAGATCATTAGATCTGCTCAAAATTCACGTGTTATCTTGAATTAACATCATTATTATTAGCTACACCAATATTATGAGTACGTCACTATCGCTTTTTAATTAGTGACAACTTAATTATTTTCTTTACCCTAACGGCAATATTTTGTACGCGTTCCCAGTGATTGACTAAGTTATGATCACTTTTTCTCTGGTTATTCAACTTTTACATAAGTGGAAAATATCTGTGGTTATTCTTTATCAGTAAGCTGAATCGATTTATCTATTTTGCCCACAATATTATGTTTGCAAAACTATTTCTTATTTGTAAGAGTAGTGTGTATATGGAACACTTGATGTATACGAAATGAAATGAATTCATCACACTCCCACAATGTTTGTCGTTTGTACGTAATAACAACTAGTATTTAACATAATATAAATAAAACATTCATAAAATTTGTTTCAACACTTATCAAGTGTTTTCATTTATCAAAGAAACACCTGGTAATAATCTTATATTAACATATCTATCTCTTATATCACAACTAAACATGTTGGTAAGCAGTGATTAGATTAGAAATCAACACTTTACCCTGTTGGCTAACTATGTAGAAATTTCCCTACTTCACATTTTTACTCATATTACTTCACGATTTGTATGGTCTTGTTAGACAATCAATTTTATTGTTGAGCTAATCTGCATTTATCCTTCAACAGTTTTTTTCCATTATAATTTTAATTTGGTTGTGTATACACTGGGACTACCAATATTATTTGTTAACAGTATAAATCTGATCTACCCAGTCGTATTACATTGACCCAAAATGAAATGCAAACTTACCTGTGTTGGCAACTGACTGAAAGAGCGTAAATTTGGGTGTGTTCTTCGAACTTCATCAACTTGTGCACCGAATGTATAACCCTGTTCAATCAAATCTAAAGCCCATGAATCATGGCAATGTTCAGCGAATCTCTGAATTAAGCCATTCAATGCTACTGGAAGACGAACCTAGAAGTAATCAGATAGAACATAATTCATTAAACAAAAAATTATAGTTGCCCTATTTATTTCAGAGTGACAAATGTGGTGATTAGGATTTAAATTACAAAGATAATCACCCTCTTATGATATGATGTCATAACCGTAAGCATTTCAGATTAAAGCCATATCGTTTCTGCAGCAGTTATCCATAACAGGATCTAGGAAATGGTCGCATTATTTTGTGGATTAGGTAAAGTTAGACATCTAAGGCATTAGATACCAGCTCAGTTGTCTTAAATCTAAGCTTTTGCTAGCTAAAGAGGTGGTCCTGGGTTCGATCCCCGGTAGGGTCGTGAATGTGTGCTACTGAGGAGTCTCACACTAGAATGAAACGGCCATCCAGTGATTTATGGTTTCCGATGTTGTCTGACTAAAATCAATCCATAATGTAAACTACGATAAAGTATATTATGTTAAGCATTTATAAAAAAATGTGTGAACACTAATAATAGTACGACGGTACATTCAGCTGACGAATTCCAGATAAGACAAAGTAATGTTCGGACTTCCATTGCAAGCTATAATCCATTCAGTTTATAAGAGTGCCTAATATACTGGCTATCGAAGTTTGTTACTTTTGGACCAATAACTGTAGAGCTTGAATATGCAGTTAGATTGTTTTAAATGTCTTTTGCTTTTTCTAAATCGTATTATGCTAAAGTTAATAAATTAAATCTATTTTAGCATTAGATAAAAGCTCTACTGAATAACTTTATTTCAAGTAAACAATTTATTGTTGAACTCAAATATTTAGTTGTAGACATTATTCTTAACATTGATTATTAGATTAAATCAATTATACTCAGTAGGAATATATATTGTCAAGTATGTGCGAGATGACTACTGTAGCGCACCAGACTTACTTTTCATTGGGAACACAATCTATATTTCGTGGGACATTTTATCAATGAGTTTTCATTGATATAAAATACTACTAACATAAAAATACGTGTGTATAAATCAAATTTAATTGCTGAATGTAATAAAACAGAAGGACATTATTACTTGAGATGTATCTATAGGTTGAGGGCGAAATACATCGTGATGAACAAGTTCATCAAGTGAATCATTTGCTTCTAATTTAGGAGCCCCAGGAACTAGTAAAGAATCTGTGAAGAAAGAATAATTAAAAGAAAAAAATTACTTTTAATATAATTAACTTTAACATCTTTGACTAATCATATATTCATTTGATAACCGTTAGATGCTGGCTGTGGTCTAGAGGTTTAGCGTTCGCCCACGAGACCAAAGGTTCTGGATTCGGATTCGGCGGGCAGAGCCGCGTGTGTGCACTTCTGGGGAACCCTATTATAAGACGAAACGGCCGTACAATGCTTTGGGGTTTTCTTTGGTGGTCTAACATGAATCGATTAATGATGTCGATAAAAAACCTAATAATCTCCACAACCTTATACTAATGATAACTAAAAATGAGGAGTATGTATTGGAATTTTTTAAACGAAGTTAGGCTAAATTAAGCTTGGTAAAAAAAATTAAGGTGCTATTCAAATAGATTGGTGTCTAAACTATTTTTGGAAATTAAATACCACAAACTTTATGTAAAATTTAATTCCCTCCATAAAATCGTGATGGAAAAAGAAAGTGAACAATAATTTGCTTGTTTTCTGATTACCTTGGAGATTATAAAGAAATTCACGTATAGTTAATATTACAACAACGGAAAGAATACATTATTTCAATTTCACAAAGATTTAACTGTGTACAAATCTTCTAAGTTTGAACTAATCTGATAACTATTAATATGAACACAGTAGAAACTTCGAAAATTAATTTCACGATAGAATTCTATGGTACTTAAGTATTTGATGCATCGCTGAAAGTAGGACTTAACTGGTTAAGGGGAGACTTAAAGTATCCGTGTACACTGTGAGCTAATATAGTGGTATAGTATCTAGTGTCCCAGCGATAAAGCCGCAACATTCACATCATGAATTTCCTTGTTATATTAACAGTTCCCCGAAAAGAAGAATGCAAATCGCTCTGAAACTTAACTCACAACCGTTTTACTACTTTCAAGCCGGCATTTTATTCAAATAAATAGTTTCAAATATAATTTACTTCTGATAAATGACATTCGTTATTATGTTGACTGGAGCGCGCTAAACTCATATTTACATTCTAAATGTAATCATTCTTATTATTAATTTCAGCTGTTTTCTATATTTTTCTTCTTAAAGACCATATTGTTTGTTGATTTATTCATCTTACCATCCATATGCATCACGCTTTTACATTCAATACTTAAATTTAGTCACGACTACATACCTCATACTTGACCATGCAGATACAGGGATAAAATAAATCAAAACCGGATAAGAAGCCACATTGCAAAAATTCAAATGAATATGTTTACAAATCATTTGCGTATTCCGGTTATTGGACCGACCCTGACGGGAACATGTGGCTGGTGACTTTTATGAGGTGGAAAATGTACTTACATATCACTATGGACGTATGGTACGGAAGGTGTAATCTATACTGATTCGTTCAGCCTACTACCCATATCCCTGAAACGAAAGTTTTCAGTCTTAGATTTAACTACATCAGTTGAGGACGCGATATATCTGTCTTCCACCTCGTATATGTACATACATCTAACAGCTATAATAACTCTGACCAATCTAATTAGGCTAACTGTAACAGTTCAAAGCTTCTAAGTATTTTCAAATAAAACTGAGAAAAAACTTGATGAAAGATCATCCATGATATGTAAGTGGTGATTGTTTTTAATGACAGCTTAATTGTTAAATTAAACAATGAAAAGTAGGCAAGTCAGCAAAACCTTTTGGCGATTTTCAAAAAATCTTATCAGTTTTTTTACAAGAACAAATATATACTAATTTGTTAAAAAAAAAATGAGATGTATCTCTTAAATGTCTATTATATCTCGAGTCTTATTACTTAATCTGACAATCAGAAAACACTGTAATTCACAAGATGCAAGTGGAAACAAGAAGGACTGGGCTAGTGATGATTTATCGACTTCCCAAAACACGTTCCCTTAACAAGTCTTCAAAAACAAGTCCAAAACCATATTGTCATACGACCGAAATACACTCATTTATATACACAGGTTCACTGTAAACAAACACCGAACATAGTGCACCTGAACTGATATAGGGAATATATGTGTCACATTGAAAGAAAATCACCATTGAATTAATTAAAAAATATTAACCAAAAGTTATATCACCAATCTATCCAGTCATATCGGAATAGAAGTGACTTATTGCAAAGATACGTCAGTTTTATGCCAAAACGCAATCGAACGTACTCATTTGATCAGTGAATACTGATTGCCCAACATTTTGCCCCAAACTGTCATTTTGTTGACCCATCGCATTCAACTGACTAATTGAATAATCCGGTGGTAAAGCACATGCTATCGAACATAGACATGGTAATGCATAAGAAAATAATTCGGGCTCATATGGTTGTCGGGATAACTTTTCGAATATTAATATGAATAGATGAGCAGTGATACTTCGTTCTTCTTCAGATGCTGATGTTTCACCATCACCGCTACGACTACCTACGTTATCAGCTCCACCAGAACTAGCACCACTACCGGTTTCGTTACTGGTGCATCCAGAATCATCGTCAACTGATGCTGCACTATGTCCTGGTGAACTTTGTGCGCCACCCGTCCATCCATCTGAACTATAATAAGTTCCACAGCGTTGGTAAAATTCTGTCAACGCTCGAAGTGATACGACGGACTAAAAAAATAAGTACAGAGAAATGAAATAATAAGAATATAAATGCTTCCCAGTAAAATTAACTTGATCAGTATCAAATAAACAAGGTGGGATGATGTTGAAGTAATGTAGAGATATTTTGTATTTAAGCTACAATTTAGGATTCTCTCTCAACAGATCAGTTATTTATAACAAAAAAATATAGCTTAATGTAGATTATTGAGTTTCCATAGTCTTAACATTATTCAAACAAGTATCATACCCAGCGAACTGAGTAGTTTAATTTCCTCTCTTTAAACTAGGAGAACGGTTTTTATGTTGTAAAACAATAAATTACAATGGATTTGCTTTATCTGACTGTTCAAGTAAATTATCATCAGGATGAAAGCTATTTTCACAAACATGATTGTTGTTACAGATTCTCATAATAACTGAGGTTTAGTTGAATAAAGAACAAAAACTTAGGTCAACTTCATCCATCTGTGTAATATATTAACATGAGTCTGTTTACATTTGATTTAGTTAACATTTAATGTTTCATAATATAAATAGCCATGTATTACAATCAATTCTTTATACGAGAGAAATTCTTCAACATCTACAATACTACTGGTTTGAATCCAGTAATTTCTATTTTACAAACCTCAGTGAAGTTGATTATCCATTTCTCAGCGATTGATTTACTAAATATATACTTAACATAGAACATAGAACTGTATGACAAAAATATTTTTTTACATGTATGAATGAAAATTAAACACTAGTTGAAACTTAGTCATTAAATTGTCGAACAAATGTGGCTTACTTCTTTTGATAATGTACGTAAATCAGAAACCATTTTCTTTAATAGAGCAGACATCATTGGTGGTTTAATTTGTTGCATCAAAGCAACTAAAAAGTCACAAACGACTTCACGTTGATGATTAGTAATGGATCGACATTTTGATAAACGATAAGCCGTTTGTAATGTTGCCTCAAATAATCCTCCAGTTGTACCTTCTTCGCCAAGATATTTAGTATGACGTGTGAGTAATGGCAAAACACTGTTGCATAAATAACGATTTAATGCCAAAGCCATATCACTGTCTGGAACAACAGTCTAAGTAAACAGAAACAGAACAATTTCATTACATAATGATTATAAAATAAAAATACGTACACTACATTTAAACTACCATATAAAATATAGCCTAAAATGAACAAATATTCAAAGTAAATACAAAAACTTTGTCTAAATGCATGGGTATGAGAAATAACAATCCCAAAAATACAAAACGTTACAAAAATTAGATTGCTAATAGATTCAAAGTATTGTTTTTTATATGGAAATGAGGTCGCAGTTACATTTTGAGTTTCAAGTAGGAACAGTATTTCAAGTAATAAACATGTCGGATATATGTCCACTAAAGTAATAGAGAAAATTGGTTGTGAATGTTTAACAAAATAGCTCAGTTTGTTGTTTTAGATTATGAACAAACGTTTAGCGTAAATTAATAAGTGGAGAAAAATGGATTCAGGTTAATGTGTTTCTAAAAGTGTAATAAATTGTCTATATCTGTAGTTTTCTGTTTTTTGTGTATGATATGTTTGTAATTTTTTCATGTTCATCGAGTAAGTTATAACTAGTGGAAGGTTAAATATGAATATCAGCTTCATTATTCAGATAATTTTTTCCTATTTTTTGGATTCATAGATGTATGGTAGAACTTTTGTATCAGCTCCTGCATCTCACCAGTCGGTCGGCCAAATTAGAAAGCTACCTTAAAATAGATAAACTTCAAAGAATAACATAAAAACCAGTCGTTTTGAGAATTTGATTTTATGCAATCTAAATATACATGATTCATCTAATAGACAAGGGATAATTCTAGTATTGTCCACCTTGAATCTCATCCTAAAGAACGTACAGTGAAGATTATTTTCCACGTGGATGCTTTTAAATGCTTATTAAAACATATATATCATGTGCGACAAGATTTTTGTAATGGTGAAGAATGATTGTTGTATCCTAACCAGAAATTCAGAAGTGAATATCAGTGGATTTCATGCCAGTACTTTGATCACCGTGATAAACCATCGTTCCTGGCCATCACACTCGGTCCTTTGCTATTTCGTCTTATTCTCTGTAATATATGAGCAATATCGAAATGATTTGGAAGTGACAGAATATGAAACAAAGATACAACTGAATATCCTGGTTCCTGAGAACTTTTAAGAACACTTTAAATAGTCGAAAAGGAGGTAAGACAAGTGTACTTCCAAAAATGGAGAGTATTTTTGAGGGAAGTTTTTAAAAAAGTCTTTATAAGTGCATTTGTTGAGAAGACTGATGTTAATGTAACTGCGTAATTGTAATTCACCAATTGAAGAAATTTATAAATTTATTTGCCAAGTTTATTCATTGTGCAACATTTACAAATCAAGATGAGTTCCGTAAGCACTTTCTCATACTTTTGTGATGTTTTTAAGGATTTGAACTGTCATGTGATTAAAAAATAAATCTGAAGCTGTTTGAGGATCTTGTCAAAATGGTCATCATGCTATTATTTTTATTACTACTATTATTGTTCGGATAAGAATGCTGTTACCTCTTGTGAGCTTCAAACCTTTGGATGAACCAGTCTGAGTAAGTGTGGCAGTAAAAAAATAAACAAAATAATTGTACAAATTTTTTTACAACATGATAAAAACAATTGTTCATGCTTTCAACATAGCTAGAATGAATCTTGTTATTTATTGTTCTAGTCATTGTGATTAAATGTAAAGAAAATGATCATAATCAATGATTTGAAATGTTTATCACTGAATCGTAAATAAAACTTACTGAATCAAGTAATGTAGCTGCACGTAAATCTGGTAGAAAACCATTTTCTAATAATCTTAAGAATGTTGCAGCATCTGAAATTCCATAAACTCGCTCTAAAAATAACACAACTGATGCTTTATGCTCTGGCAGTAGACCAGGTGGCATACCAGCTTTATCAACCCATTCATCTTCTCCATCTTCATTAGTCTATCGAACAATGATGGGTGGAAAACACAAAATCTATCATATATTATATGTATACAAATGAAAACTAGAAATCTTATTAAAAAATGTTCAAATACATAATGAAATATCCAAAAGTGAGTGAAAATATAGGAAACAGAGAGAAACAGTGAAATGTGTATGGAATTATATGTTTTGATAACCAACAAATATTAAAATAAAATGATTACTAGGACAAGTGCTGGCCTTTGAATATTTTCTGTTATAGTGTTATTACCAATGAGGTAAGCATAAAGACCTGATTTGACAAAAGTACTGTGGATTAGAACAAGTAATAACCATACGAATCCTGAATTGCTTGTTAATGATAGTTTTCCTATTAATGTATCTCATAGACGACTATTTTAATCAGTGATTTGGAATTAGCCCATTTCGCTTGGTGAATCTTGACTGACTTGAGTCACATCAAAACACTGAAGTTATCCATGTTTAGTATTGAAATAAACATTAATTCGCAGTCAATATTATATAGAAAAGTTATTTCTTGTTTTGAAATTATCTTATTTTGCGTTGACGATGATAATTCGAAAGTCCTCACAATTAAAAATTTCATCTAACTCAGTATATTTATTTTGCGTTGAAAGAAATTACCGATCTGAAATAATTTTCATAAATGCAAGTTGTTGTTTCACAGCGTTGGACTTCTCAGGTTCGCATATTTATAACCTTAGAATATTCAGTTCACAGTAAACGTGTTATCTTCTGATTACTGAATGCGAATTCCGTAGCAGGATAAAAATAATCCTTGCTTTATATTAACCACACTTCTATTAGTGGCTAGCTTAGAGACTGGTTTCTTGATGCTCAAGTGAGAAATTATGACCTTGAGGTTCAACAGACTCTTAAAAAAAATCAGGTATGACTAACGACTAGGGTAGGGTTATATGTTGTGTCTAACTTATAGTGTATTACATTCCTTTGGATTTAATTGAAACAACTGATATGGTAATGTCAAATGAGGTTATTTTGATAAACAGAACAATGTACATAGTAACTAAGTAAACGGATATTATCAAATTTCGCCAAAAATGAATGAGTCATGTCATATATAAGTGAACTTGATACGTATGTTGCTATCCGTTCATCTATTTTATATAGTATGTAATCTCGCAACATTGTGGATTTCTTTAAATGTGGGCATATCTCTATTTGTATAAGACTAGAATGGAAGATAAATATTCTATTAACATCTCTGATCGTATGTGTTGGAAAGCCCGTGTAATTAGCTAATAATATAAAATGCAGCTATATATTATAGTAAACAAAATAGTGAACACACTTACCTGGACTTCTAATTTTGGCGGAGGTAATATAAATCTCAATGATAAAACTCCTTCTAAATCAGCCATACTAACAAGTGATTGTAAAATTGACCTAGCACGTATTGATTCACTTTTAACAGTTTCCATATCTGGTGCACAATATCCCAATAAATTTACCAAAATTGAATGAAACGTCAATATTGCAGCACCCAGATCAATGTAATCGGGATCATCTTCAGGCTGAATATTGGGACAGTGGAGAAAAAAACCATGCCAAACATAAACATCGAAAGAATAATTTAGTTTTCAGATGAATATTTTTCTAAAGAATATTCTTGTTATCGTATTCATTCTGTCGTATGGAAATACCAGTCTCACATAAAAAATTACTGATCGATATGAGTGAGCGATTGAAGAAAACCCAGTAATCAGTAGCACTAGGTAGACATATCCGAGTTATTTGTACAGATCTACATCTACAAACGTACTGGCCAAACTAAAACGTTGCATCGGTCCATAAAACCACCAACCTTTGGTCTCAGCCATGCTGGTAGATGCAGACAACTTGATTGGGGGGTCAGCGTGACTATCGTAACCAGTGGTTGGAGACTCTGGGTAACATGGCTCAGAATCGATCACAATGGCGAAGATGTATACACTCTTTGTCTTCCCTTAAACCGTGGGATTAAAACTTTTCATACCACTATTTCTACGAACTAATTCCTTCTCCTTACATGAAATCATTTTTACTACCACTGAAGTAACTGCTTCTATGAATTTGATGTTCATCTGGTTGTATTAATGACGTATGGCAACTTAGACCGATGCATATATATGCCTGGTTCTACATTGTAGATGACTGACTGACAAACGTATGATTTACTTCGACACATTTTCAGAAAATCGCTACTACAGTGGATTGGTGAGTATTATGCCAGATGAGATAACTTACTTACTTAATTACTTACGCCTGTTACTCCCAATGGAGCATAGGCCGCCGACCAGCATTTTCCAACCCACTCTGTCCTGGGCCTTCTTTTCTAGTTCCATCCAATTCTTGTTCATTTTTCTCATTTCTATCTCCTTTTCTCGGCGTAATGTGTTCTTTGGTCTTCCTCTTTTCCTTTGACCTTCAGGATTCCATGTGAGGGCTTGTCTTGTGACGCAGTTGGGTGCTTCCCTCTATATGTGTCCTACCCACTTCCAGCGCTTCTTCCTGATTTCTTCCTCCACTGGGATCTTGTCTGTTCTTTCCCACAGTACGTTGTTGCTAATAGTGTCCGGCCAATGGATCTGAAGTATTTTGCGTAGACAACTGTTAATAAACACCTGTATCTTCTGGATGATGGCTTTCGTAGTTCTCCAGGTTTCTGCCCCATACAGTAGAACTGTCTTGACATTTGTATTGAAAATCCTGACCTTGGTGTTGGTTGACAGTTGCTTTGAGTTCCAGATGTTCTTCAGTTGTAAATATGCTGCTCTTGCTTTGCCGATCCGCGCCTTCACATCTGCATCAGATCCACCCTGTTAATCCATGATGCTGCCCAAATACGTAAAGGTTTTTACATCTCCCAAATCTTCTCCGTCAATTGTGATTGGATTGGTGCATTCTGTGTTGTATCGGAGAATCCTGCTTTTCCCTTTGTGTATATTGAGACCTAATGCTGCTGAGGCTGCTGCCGCACTGTTCGTCTTCTCCTGCATCTGTTGTTGCGTTTGGGATAGAAGGGCCAGATCATCTACGAAGTCTAGATCGTCTAACTGCATCCTAGATGTCCATTGTATCCCGCGCTTCCCTTCAGACGTTGACGTCTTCATGATCCAGTCGATCACCAGGAGAAAGAGAAAGGGTGAGAGTAAGCAACCTTGCCTGACACCGGTCTTCACTTCAAACGACTTTATCAACTGTCCTCCATGCACAATTTTGCAGTGTAATCCATCATTTGAGTTCTGTATGATATTGGCTATCTTCTGAGGCACGCCGTAGTGTCGAAGAAGTTTCCATAGTGTTGTTCTGTCCACGCTATCAAAAGCTTTTTCGTAGTCAATGAAGTTGATGTAGAGTGGTGAATTCCATTCAATTGATTGTTCCACAATGATCCGTAGAGTTGCGATTTGGTCTGTATACGATCTATCCTTACGGAATCCTACCTGTTGGTCACGAAGTTGGGCGTCTACGGAGTCCTTCATCCTGTTTAACAATACGCTGTTGAAGACTTTTCCCGGTATTGAGAGAAAAGTGATGCCCCTGTAGTTATCACACTCGCTGAGATCGCCTTTCTTCGGTATTTTGATCAGAAGTCCTTCTTTCCAGTCTGTTGGTACTTCTTCCTCATCCCAAATCTTATTGAAGAGAATGTGGAGTATCCTTGCAGTTGCCGCTACGTCTGCTTTTAGTGCCTCTGCTGGGATGTTGTCCGGTCCTGTTGCTTTGCCACTCTTGATTCGTCCGATGGCCATGCTGATTTCTTCAATTGTTGGTGGGCCAACATTGATTGAGAGGTCCGTGGGTGCTGCTTCGATGTTGGGTGGGTTCAGTTGGGCTGGTCGATTCAAGAGTTTTTTGAAGTGTTCTACCCACTTCTCGACGATTGACTGCAGCCTATTGTAGAATTGATCTTTAGCGTCTTCATTGTAGTCGTTGGTAGGCGCATAGCATTGGATAATGTTCATTGAAATACCCTTTTTCTTTGTTTTGAACGAGGCTTTGATGATCCTTGGTCCATAAGATTCCCATCCTATAAGAGCATTTTGCGCTTGTTTGGACAGCATCAATGCAACTCCTTGTGTATGTGGTGCATTTTTTTCTTCATAGCCGGAGCATAACAGGAGCTCTCCTGTAGTTAGTCGTTGTTGTCCAACTTGTGTCCAATGTGTTTCACTGATCCCAAGTACCTCTAGGTTGTATCTTCTCATTTCTGCAGCAATTTGGAAGGCTCTCCCGGTGTCCCACATTGTACGAACATTCCATGTACCTAAATAAATGGTCGCAGTTCATAAAACAACTGCTTTATCTTTCAAAGTGTAATAGACTAACAACATATCCTTTTCCAAGTCTATTTATAAATAAAAAACACCGTTATGAGTGCTTTAGTTTCACAAAGATTATCAACTTAGCAGGTTTATCTCATTATTTGAAAGATTTCCTTATAGAAATTATGAAATTAAGATTTAAGCCTTCATTATCGTCATGATTCATCAATCAATAATGAGTGCTTCAGTAAGATAATAATTTTTAACTTTAGGGTCAGATTTCTAAGAAAGTGTGAAACATCGATGAGTCGGGGTACTTACGATGTGGTTATCAACTCTCATTATATTAATTTACACGCATTTATAGATAATATGTATAGGATATTCATCAATTAAATCCGATACGTGAAAAATTATTGTGAAACTTTTACTCACCGGTAGTGATTCAAAGTTGTATGGTAGTGGTGTAAATAAATTAGCGTCTTCGTAGTCCATCAAGACAGTTCGCCACCCTAAATCTTCTTCTTCTGGATTCAAGCCTGCTGCTTCAGCTTCTTGAGCCATTTTCACTAGTTTAATTTGAGCTGACATTACTAGACCTTCTTTCATTGCCTTTAGAAGACCACCACCAGCTAAATTAGGCTGATAATCTGTGTCGCTAATTAGCTGTCCAGTTGATTCGCTTGCAGCATGCAATCCATCTGGACCACCTGGTGGCACTTCTAAACCGTCTGTTCCCGTATTTCCAGTAGAATGTTTCATAACTTTCGATCCACCGCGCAATGCCGGACCTAAGCATTCTGGTCGGCGAATCAATAGACGAACAACTAAGTTAGCATTTTCTTCAACTGTTTCACCTAAAATTAAAGTTGTATAATATGATGCACGGTTATTATGAGCTGCATTGAACTTGGGATTATCATATGGAATCAAAACTATTTTAAAAAATCTTTACAGTATTAAAAAATCAACGTACAATGACTAATATTTCAGTGACTATTTCAAATCTTAACGTATATTTTAATTATTAAAAAGTATCCATACAATTAAATTTGACCATACAAATAATAACTAATACAATACGTTCATAACACATGAAACATAGTCTCAAACAAACAGTTCAGAAATAGTAGGATCAATTTATAAACTTATTATGAGAATTTGACTAAGCAGGTTAATCACTCAAAGTAGATGGAGTGGTGCACGTTTTTGTTAACAGTGAAACATCATCACTTCTGAAATACAAAATCTATCTGACAACTAGTTTCACCTCAAGCAATTTAAATAATTAAAGAATTTATAAATAACTGAAAGTAAATGAACAAAATATTTTTACCATTAACCCAAACAGTGAAACGTAAGAAATCAAGAAAACGTTCTCCTTCCACTGGATCCCATCCAATATCTGGGTAACCTTTAGCTAATAACTCAGCATTTGACTGAACACCACATCGTGATAAATAGATAGCAACCTAGAATATATAATTTAGTAGCAAAAAATTAGCTAAACGGAATATAAGTTTTCATAAGAGGGTAAATCTGCTTTTGAATTCCTAAAACAATGCGAACTTGACAAACTTTAAAAATAAACAGATAACAATATGTATTCATTCATGAATTTTAATGAAAATGACTACTTTCCTCTGGCAGAATCAGAAGAAATGATGATGGACTTAATTTAAATATCATCATATCCGTAAGTTCTACGTTTAATTAATTATCTAAACGTTTACTACACTGTTGTCACATTTGTCATTTTGTTGATATATATTCAAAGGACTTATTTAGTGAGTGGACGTTTAGTAAAGGGTAATGAATCTTGACTAAATTGTTTGATTAATGTTTCTAAATTAAAGGATTAAGAACATGAAAATAAAACTTAATTGTTATAAAAACCATAGGATACTTGTAAATCTTTCTGTATCTCCATTTTTGACACGGGGGACTGCAATTGATCTATCCCTGTTAGCATATGTGTATTCCGACTGAATGTCTCATTAATACAATTTATTTATGAATTTTGCATTCATTTGAATTAGGACTTTTATCCCTGTGTTGTTATTCACAGATAATCAGTCCTGAATTGGACGATACATGTGTCCTGGATTCTACTGCTAGAAGAAATCCATTTACAGTCTACTCCCTAGTCATTTCTAATCAAGTGTAGTCGTCTCTTACCTTTTCCAGTTGTTTTTCACGTAGAGCCAAAGCTAATTCATTATTATCCATCAAAGAAGAATAAGCTACATCCAATGGGCATGTACCACGAAGACTTGGACGAGCTGTGAATTAATAAATATCACATTACCTGTTACTTTAAAATTTTATCTAAAATGATCTGATAAGACAAATTTTTAATATCACAGAAAAAATATTTATAGAAATTAGTCATAATATCAATACATTGTACACAGAAAATTAATCTTTTACGAAATTTGTACTACCAGAATACTCACCTAAGTGTTTCATGTAAATTAGAATTGTAATAAATAAATGACGTCTATCATATCACGAGAGCGGTAATAAGAATATCACTTAGGATGAAAACTAGATATCATAGTACAAGAAACCTACGCTTCACAGTTTGAAGTAATTCACAAAAATGAGGAAATGGATGTTTGTTTTACGCTTGAGTAAATTTCTTAAAAGGTACAACCCCGTTGATTGACTGGTGAAAAGTACATCCAACACAGAGTTAACATAAATTGTGAAATCTAATTCTATTACATGTAAATGGAAGTAGGGCTATGTACTAAGTTCTAAGCCAAACCGACGGTGTCAGTGCTAATGACAGAAATAATCCGTTAAAGACTATTGTAAATCTTAACTCAAGAGCTTTATTAATTCTAAATATTTCCAGTTCTCCATTATAACGTAACAAACATTAATCCTCATGTGGTACCTTCACACTCACTGGGTGATTATTTAAAAAACGACTAAATGAGTTATTACAACAATATATTAACATTTAAGAAACTTGACTATAAACTAGGCTGGGTCAAGGCAGAACTAATTATTTAGTAGGTATGGTCATTCCTGCAATTTTTACTATACAAAAAATGAAATTTATGAAATTATCCAGAACACTTCAAAGCTCCCAACAAAATCGAAGACCAGACCATCGAGGATACAACATAATAAGGCTTTAATAACTGGCGTTATGAATGAACTCTTAATGTTGACCCCATGATTGCAATATTAGGAAGAAAGAATGGCGTATGCAAACAGTGAGATAAAAGTATGTTTACACACGTACTGAAAACCATAAGTCATTAAAATATACTCATCCATTCTACTATACACTGATTAGTTGTACTAATGGTAATTAATGTGATTGTCAATTCAGTTCTCAACATTTAATTCCATTACCTCTATTTTAAAACATTTTGTGCTTATATGATATCAACAGTTCATGTTATTATCAACAATTTTTTAATATGCAACTTTTTTTTAATATGTGATATTTCTAAGAATTTACATTCATTCCAGATATTTGATACAGTTGATAATAGTAGTGGTATTTTCTTATTGTTGCCGATAGCTTGTCATCATTTCATTTGTGTTGATTGGACATTTTTTTATTCGGATCAATGTCCAATGTTGCGCTGGATAGTTTTCGTCTCAATATTTGGCTACCACTATATATTTTAACACAACCACTTGGATTTATTAGATATTTTGTGTATCACTTATATAATTATTAAAGGGCACACCTCCTCATTGATCATACCTTGGAAGACCAAAAACGACTTAGATATTTCACGATTTAAGGTTTGTAAACCTTATAGTTTATATTTATATTTATTGTGCACAAAGTATCAGTTCCGTTAACTAATGAACGAAACTTGTTCACTTAGTGTTGAAAATTACCTACTATTTGAAAGGAAATCATCATCTTATTCTCGCAATATATTTCATCTAAATTTACTTATATACAGAGTATAGACGGTAAAGATTGTCAGTATGGGGTTGTGGAGATTATTAAGTTTTTGATTGAGATCATGATTCGACTTATTAATAAAGCATAATTTAATGCAACTAACAAATTGTATTGTTTACCAAGTAGCATAGATGAATTTTCTAGCATATAACTAAGATGTTCAAACATAGCTTTTTGATTATCTCTTGATGTACGACAAAAATAGCATAGAAAACGACAACATTGAACAACCATTTCAGTTGGTCCAGCTGAACCACGTTGTTGTTGCGATTGCTGTTGTTGTTGGTGATGACTTCCATGACCTGTAGTTGAATTTAAACCTGAATAAGAGTCATAAAATAAAACGGATGAAGATGGGATTATTCAATGGGAAATTTAAGTTATGTTCACTACTTCATGCACAGTAATTTCTCAACTACATTATATTTTCACAATAATCATGACGGCAAATAAATTTCTGATTTTCTTAAACCTTCAGTTAAAACAACAAAATAATAAGTTATAAGTACTTTTATCATTTTTAATTACATTACACATATTTACATACACGTGAAATACTAGATCACAGCGTAGTACAATTTATAAATAGTAAAAGATACAAGGCTAAAATATTTTAGACATAAAATTAAATAATTCACTAATAGTTAAAAATATCCACATAACTCCATGCTGATAAATATCACATTTTCATTAACTACTAATCTTGGGAGGAAATTTTCCGTAGTTTCATTAAGAATTCATAACCAGTGGAGTTTAACTGTGTAGAGTGTGATGCACTTATCCTTCAATAGTGATGGAAGATAGCTGTTGGCTCAGTGATCTAAAGCTCAAGCTCTTTTTGAAAGATAAAGTCCCTAGCAAGATCCCCTTTGGTATGATAGCGATTGGGTACTACTGACGTGTGCCATAATAGAATGAAACAGTCATTCAGCTCTTTTAGGTCTTCTAATAGTTGTTTAACTCAGGTTGATTCATGATCCTATTCACGTTCAGAAATTTCTACAAACAAACTTTCATTTTATTTGAATAATAATAATAATTAATATCATTCCTCTGTAACTAGTATTTTACCAAAAGTTATTTTACAAGGGGATGTCATATTCAGGATTAAATAGTTTATAAACATGATCGTCTCAAGGTAAATTGATAATGAATTCTATTTTTAAAAACTATTTCAGAGGAGATTTTGCCAGTATATTTGAAGATGAATTAGATACTTACGATTTCTATTACCATTTTAAAATTTCAGATAGGCAAATTACAGCATCTCGAAGATCTTTAGGAGTTTGAAAGTTGATAATGATTGTTATATTATGATGAGACTACAATGATAATAAAACTTGTAATGTATGTAGATTGACTTGGAATTATCAAAGTACTCTTCATTATTTGACTAATTACACACAATTAACATAAACATCTTCATTAGTTTACATGAAAAGAAATTACCATCAATTACTTGAATTTCAAAGGCTCAAAAAATATACTTGGGTTAAATAGCCATTTAATAAACAATTCATTTTAGATATTTGTTGTTTTCTTTCCAAGATGAAACTATTATTTAAGTAATAATGGTTAAATAATTATGTATTTAACAGTAAATAACATTCTATTACATTAAGTAAATTAATAGTAAAATTACACAGTTGACATCTTAATTGATTGCGTACATAGTTTACGTCATTAAGTGGATTCAGGGGTTGATTAATTGAAAATGCTAAAGTAATAGACAGATTAGCTCAAAAAATGACGAGCGAAAATTATTAAGTATAGAATAAAGAATTAGTATTGTCATTATCGTTATTACTGCAAGATTAACTAACCTTCCTCATGTAGAACAGGTAATGAAGAACCAGTGACACTAGTCACTGTAATGTCAGTTGTTACCGCCTGATTGGATGAATGTATTGCATCTTTGGAAATGGCATTTCCACCTGGTTGTTCAAATGTTGCTTTAGTTAATGTTTGTACCATTAATTGCATAACTGTCTCATGTACAGCTAAACAACGTGTTAAATCAGGATGTTGAAAGAATACTTTATTATTCATTAAGTCCCTGTTTATAGACGTTGAGATATTGATGGTAACATAAAAGATGAAGAAAACGGAAGCAACTTTTAATGATGTGAAATCGATGTAAAGTTTATATACGGCAGTAACTATTATTTATCTAATTAAATAATCGTGTGTGTTATTAGATTTATCAGAAAACAAAACTTATTCGAGCTATCATGTCAAGTTAGCTTTATTGTTAATAGGCACCAATATAAAGGCTAGACTTGATGATTTCAAATTATCTGAGCATCAGGTGGGAAGTAAAATATCACATGATATATTTTCAATGGTTTACTCTCGTAAGAGCGTGCAAAACGAAGAGTATTAGTAAGGGCAACGGACAAATGAGCAAGCTTCGAAAGGGTTTGCATCAGTAGTAGTGAGAATCAAACATGAAGACTTATTAAAATACTACAAATATGCCACTAATATATTTACTGACTGAATATAATAAATTAAACAAAAGCATTGGATAAATAATTTCCATCTATGGTGGTAAGTATTTAAATGGAATGAATAAAAAATAACTAGCACTTCGTCTCAAAATGACTTAGTTGAGTAATGAGCACAGATGTAAGTTCAATGGTAGAAATCACGAGTCAATTAAAGCTAGACCACCGAGGAAAACCTGAAAGCACTGGACGGCCGTTCCGTCCTACTGTGGGACTCCTCAGTGTAGTTCAACCGCGTCTGTTGTCAGATAGAAGCTCAATGAAGAGAATGGTGGATATGAAGATGAATTAACACAGTTTGATTCCGGCTCAGTGGTCTAGTGGTTAAGTACTCTCGCGCGAGACTGATAGGTCCGGGGTTCGAATCTCGCGAGGGACGGTATCGTGGATGCGCACTGCTGAGGAGTCCCACAATAGGACGAAACGACCGTCCAGTGCTTTCAGGCTTTCCACGGTGGCCTAGCTTCAGTTGACTCATGATCTCAACCAATAAAATTACTATAATGTCCACAAAAACCCTTCTGACAGTTGTAAGTGTTAGAAAATATAAAACTATGAAATTACGTTACAATTAATGGATTGATGAGAGAACATGACTTTGTATAACATAAATTGGCATCTAGACGTTTAAAATACATTATTTTATTAGAATTTAAAACGATATAAAACATGAATAAAGGCAGTGAACTAGATTCCAGCCCACATTCTTCTATGCTATATCTTAACGGAATGAGAATACATAATAAGTAACATAGATGCTAAGTTTTTGATAGTGAATGATTACACTTTTAGAAAAGGGAAGATAGTTAACGACAAGACTTTTTGATGGACGGAATACAGTACAGTGAAGTGGTGGTGATGTCACACGAAAGGGATAATCAGGAGTAGTCGTCAACAAGACCGGTATATAATATTGAAGCTAGTAACTACTGTTTTAGATGAAGCAGACAATTAGGATCAAATGACATGACGATCAGATGTCCCCATCAATTTTTAATTGATCCACAGTTTAAATTCAAGACAACTATGGAAGGTAAGAATTTCCTCGTCTATAATTATATAAAGGGTGAAAAACGGATCATGATCTTTCCTACAACTCAGAAACTGGAGTCACTGAAGCAATGTCCTGGCAAATACTCATTATTATTCTCATTTTTATACATTCATTTGACCTATCAGTAGATACATATGTACACTTTGTGCAAATTATTTATCTAACGCTTTGCTGACAGACAGTACATTAAACATACCTATTCATTATGACCATAAATGTAAACTCATAACTGTAGGAGCTTACAGGGATTTATCGGAAAAAAATACTGGTTTGATGTTATAGAGATTTAAAAAACAAACAGATTTCTTAGTTATGATGAAAGGATATAAAACATCTTAGTACGGGATAAATAAAAATATAATAAATTAAAGAAAAAATCTAATTTACCATAAACAATTCTTTAATAGAATTTCTTCATTTGATCCTAACTGAACACCAAGTAAACTTCTTACTCGTCCAAGTGAACGTAGTAGACGAGATACTTCATCTTGCGATGAACCACTGATGACATAAGTTTTTTCTAATGCATTTTTTAGCTAATTTTACATAAAACGTTTTAATGAATTTTAAAGGCAAGAAAAGAACAATAACGGAATAAAATTATTAAAACTGTTTTATATAAAATTTAGTTATCTTAAAATTTAAAATATTACGTGTTTCTTTTTATATTTTCGTTGCTATGGATCATCAGATACCAATCATGTTAACATAGATAATATTAATGTTAATAATAAAGAAAAAAATCTGATATAACCATTTCGTTAAAGCATTGTAATATTTACATTCATTGCATTGTCAAAAATGTACTGGTTACAATTCATCTTTAGTCACTAAATAGATAAATATAGTCCAGAAATCAAGCTACACTGAAATCATTACAATGACCACTGATTTTGCCGAGTTGTTAATACTTCTATAGTATCCCAATATTAAATAATAAACAGCGTTTTTACTTTGTGATCAAGGAGTTCAGAGGAGAAAACTTGGTTCTCAATGGTGTCGTACATTAAAACCTTACAACTGTGTCTATAACCATTTAAAACATAATAATGTATATAGGTCTCACGACCAAACCTTGACACTTGAACCATTTAGTTAGAATCCGATAACTCACTTTTCTACTTAAATCAGTTCTTGTCCATTGAATACCATCGGTGAGGAATCTCTTGAAAATCCTCAACACCGATGCTAAGATGATACAGTTTAAGAGTACTTCCTAATATTCAATAATATCGCTACGGAAATCCGTTCATTTACGAATGAGATTAGTTTCTAGAAAATCTCTTAGTTGGAATATAAAACTACTTTTTAAAAAAATACTTAACTTGAGAACAAAATTTTCCAAATAACCTTACTTCTTCAGTTGCATTGTATTGACGATGAAGTGCAGAAAACATTTCTCGGATCAGTTCCAAACTTTCAATAAAACCTTCTTTAGCCCATTTAACTATCGTATAAACGATAAGTCCATCCAGTGAACCTAAATATAAATATATATATGGAACTGTTAACATTATTCTTCATATCAATATGAAATTTGGTTGAGACTACAAAAACAGATCCATTTTTGTGAACGGTTTGTTTCCGAATATTATATACAATAACCAGATGAGACGACTGAAAAATAGTAAAGGGAAAATTGTCAGTCTCTCCTAAATTAACTTAAAATTCAGTTATCATGGTCATTGTCTCACTTATTATTCAGCCTATATGTGATTGCCTCAACGTATTGATTGAAGTAATGGAGTCATTTTTTTCATCTCGTTCGCAGAAATCTTTACAAATATATTATTGCTTTTTAATGTCCGATACACACTTTACACTTAATGATTGTTAGTCTATTTGTTAAAATCTTTCATAAATCTTCGTAAAAAATGATAACCTGTTTATCAAATATTTTCCTTATACAAATATGGATAGTCCATCTACCACCCCTGCCTGTTCTTATTAGAGGTCAAGATGGTTTATTGTTAGTTACGTTTTACGGATTTCATAGAAGACAGCAGAGTAACAGTTGAAAGCAAATCAGTATTTAGTCATCTGATAGAATTTAGTCGACATATTAACAATGTTCAGATTTATAGTTGGATTGCAAATTTTTCTGTTGTGTATAGTTTTCTTCTGCTCTGAAAAGCATTTTTATCATAACAGTTAAATAAATACACAATAAATTATTAATTTCAAAAACCTTCACTCCAGTTATTTATTAACCTTCTATTCGCTAGTGTCGTATGAACTATGAGTGAAATCCATTGAAATAACTTACTGTCGGTCAATTTACGACTTTGAATTTATCAGTCAAACATTATCAACTAAGAAGTTAATTGACTTGTACAATACTCTAATTGGTTATTGTCGAAAGGTTTGTTTATAAAGTCAGAAAAGGACGAAGATTTAAATAACAACTATTACTACTAATCAACGCATTTGTAGTTATCATAACATGTTTGATGTATAGACTTACGTTTTCCTGAATGATAAAACTGAGTAACAGATGTCTGCTCATTATTCTCATTCACTTCAATGGTTGAATCATTTGTCAATGGATTACGAATAATTACATTCCATAATAATTTTAAAATCCATGGCGGTGTACCTGAACCTTCTTCTGGATGACCCATATCAGGCGGGACCAGTGGAAGGTGAGCTAAAGCTGTTTGTAATTCATCAGATGGATAAGATGGACCAAATGATGCCAAACTAAGGGTATCTGATGGATGTGTTAGTAATGGTGAATGTAAATGTGATTCGTCGAACCCACTGTCCGCAAACTTATCAGAGTCTGATTTATTTCCTGAGTTGCTTTCATTATTTTCTGGTAACATTACACCTAGCTTATTACAGAGTAGTTTGTGAAAACTTCGAAGCATTTCCTAGCAAAAATAAAAACAATGTAAGATCATTAAAAAAGAGAATGTGTGTAGTTTGTGGTTGCATATTATGGAAGGATTAGATACGCATTTGGTCCTAATTCGGTATTCTTCCGTAGTGTGTACTTATAACCCCTGAAACTATAAGCTATCAAATAATTGGTTATCATCTATATACTGGGTAAAACGATAATGTATCCAAAAGTTTACAACTAAAATAATTTATTATTAATAATTAATTATTTCCAACCTCAATTAATTTCTAATTATTCTACAATTTGTCATCAAACCAATGATCTTCACATGCTTCAATGTACTCTTCTACTTAAAAAAAAATAAAATTTTATGCAGGAAATATTTGCAAATCTAAAATCTTGTTACTTTTAATAATACAAAAGAAAAGCTGAAATAACATTAAGAGGTTGTTTTCTTGAGGGTAATGAATTAGTACACATAAAACGTTTTATTTATAAAGATTACAAATTTTTAACAAATTAAGTATTTTTTGAATTTCATTTGGTTTACCTGGAATTCATTCGTTTACCTGGAATTTTTGATTCCACCAATTATCTTATTGTAATGTATATTCCTAAATGATTTACTTGGTATACAAATGAATTATATCATTTCTTTGATATAAATTAACACAGAAAGATTAGGGTTACCATTTCAGAAACTTCTGATTGAGAATACTTATCTCTCAAAAAAGGTATTTATACCAAATTAATATTTCACATTTCTAACCGATACAAAGTTCTGGTGACACCCAATAAATAAATAGAGTTCTTTGTTTTCAATATTCTTTCGACATCAAATTCAACTTACGACAGTTTTAATTTTCATGTAGTTTGTCATATGAACCAGTGATAAATATATTTTTCCTCTATTAGTCAAAGTAAAACATGATTAAACATCTTTAAAATTAAAAAAATCAGTATAACCGAAATTTAAAAATCTTAGTACCTTAACTTCTTCCGAGCAGGGATTAGTTTCAACATCTTCTAATTCATCATCTTCTTCTTCATTTCCAGAAACTGTCTCATTAGTTGATGGTTCAGTTTGTGCCTCTTGTGAACGACCTGTTGGTCCACCCGGACCATGGATTTGCAGAAGACTTTTCATTTGTACTGAGGCAGGGCATCTAAATTCCCTTGTTCTTCTAGCTGCTACAGATGATGGTAGATTGGATTTCTTGATAGCCATATACCTAAAATTTTGATCCTAAACAAGAATTATCAGGATAAGTTATGCATGAAATACTAGAGTTATTAGAGCATTACTTGCATCACAATTTTATCTGCTAAACAATGTATTTTCAGTCCATTATCACACTTATATACTAATGCTTTTATCTCAGATACTTTAATTATCATCAAATATCATGAAGTAGCATCTAACTCCTTGTTGATAATTTGATCTGACACTAACTCTGATCAATCTCATTAGTCTACATAAAATTTATCAAAATCAGTAGGTCATAAAAAATCCAGCAAATATATGACAACAGAATTAATACCGTACTTTTGTTGTTGCTTTTTCATGGTCACTGTTTTCATTTTCTTCTAGCTAATTGTAGATTATTATAATTACTCTTTGATAGCAGTGAAACCGCTCTTTATTATCTTATTTACCTCAAAAAATGATAACCCAGATATAGGTACTCAGAAAAATGTTTCCTAACTACTGGTTTGTGTTGTTGTAATTCCTGTGACAAAGAAACTTACGAACTTTGTCTTACTTTCATTTCTTTGGTATCAATCTGATCACGTCTTTAAGCCGAAGTCTCTTTTGCGATTATTTTTACAGTACAATTTGAAATTATTTAAAATTAACATACTAATTGACTTACTTCTTGTAAAGCTTGTACAAATTTACTAGCAAATTTTACAACCTGTTCTACTCGGTTACGTAATTGTAGATCACATAAATTATGTAACAGACGGCATATTTCTAGTTTGACACTTTCTGGCAAGTGAAACTCGAGTAGACTTTCATACGTCGAATCACCTTAAGATATCAACAAACAATTAACATGACAATGATAACCGTAGTAATATAAAGTGTGAGTCTATAATACTTAGAAAATAAATAAAACATTTGAAATCTTGAATCACTTTGAAATATTGTTTCATTATCACTGTAATTAGGAAAAAGGATAAGGATTATGGTCCTTATAAAATGTATGTAACATTCAACTGTAAGATACTGTCAGACACAAAATTTAAATGATAAGCGCTGAATGAATTTTATTAATCAGGAAATGAAATATGATCATAACACTACAATACATGTTTGTTAGTGTAATCTTTAGAGTCGATTAGCACGTATCCTTATAATTTAGCAATAAATTACACCTGCAAACTATTCCTTTAAGGATTGAAACACAAGTCGCTCAAATTCATAATTATAGGCGTTACTCCTAAATAAACATACAATACAAGTACAAGACAGAAAAGAATATATATTCATGTATATGACTATTTATATTTTACAAGAATCAGCCACTGAATGATTTGACATTTAATAAGTATTTGATAGCTAGATAGCAAAATATAATTTATAGTAAATACAATATTGGAAAAATTAATTAAACAATAGAATGAATAAAAAAATTATATAAGTTGTTTGAATTTCATTCAATACATATCTCACTATGACTGGATTATATATTAACCATAATCCTATAAAATATAGACATTAATTACTGTCATATGATTAGCCATTTTTATAAGTTCATACAGTGCTTAAACTAAGTGAATGAAATTGATTTATTTTTCATACAACTATGAACAGTTGCTTGTCAATTCGGGTGATATGACGTTATGGTCTCATCACTTACGATAATATTGCTAAATGAATGACAAAATGATAATAAGCTTCTACATTGATCATATTTCAGTTATACAGTGACTATTTCACATGTTGGCAATTAACCCATAACTTATCAACAACTCTAAGAGAAAAACAGAAATAAATTACATGTATACAAACCTCTTAATGGCAATGATGCTTTAAATGATTTAGGATCCAAGATAGCCAATAGAGTGTGAATATCTTTTTGATCGAGCACACCCATAACAAGTAGACAGTTGATTGTTTTTACTAACGGTCTAAAACACACAAAAGAATTTTTTTCAAGAAAATATCATTATTAGTTTAGAATCAATCAACTAGAAAAATTTCCAGACTATGATACTGGTTAGTCTTTGTAAGAATGTAAATCCATGGATTAACCTTATTGTCATCAGCATATTTCTATCTGACACGTAAGATACTATTTTTAATTCATTAAGGCTGTTTTAGATCAGGACTTATTACAACGAAGTCCCCACTGTTATAACTTGTCGTTTAAATGCTTATTGTCTTGGCTCTTTTAATGCTACTTTTTGTATCCGGTCGTCGCTGATTATGTCGGAAAACACTTATCACTTATACTCGGGACGAGGGACCTCTGAACCCACAAAGTATGCATAAACACTGTATGATTATCAAATAATGATTGACTTCTGATTGTGTTTTCTGTTCTGTTCTTTGAGCATGATGTTGTCTTAATCTAAGTATTTAAAAATAATATTTTGTCAAGGGACTATAGTTCATGATTAGAATACATCAAATTTGTTCTCCTCATTGATACAACGAGACCGATTGTGTTTGCCTAACATGTTTAACTGATCAAAAAGTAATAAGCAGTACTTAGGCCCCCTGCTTGAATATCCGGGCTACCTTTTTCTACCATCTAGATATTTCAACAAGTTATCTTCTTTGTTTGTTTTAACACATGAATCTGTCCATTAATCGCGTAATCTATTCAGGAGCGTACATAAAAAGTTTAAAACTTATAAATTTACAAGGTACAAAAGGGTACAATCGGAGATTTCGTGGTGACTGGCAATAGGCATTGTAAAGAGTGAAAATTAATCGGATGTCAACTTCTAAATTCTAACCGCCAATCACTAGGAGGCAAGGTGAACTATCTTCAAGTCCTATTAAATCTAAACAGGTATCGTAATCGTGGTCTAATCACAATTCAAGAATCCTGGTTTAATGATTTACAACACTATTGTTTAATATCATTACAAGGTTTCAGTATTTATCGCCCGAATCGATCAAGCAAAATGAAGATGTGTGGCGGCAGTATAGTTACATTTGTAAGCATGAAGTAGTGTCGATCTAATTCTACATGTTTTAGGTTTTCAAACGACTTTATCGACTGTTTAACTTTAAGACGCCGTCCAGAACACTTGAACAAATACGATTATTTGTTATCAAAATCTACGTAACTTTGGACTACATATATACACGACCTGTTTTCGTTGATTAACTCACTGAATTTACTGCTACTGACTTCAGTAGTTCACTTACACCTATATAAGATGATTTATCTGTATGTAACTTTCTTTCATCACTAAGTCAAAAAAATGTAGTAGAATTTCCCACTCCTTTGAATGCCAACTTATACTTAGTTTTCATCAGCGATGTGTAAATATATGTGAGTTGTGAACTTGCCGCATTGTCTAGTTCTGATTATTTTATTATTCGTTTTGTACCTAAAGTATATGCCAAGCTTGGAAAGAGTACACCCTTACACCAGACAAAGGAAATCAAATACAGAAATTACCCAGAAAAAAAATCAGAATCTGAAAACAGTTTTCATACGAGAAAATGGAATTTTTTCTTACAGATGATTCATTTGAAAACACCGTTGATGTTGTCACTTATTACTTTAAATTCTGTTGTGATCTTATTTGTCACACTGAAACTATTTTTGTAAGTTTTGATTGACTTACATCTCCACAATTAAAACGATTACGAAGTGAAAAAGAAAGGATGTAAAAAGGAGAAAAACTCTATTGAAGTTCAAAGTATAATCAGAAAAAAATATCTAAGTTCGTACAAGTATGGTAAATAATCTTCAAATACAGAAATTCACTATGAGGACAATTTATTTCACACTAATTTTTAACATTTGCTAACTTCAGTCATTTTTTAACTGTCATTCAAAATCTTAGGTAAACATTCACTTCTCCTCTTATTTATCTGGTTTCGGAGAGTGAGATTCCTCATTAAACACTATACATATATCATTACGAATATTTAGGTATATAATATTCAGGCGTTTATTACTGAAAGAGGAGGACAAAGAGATTTTCCATCAAGTTAGATGTTAGTTTTGACTCAATTCATGATAATATATCAGTTCATTTTGTGATGAGTGAAATTCATATGTTCAACTTTATATAAAATACAATATAAAAACTTACAATGAATTTCACATTATGACAAATTAAATACTAAGCACCACTTAATTCTTATAGATTTATTAACTTAATTTATGTATATTTGTCTGCAGTCAGTTGTTTTTTTATTTTAAAAAAAACTTTTTGAAATACTTAGTGCTGAGAACTCCATATTGTACTAAACATATGATGTTGAATAAAACCATTAATAATAACAATAATGGTAATAATAATGATCGAGTGATGCAATAATGAAATTTCATTTGATAAACAGTAACTTAATAATTGATTTCATAATGAGTGTGCTTAAATTGTGTAGAAAGTATGCAATTACTTTAATCACAGAAAAGAAATTTTCAATTACAAAAAGTTTTTCCTCAAATCGATTTCTTTATTTTATTTTCGAAAGATTTATTTAATCAGTCTATAATCAGCAAATCCAGTTCGATTCTGAGATGCAAGTTCGTGGATACCCACTACCGAGGAGTCCCATGCTAGGATAAAACCGCTGTCCAGTGCTTTCAGGTCTTTAATAATGACCTAGCTTCAACCATTTCATTATTTAAATTATAAAAGTAAAGTTTAGATTAGATGTTCTATATAATTTTTGTTTGAATTCAATGTAATGTGGAAATAAACATTTCAAAGTACATAATCTAGGTGACAAATAACAGGTTGACTGTTGTATTAACATTCATGAGGTCTCATTCATTCTTTATTAATATTGAGAAAAAAAAGGAAGCCATATTCGCGGTTACTTCACATCTGATAATTACGTAGATCTGATACTTTAGGAAATAAGCTTTGAAGTGATGGGTAAAAAGAAGCTATTATTGCTGGCTGGTAATTATATAGAATAGTTCATTAGATCTGCTATGAGAAAGTGACGGACAGAATTTTGTGGGCGGTCTTTATTTTTAAAAGTACCATACAAATCTACACTTTGAATGTATTGCAGGATTAATAGCAATTAGTGTACTAGATTAGATTTTTAATGTCGGTACAAACAATGTTGTGATCAAATACGTGAATAAATATTGGTGAAGAATTCACTCTTTGAAATGTAATAAAACTTAGTTTAGTTGACTATTGATAGTGAGCCCGTTTTTATGATTGAACATATAAGTTAACAAACTACTGAAATTATCTAGATCTCCGAACTGATCAAATATACACATACCTGACTCATGAATCCCGAAATCAAGTGTTTACTAGAAGAAAAAACCACTAATCAAATGTTTAAATAGGTATATGAAGAAATTAATTTTATGATTTATAAATAAAGGGCTCAACCAAGGTTGTATCACTGATCAACTGAGAAAGGATTAGTTAGAGATAGTAAAAAACAGAAGAAAAAACAACTAACAAAGATGATTTACTGGTTGTAGTACATATCAATAACATAATATATTTGTTATGTGACGAAAACCTTAATCGTACACTTTTTAAGAATATACATTATAAAACCACTTTTTACTTACAGCAATAAATGTTCATAACTTCCACCAGCTGGATCACGTATACTACCACCTTTATATACACTATCAACTAAACAATCTAAACAGACTAATTTCAATTTAACTAATGGAAATGGTGGACAATCGGATAGTTTTAATAAACCATTCGTTCCAGCTATATTCAATGCAGTTGACATTGCAGTATCTTCTTTCGTTTTTTCTGGTGGCGTTACAGGTAAATTGCCAGTTCCATCTGCTCCAGGACTGTAAAGTGGAATCAAATGAGAAACGATAAAATGTAAACTGTTTCTTAATTAATCAAAATATGAGTAAAGTGGATATATATACATAAACAGCTTCATGTAAATAATTTTATTGTAAATATAGTGGATGGAAATTAAAAACTTGTTCCATCTGCTTTGACTTAGTATTCATAGTACTCACATAAATAGTATGGCTTCAAATCAAGCATATTGACGAATACTCGGTACACGACTTGCATAAATTAGTTTTAGTATGTAATATCAAGTTCTAATTGATTTGTGCTACACCAAATTCAACATAAAAATCAACTCCAAATAGTTGATTTTCTTTTGAATTTCTTCTATAGATCGTAAGCCAAATGTAATAATTATAATGAAACAACTATAATACTAAATTTGTAAGAGTAAATTAATAATTAAGAAGATATAATTCAATCGATTGAACTATCAAATCATTATCTATAGAGCTTTAAGATCGTCACCATATTTTTCCTGTGTTAAAATTATGATGATAATGATGTGTGAATCTATGATGAGACTATCTGCACTATGAATGAATCGATAGATTCGATGTTCAATAGACAATACTAAAGTTTAAAAATATTCACACTATTTAAATTTAATAGAAATGATCTAATGAACTATTCAATTGTCCATAATCATTGGTGTAGATGTTGATAAACTCGTTTTTCTCATAAATATTCTAACATTAACGTATATAAATTGACTGAATTGTATTGTATTAGGGCAAAAAAATTTTTGTTTATTAAAAGGAATAGAAACTTATGAACGTAAATAAAGATTAAAAATAAATATATATTTTGTTATAAGTGAAATTAATCAAGACATGCATTGTGACATTTTATTGAACATAAAATCACAATAACTGAAGTGAATCAATCAAATTTAATTATACATTTATTCAAATACTAATTGAAGTTTAAATGTAATGCCTAATAAATTATAAACATTGATTATATTATAGCAGTTGATTGAAAATAAATGATACTAATGATAGTTGTAACTTTTAACCACCTATTTTTATATCAATATATGCTGTAATTCAGTCCAATAGAACTATTTACTTTCTTGAACTTTACATGGTGTTGCTCTTTACTATCATAAAAATAGTCTGACAATTGATGATTAATTTATGAGGAATAAAATTTTTATACTTGAAATCTACTAATGAAGATAAAAAGAAGAAGCAGTTTTGATCTAACCTAAACTTTAAAAATAGTTGTTTCCAATACATAAATAATCACTTTGAGAATATTACAGATTTCAATAATCATGAATACAGAATATGACCATATGTCACATGGATAGAATTATTTTAATTGTAAGTTATAGTAAAGCAGAATATGTTTTTAACTAATCTATACAAAATTAAGAAATGATTGACTGAATATGAGAGCTCCGTGCAATCATATTATTACTAGTTAGCCTTGACTGATTGAGTTATTACGTACACATTGTGTGAATGACCCAGATTTATTCGATGCAAATACATTAAGATAAAAGTTTAAAAAAGCTAATTTGGTGTGAAAATTTTGTCCCTGTATACACTTGATATATATGTCTGTTCGTTCAGCAGCCAATCTAAGGTCGTTACAATGACAATAAGTTAAAAAATAAAAGCATCTCACATGAGCAAAATTAACTTGATAAAATTCATGACACAAGATTTTAGGTTTATGATTTTGGAAACTGAAGTTTTAGGTAAATTGTATACTTATTCCTTAAGCGAAAAACACATCAATACACACACATTGTAAGATGAAGATATAATACGAATCAGATGGTCTTTCTTTGTCAATCGAATATCTATAATGAAAATTCCCATTTAAATATTTAATAAACAACTTAATAATGTAAATCCCAGACTGATATTAACTATACTTCCAGAGAAAACCAAAATGTACTTGACTTCTAGTTTGGAACCCTCCAGAAGTAATTGTCCACGATCGTGCCACAGGTAATCGGATCCAGGACCTTGAGACAAACAGAACTCAAAATTTCTATAGAACTAGGTTTTCACTATGTTTCTCTCTCTCTCCCATATATATGATTTACAACAATAAAATAATACTAATCGAGTAATGGTGCAACACAATAATTGTTGGATTTCAAAATGATTAAAAAGACAATATCACATGGTTACCTGAGTAACCATCGAAAATAGGATTATGATAATCAAAGTAATTATTAAAAAAGCTAAAAACAATAATACGGTTGCTAGATTACATAACACTTAATGGGAAAGATAAAAAATATTTCGATAAAGAGTCAATTTTATATTTATTATGATGTATGTTGGGAATATGTAAAAAACAAAAATGGTTGAATTCTCAAAATTACTTTGATGGCTTTTTTAAGAATAGTATCAGTGAAGTTCAATTAAAATTGTTCCCTTTATCTATGGCTAAGACAGAGAGAGAAGGATAGCGCAAACTTCTTTTGAGTACAAAGTTTGTGCAGACCCATAATGAACATTAACTGATAAGAAATAAAGTAGTTGCCTACATCAACATGGCACTCAAAGATTGATTATGTTGATTGATAAAAAAATTAAGTCAACAAATTATTATTAACTTGTTCATGTATAGATTCCCTTTTTAAATCTGGTAGTTAAGAATTTTATCTCAAATAATTTAAATATATTTACCAGGGTAAAATGAAATTTGTGAATCTATTGAAAGAGAAATGTTTTTGCTTGAATATCTTCAAAAATGACTGAGCTCCAGGCTCAATAATGCAATTACCTATTACCTTATAGATACATAAATTTTTCTAAGTTCTCGACCGGTAGTCTAGCCCTAAACTACTTGAAATTTCTAAAAACACGACCATCAAACACTTAAGCCTGAAGAAATCACTACCCTATCGTTTTTCTGATAGCAAAACACCATTTGATGCTCACCATATTTGGTTTTATAACTACTCAGTTCTTAAAATTATTTATTTTAAACTACTGATTGTGCTTGACGTGTAGCATAGTACAAAGTTTATTCCTATAAATCAAATTATTGGATACTCAATTAATCCAGCTTTACAACTTCCCCAGAATATAAATCTTTCATTGAATCTCAATTATTTTACGAAATCCAGGTTTATTTTATAATTCCAAAAAATAATATTTAATTGTTTCGGGCATCGAATGTGAATATTAGACGTTTGGCCTAGTTCCTCATATAATACTCCTTGTTCGTATAAATGAAAACAATAATGATGCTGACGATGATAATAATGATAAGGTAAAGTCAAATTCATAGCAACAGTTTAGCAGGTAAATAAATTACAACTATGAATAATTATCAGACAATTACATCGTCAGACAAACAGGTTACTTCATATTTAATTTCAAGTAAAAAAAATTTTTGTTCACTTCACTGGTGTAAAACAGTAAGCAGACATGAATATAAGAATTTGATACAAGCTGTTACTTTCCTCCGATCAATTCATATTAGAATGAATTAACTGAAAGAAACTAATTCAAGCAAGAGGGATTGGGTTTGAGTCTCACTGCGAGCATTAACACTAAGGTTAAGGTGCATTCAGCTGACGAGTTCTAGATAGGGCAAAATGAACATTCTGGATTCCACTGCTAGCCAATATCAAACTGCTTAAAAATAGTTGAATTGTGAACGATAGAAATTTTGGTAAGAGAATAATGCAGGGACGAGAACAAAATCACAACTAATTTTTAGCCAGTTCTTAGCCAATCAGGAAACAGCTTTTTGAATGGATAATTTGAAGAAAAGACAATACTAATAGTAAAAAGTGCAAACAGATTTCATATAGTTGATAGATCTAATAAAGTCTTCTTTAGATTACTCTGTCTTCAAATTAAAAATAACGAAATGTATATTCATATTTTGGGACATATATTATCCATCTCCTTGAACCATTATAAGGACCTGAATAGACTTTCAAGAGTCCTCGCATTGTTCTCGGTTAGAAATTTACAGTCAGAGTTTTGTTCATGAACTGGTATCAGTTATTCAACAAAAGAGTGAATGTAATTCACTAAAAAGTACAAGAGGCGCTATCTTATTAGTTCATCCATAAAATGTAGTATCACCAGATTAAAGTTTGTTTCAGGATTAATAGTTTGGGGTTCAGATTTCTTGATAGTGTCGATTTACTCGCTATATATCATCTAAAAAGACATAATCAATCATTTCTTACGCTTAATACTATAAGTTCTATCCCATGGTTGCGAGAAGCAATTTGTTATCATTTTAAACGTTCTGAATAGCCTAAAAAGTTTTTTCCGCTGATCACCATACATGATATTTGAATTTCTCGCAAAACTTGAAAAGTCTCTTTCTCGATACTGATTCGCTCGTGCGAAGCTATTCTGATACCAAAATCTCCAGGATACTTTTGTGTGATTTTTCTTATATTAAAAACAATATGAAGCAAAATATAAATGGAGCCATGCTAAGAAAGCCAATCTTTTAAACATACTTCAGTGATAATTTAAGACATTCCTGTCCGTCTGGACACTTTACTAGTTAAAAACTCCACTCAACTTGTTACATTTCTGACTGAGAATTCTAATATCATCCGACTAGTTAATTAAAACACAGATGAAGCTCTCGATATCTCACTTTTAGAAATTTACTATTTGTGTAAATCAAGGCAAAATAAGAAAACATCATGCAAAGAAATCTTTTGTACAATAACTTAACTCACCATATAAAATGTATCATTCACTTGTTAAGCTTAACATAACAGGGTGCATAGTTTACTAGATAATAAGCTAAAAAACGTTTCGCCAATCTCATAACAACAAACAACCGAACAAATGGTGTTTAGTTTTATTTTGCAAAACGAAACACTTACCACTCTTGACATTGGAGTCTATTTAATGTGGAAAATAACGGCCTATTTGTGATATGAATCTTTCCTTGGAATGGCATGACTTTTACTTCAACAAAATATTTCAAAATACTTGTTGAATGTAAGACTTATGACTGACAATGAAATTAAGGGTTAGGAAGGTGCAAGGTTTAACGATAACGAGATCTCAATTAGAACGAAGTTTGTTTGGGTTGAATAACATAACAAAAGTTCAACAAAACATGTATATACCTATCGAATCTATAGTCTGGATGAATATTTCTTAAATTTCGATATTGAAATAAGAAGACGAAGATTATCAGAACTATGTGATATATTAGCGCAATACATTTCGAACAATCTGATCACACATACACTTGTTAAAAACATTTATGTATAAAAAATAAAAGGGCAACTAGACTGGAAATGGGGTAAGAGGAGACAAGGATAATAATAATAATAATGTGAACATAATTTAAAACCTAATCACTCTGGTTAATAAGCCAATATTACCAGGGTAGGTTAAGGTGAGAACAAATTGTTTCTGAATACACAAAGGGGGTTTGAATTTTCGTATGGCTAAGACTTCAGTAAACCTTAGTATACGCCATTTTACACTTTCATACAACACCACAAAAACCGAGTTAAGAGCAATCTTACGGCCTTTTTCGATATTTTCAATATTTTTTAATTTATAAAGCTGTTAGATGGATTAGGTTGACATTAAGTAACCGGCCAATATGACTCCCTACTGCCCATTTTAAAAAAATTGTGGGGTGTGAATGAAAAATTTAGGTATCGTTGATTGGTGGACTTGTTTTGCAAGTGTGTGCTCAAGTGATAATGAACAAACATTTTGTCACCTTTAATCATTTTGTAATTGGTCGTAAACTGTTCATCTTTGTGATCTGATTAGCTGAAATTGAAATCATATCTGGAGCTGTGATTGGATGTCCGGATTTTCATTTTTTACATTTGAAATTTAATGATAATGAATAAATCTTTTTGTGTAATCTTAGTCTTAAAAAAACTTAGACTTTTGAAGAAAAAGACACCAACTGAATTGCATTACCGTGCAATTCTACTGTTAGTGAATGTGTATTGGGATAAATTTTTGCTTTTCGATCAAGTATACCTTGAATTGAAGTCGTTAGTTATCTTAACACAAATAATTATATGTATCTCAGTAAAAGAAAGTTTTTGGGAATTAGGTCGGTAGTCTAATGTTGAATACCCAATTAATAAACAAACTATCACGAAAGTGTGTGCATAGGTTTTTTTATAGCACATGGTCTGTTATTCGGAGAAATAAATCAACATATCAATAAATAATCATGATAAATTACTGGTTGCAATATGTATAATTCAGGTTAAGCAACCGAAGACCATAATTTAATGAACTGACTTTGACAGTACATGAAAGTAGTAATAAATTTTCCGAAATAGGCACTTAATATTGAGTGAACGTGTATTTTGTAAATGTTCATTCTTAATGAGAATTAGCAAACGTTAGATTTCAATGCGGTTAATTTTAAAAGTCCATTGAAACGGTTCATTATTTTCACTTGTAAATTATTTGCAGTTCTGTATTTTAAAATTAATTTTTTGGTCGTAATAAAAACTAGTGTGTGTTTAATCAGTCAAGTGTGAATATTGTTCACCGCCGTAATATGAAACCTGAATTATCTAGACATAACGAATGTAACCATTTTTGACAAGCATTTGAAATATCAGTTTCATGAAGTGTAAATGAACAAGCCTACGTCGTCTGACTGACTCAACAAATATCTATCGACTTTAAACGTATAAATATGAATAAGGTCAACTGTATCAATGAACATTTAAAATATTATTATTTATTGTGCTTATGATCATTATTATTATTATTATTATTATTATTATTATTATTATTATTATTATTATTATTATTATTATTATTATTATTATGTCAATTGACAAGATTCAATTCTCTTATTATGTATTTCATTGACACAAAATTTTTTGTATTTTCAATTTTCCTATAATGCTCTTCCACTTATTGTGACTGAACACTTTACTGCAAATAATCCCGACCTTTATTGAATGACCTTTCTAATTTGCAAATATTACAATTTGTAAGTATAAATATAAATATATATATCGTAACAGATGTAAACGTTCACCATTGTTGACACATTACATTGTCTAATTCATTAATGTCATGCCTTATTTTTGGACTTTATAAAATATAAAAATTATGGGCTTATAACTGTATAGTGTGATGATAAAGTTAATGAAAACGATTGTTCGCTACATTATTTTTTATTTTTGAATATTCCATAAGAATAGTTATATAGCTGTGCAAATGAATACGTTGATATAATCGGTAGTTATGAATAACAATGAAGGCGCAGTTGACGATCAGACGTACTTCTTACGTACGCATAGTTCTGGTTTCAGGAACTTTTAATATAAAACAAGAATATGAAATTCTTGTTTTTTGTATTCATGAAACAGCTAATATTCTTATTTCTTTTTACACTTACTATATGACCTTTAATCACATGAATCATTTCAACGATGATGGTTTCAGCTTAATTTATGTCATTATTTTATTCATAAATAAGTTAATTTTCTTCATTGTGTTTACTTCTCTATGAGCTTGAATCACATTCATCTTCGTAATGATAATCACTAATAAATGTTCTCATAAACTTATTGACCTAACGAGCAAATTATAGTTTTCACTATATTGCAATAATCATATTAAAATGTACTAGAATGTACTATTATTAGATAGTTTACAAAAGTGTTACTAAAACATGAACAGTATTCACAATATTTTAAATATAAAATTACTAGATTAGTCTTCATTAGATGACAAAATCTTGTTTAAGTTTTCTTAACCTTTATATCTAATATACATTAGAAACAAGTTTACGAATAGACGAGCGATAATCGCTTTTCGATTATTAATCTCTAAGGGATATCTAAATTCATGAGACATTAATAAGTGCTTAATCACTTGACCTTTGCCGCGGAAAAGTAGTAGATAAAAAATAATGGAAATCAAATTGTGGGTGGCCCTGAAAAGGGCCTTTACTCGTTCTCGCTGTCGGACGTCGTCACTATTAGTTTGTAATGGCGCCGCAGATAGGACAGTGCACTGCTCGTACACTCGGCGATGGGTCGTAGGCACAGAAGGTATGAAACATTGCTTCACATCTACAGAAAACCCAAGCAACCGCATCACCGGTTTCACACGGAGGCTGCGCAAGATTACAGATGTCGCAGAGTCGATTCTCGTCATCCTCTTCTTCATTTTCGATGTCCCGTTCAGTTAACTCTTCGGAGTTAAAACGCAGGAAGGCAGAAATAAATGTTGACGTTTCGCGACATAGACAGTTCTCATCGTCCAATTCGTATTCGCAAAGCCCACCCAAGGATGTTATGTGAGCTTTCAATTTCCCGTAATCACCTATAGTGTACATTATAAATTGGCAAATTCCGTACCAGGAAGGTTCGCGTGTGAGAACACTTTGTACCGCATATTGCAGACATCTTGAGCGGTCAGACATTTCCCATAGGATTGGTAAGCAAAATTCTTTATGTGGAATGCAGCGGTACCGGAAATCAGCAGCGGTCTCACAGTTTCAAACTCCCCATCCGTTAACCTGCGCACCCATGAATTACCCTGGTACCTCAGGGAATTGCACTCGTGATTGTGATGTACATTCCCACGTACAACAGTCCAATAGCCGTCTATAATCTTACAAAACATAAATGCTGGACATTGGGTGTTCATAGAAGCCCTTCGTTAAAAAAATTATAAAACAATTTACCAAATTACCTCCTCCGTCTAATACGTTGTGACGAACCGCTAGATCTTATACGCCCATTTCGCCAACATACAAATTTAATGTAGGATTTTTGATCTCTGCCAATATGCGAATCTCTCACTACATAATGACTGTAAGTCGATCTTTCAAAATTCGTGATAGTGGTCTTTAACGCCTCAACCGATGGAAACGCAACCAGAAACAAGGTAGTCAAAAAGACTTCCTCCATTTCCGTGACGTGAGAAACACCAGCGCTTGTACTAGGCACATCACTCTGCTCCATAATGACGATTGAAATTGTGCTTCGTCGACAAGTACGGATAATTTATAACAATTTTCAAGACATAACTAACCAATGAAATCTAATTTTTGAAACTAGCCATTTCATTGGACGAAACACGGGATGAAAAATATTGTAATTTGGGGATGGAAAATTTTTTTTTTAAAAAAAATGGCCGGTCGGACAATATTATTCGATGGATTATATTTCTCATGTTCCCACTCATATTACTGTTAAATTTATCCCTGCATTACAAATATCCTTCCCTGTCTTAAGTATCACTGTTACTTGAGTGGACTTTTCTAAATAGGACTTTCTTATCTCCAGCTCTTACCAGTAAGATCAACTTAAGTGCTGTAGGTTTGAAACTCACTGGAGTTATTATAAAAATACTTTTTATGTGATGAGACATAGCATGAAATTCGACAACTTGATTAAACGAGACGTGAAGATAATAGGTTGCATCCCGTGTGTGACCTTTAAATTTCTAAGACGAAAACATTCTCACAAATCATTTTAAGATGTGATTTTTGTTAACAGTGGAAAATTGTTTTAAGGAAAGATGAGACTTTCTAAGAACAATATCTCTAGAACATAGCGTAATGCGAGAATAATTTAAGTAGTCTGAATACAAAACTGCTGTTCTCACTGTGCAGGTGTAACATTAGCTTAACGAAAGTACTCATAGTTCTAAGTATAGAACTAGTTATACTGCCATACGAAGCTAATCTAAAATCAATCACTTTCGGACAATGCAAATATGTAACGCTTCAAGTTGCAACAATTCATCCAAATATAGCAAGATAGAAGGAGAGAAACAGTTAATAAAATAAAGGCAGAGAGACGAAAATTAAGGAAAGCTAAAAATAAAAATTATTATTCATAAAGTAATGAATAGAATGGAAAAATAAAAAGTTTGCAATAGCGGAAAGATTAGGATTTAGAACAAAATAAAATCCGAGATCTGTCAAATAATTAATTTTCAAGTTCATCACCCTTCCCAGGGGTGGGTATTTTCTTAAATTTTAGTTCCTCACTATGGTGTCATAAAGTGAGTATGAATTGATTTTAATCCCCATAAACCTTCAATACTAACACTAAATTTACTTGAAACTTGTAGAAAACTGATGACATGGTTGGTCTACAATTAAAGTTAATCTTCATATTAGCTTGCATCATATGCCGACTTCAGTTAAGCGCTCGTTGAAAACTGAGTAACAATAGGCAGTTGGTTAGTCTTAGCAAGTGACTTTTTAATGATATACACTCACGAGCGTACTAGGGATCAAACTAAATTCAGGAAGGATTATCGATGTACTGGTGAAAATTCGATTGGGAGTTTTCAACTATACCAGGAGTAAGACGCGTATTATATAAGGGTGCAAGTGTGGACCACTGGATGACATCTCAGCGGTCTGAAGATAACAGATTGGTTGTACGGCTTGGAGGTCATAATTTTGAACACTAATGAGTTAGTCCTCATAAACAAACACTTACTGGGATGAAACAGCTGTCCAATGCTCTCTGGTTTTCAGTGGTCAGTCCGTAATGTAAATTATCGTTAAGATGAATAATCTCCACGATGTCTCCATCTCAAAGTTAATGATTAAAATAATATTCATAAGAGTATATTTTAGGAAATAATGAAAGAAAATTTATATATATATATATATATATATATATATATATATATATATATATATATATAAACTAAAACGTTTTAATCGATGAACTTACATAAGTAAATGTGGATCAGTTTTCAGTTCTGGACGAATACTGATATGTTCTTCAACAGCTGGTATCCGGTCGAAATCATATTCATCAACTTCTTTACCGCCGTCATCGTTTATTTTTTTACCGTCTAATTCTCCTGTACGTTCATCAAAATCGAATATGTATTTTTTCGGTTTCGGTTCAGTTTTAAACATTGGTACAATGAATTCCTTTCCTGTGACTTGTTTCAATTTTACATGACTACTTATATGCATAACTAACATTAAATCAATAAAACCAGAACGTAGAGGTCCAGGCATATCTATTTATAATAATAAAACACCATAATTATTAAATTAACTGTTTTTGGAAAAATGTATTCATTGTAATTTTTATACATAACTAGTTGAAAATTTATTTCGTGAATAAAATTCAAAGAACTCCACAATGAAAACAGTAAGAAAAACCAAAGGAGATACTTTTCTGAATATTTACATACATATATACTGAGCAATTCAGCTAAATCTCTTACCTGCGGCTGTCATAGCATGCAATAATTGATATTCATCCACATGATTAGTTAAATAATGTGCAACATTGTGATTATCGTGACAGCATAAAGCACGATATAATTCCAGTGTATGAGAATGATACCTGTGTTGTGATTTTTAAATAAAAACGATGACTGTTTTAAAAATACGTATTGGCAAAGTTCAAAAAATAAAATTTTCATATAAACAGATCCCTTGATAGATTTAAACAGAGCAAGGGCAACAAGTTTTGACAAATGTTAAGCATATTTTAGTTTATGAAGTTTAGGTGAATGTTCGAAACGCAATCAAAATCATAGTGATCAGGAGAATAAGAATAGGAAGTGCATGAATAAACATACTTAAGATCGATGTGTATTTATATTTCGGGATGTACAAATAAAGAGGCTCTTCTCTTTATCCTTCTTACATGCTTACTACCACAGGTACATTTAACTTCATAGATGTGATTTGAGGTGACGGAATTGAATTGGTTATCTCTTTCATTTTCCAGTGTAAACTTTATGTCTTGATGAGAGTGGCTGAAGTCAGTAAGTGACCTAGAAGCGTGATCCATATCATCACAGATAATGAACATAATGTCAACATATCTGTTTAATTATGTTTAATCACAAATCCTGAATAAGCTTTAGCATAGAGCACTTGAGGTAATGAATGAACATTTCAGCTCTCTCAATAATTCCATTTATGAATTTTATTCAATACAACATAATAACACTGTGAATGAACAGAATATTGAGATTCAGATACATCTAACTGACGAGTCCCGGATAGGGCAAAACGTGTGACATGGTTTGTTATGATGGGATGGAAAGTCAAAATTAGATTAATTTACTCATTATGATTTTTATTCAACATCAATTCCGTTTAATTGCATTTGATGATTACTCAGTGTAGTATTTGTTTCGTTTTCCTCTATGACATTTTATTCTGTATAACACGATATTCTTGTATAAAGTATTTTTCATATAAGTGATTTATTCTGATTAGTAATCAAAAATAGGTGTACAAACCAATATATAAATGAGTTTATTTCTAACTAAACATGTCGTGGTTGCTCGTGTTCCTGGCTGCTCGCGGAATATATTTCCCCGTTTCGAACATGGACTTCTCTCTAGTTAGCGGGGCTGAGATGCATCAGAACAGCTAGCTTATTGGTCTTTGGTCACAGAGTCTTGTTCCGCTCGCAGATTAGGTGAACTCGTAATCACTTCAAACATAGCATGGTTTCGACTGCTAACCATAATCTAACTCTTTGTTAAATGAATCGGTATAAATAACATCCATATGAATAAGGTTTCCTCGAAATCGGATGATAAAATATTTATCGGAATCAAGTAGGTAGTTTTTGGACAATATTTACAAGATTAAGGTAATCGAGGATTCCAAAATTTTGGACAAACTTATATTGTAAGTGCACAGCAATTAGGTTATCAGTTTACTGTAGTCGTCATGCTGTTCACTTTTCTTGTTGATTATTTCTAGATAAAGTTTGTGCTAAACAGTAATACATTTCTAAGGTGATAACATGTTTATCATTTAGAGTGACCAGTCATTAATAATGGTATATGCACACTTTTACAGAAAAGGTTCAACTTCAAAGCAGAATAAAATTTTTATTTCACTTACTTTAATAATTCTGGCATTTCCTCTAATTCAAGAGCTATAAAGCATCTGTCGGATTCTGGTAAACGAACAGCGATTTCAGAGACTGGATATTCAATAGAGGTACCCCATCCGCGTAGTTCACTAATCTTCATACTGAACATCTTTATAGCTTTCGGTGGTACACGAGCCCAATGAACACGCTAGACAAGAAAAAGTCAGTCAGTCAGCTACAACGTAGGACCAGGCACATATATGCATCGGTCCAAGTTGCCATAACTCATTAACACAACAAGGTGGATACCGGATTCATAAAAGTAGTTAATTCAGAGGTGGTAATATATAAAAGAAAGATTGCAATAAGGATATAGTACAGGAAGAAAGAATTAGTTAGCAGAAAGAAAGATATGAAGTGATTTTAATCTCTTAGTTTAAGGGAAGACAGAGAGTGTATACACCGACGCCATTGTGATCGATTCTGAGCCATGTCACCAAGAGTCTCCAACCATTGGTTACGAAAGTCACGCAGACCCCAACCAAGTAGTCTGCATTTACCAACATGGCTCACACTAGAAGTTAGTGACTTCAAGCACTGATGCCACGTTTTGGTTTGGCCGCCCCTAACTTTCTTCCAACCATCTCCAACACCGGTTAGCATAGCACGTCGTGGTAATCGGTCTATGATGAAGTTAAACAAAAATGGAGAATGTGGACAGCCTTGACGGACACCACTTGAAGTTGCAAAAGCAGATGACAGTTCGCCATAAGTTGGTGAGTTGAAGACAAAACTCTATTCTTTTCTACTTAAATCTATGTATTAAGAATGAAGAATAATTCCCTTTTTATGTTTCATGAGTTATTTCAAAGCTGAAAGTTGTAAAAACAATATCCAATTTATCTATTGATTTATTTCGAGATTTCCTGCATACTAATAAAGTTAACAGGTCAGCTGATAATGATGATGATGGTGGTGGATTTACTAATTTCATTTTAGAAATTTTTTTGATAGTTAGGTTGAAAACTAGACAATTCAGACAGATGGGTTTATTTCTATATGAAAATGCATCATTTATGTACATAACTTACTGTTAGAATATATTTATACAATACATATTACTAGTTATGTTTTAGTAGCTAACCGTAAGACATGTATAAATGTCATCACTTAGGGATAGATTTAGAAAATGGAACGACACCTAGCTAATAAGTTATACTACTCTAATGGTTGAATTTATGAGTCAATTTAAGCTAGATCACCATTGAAAACCTGGGGGAACTGGACGGCCATCTCGTCCTAGTATGAGACTTCTCACCCACGATCCCACACGCGGTATTCGAACCTAGGACCTTCGGTCTCGCACGCGAACGCTCAACCTGTAGACCATTGAGCCAGCATCTAACGGTGTCTAACTCCAACCAATCCACGACGACTAAATGGTCGTCCAGTGATTCCAGGTTTCCAGTGATGGTCTAGCTTAAATCGACTCATGAATTTAACCATTAAATTTTCTAGGATCTTTATAAAAAATCCATTTTGATTATATTGTTTTTCTAATGACTAACAAAAGTTAAATATAATAATTGCGATCATAATCTGTAGATTAATAACTGCTATAAAAAATCTAAGCATATGTAATTCATCATTTTAAAAATACCTCCAATGCTTGAACTCTTAAACGATGTGGCAATACAGTGGATGTATATCTTGGTGGTCGAAGCATACTCGCCGTAATTGGTAAAGTATAACGATTTCGTCGACCAAATTCAAAATGGATAGCCTCTTTAACAGTAGGTCGATAGAAGACTGCAGCAAATAAACGTGTGGATGGCTCGACCTGAACAATTCGAAATAAAAAGTTTGCAATCAGATAGCTATGAAGAAACTTACATACACATACACCTAAGTACGTTAGTAAATAAATGAATAACTAAGGAAAAAATGGAGAATATATATATTCTATGAATAGAAAAATCAGCGAACTGAAAATACCAACAACCATTCAAAAAAATATTAATTGTTATGTGAAAATACAAAATAGGAGAATTGAATTGGGGACTGCCGTTACAACGAAGAAAACTAATATTTGTTGACAAAAGCTGGATAAACTGTAATCTCATAAGCAACCTAAAAAGCAATTACCTGAAACCGTATCCCACTATCACGACCATTTAAATCAAATCCCAATGTTCCACTGGCTATATCAACCCAACAAGTTAGCGATAAGCCTTGACTCATTCGTTTACCTAAGTCTTCTGCTGTAGCCATCTGATTGAGTAATTGCCCCAAGTTAACCATGAAAGATGCACGTTCAGCAACAGCAGACTATGATGTAAAATAAAATATTACACTTATCGTTATTGTTATGAATCAGATAAAACTTTGGAGCATGCAATTATAAGCCATTAGTTATTTGAATACCTATTTTAAATTCTATTTAAAATTATGTATTTACACTTCTATCGTTCAAAACGTTCCTCTGCTAACTTGGATCAATTCACTGTATGAGACATTTTTAATGTTTTATGTAAACACTTAATAATATCAAAAGTTATGTAGCAGAGATAATAACAATAACGTTCAATTTGTATTAAATTATAAACTAACTAGAAGTCTTTATTTTAAGACAGTGCACACTCATAATAAAAACTTAAGTTATAAGTTCGATTCTCAAAAAGAGAATTCATGATTTTTAGTCAAAAAGTTTATGTAGACGTGGAAAATATTGCTCGTTCTACAATTCAGATATATGAGAGTACGATACTATTGAGTTGATATTCAAGAACCTACAATTTTCAACTGGGATAGTTTATATTTAACATTATCAATGAAATATTCGTTATTAATACTTTATAGACCAAACATTTTCTTAATAAAGATAAGAAATATCACAATCCGTAAACACTGTCTACCTTTAATGTTAAATCTGATTCCAAGAGACAAACAGCTGCTTGACGAACAGTGAATAAGTCGGCAGCGTATGGTTGCATACCGCTGCCACTAGTATCACCAAGCATAGGATTTTGATTAGAGTGACCATGTAATTGTCCATGTGTTGTGTCGAATTGTAATTGTGATGATACATTATGTAAAAATCCACTAA